GGCTTGACTCTAGCAACTGGTGCTTTCCGGATGCCCTGCCTTTAGTTTGTGTGCAGAATCAAACGAGCTATCACTGAACAAATGATGTACATATCTTAGCCTAACATATGCTTACCAGATTCTAACTGACCCTCAAAACCCGACTCACTCATCACTTACAAGGTCGAGGTTTTCTCGTCTCTTTAAAACCAAGTCAAGCATCGTGACACCATGAAGCTCCCACTTTGAAGACCTTTGCACTTTGCTTCATTTTTCACTAGACCAGGTTGACCAAGAAATCTGTGCTCTTTCCTGAGAGGTACAGGGGTTCAATTTAGTTCCAGCGATGGATCTAATGACAGCCAACGACGCAAAGAAAAAGACACACAGACTGTTCTGGATGCAGAGAACCCAAACCCATGCTCGTCAGTCCACTTGAAAAGTTTGTTTATGGCTATCTCAATGATGGGATTGGCCTCAGCCATTTCCGAGCAGCGAAAACAGTGTTTTGGAGCAGCGAATGTGGCCTTTGGAGCAACCAAAACAGTGTTTTGAAGCAGCAAAAGTGGCTTTTCGAGCAGTCAAGACAGTGTTTCGGAGCAGCAAAAGTGGCTTTTGGAACAGATATTCTTAGAAAAATAAAAATATTTTTTTAAGTGCTATACAAACGAAGGGCACCTGTGTGTTTTGTTCTGATGTGACGTGTTATGACCGAATTCGCTGCTTGTGATTTTACTGCTGGGACATCCCACAAGTGTACAGTGCTGTAGGTACTGCCGAGCAATTCCGAAAAACCGCTTGCCACCGTTTTACTGGTTCCCAACGTGCCAGATTTTCGTCGAAAGCATTTGCCGAGTAATATTGAAAAACCGCTTGGCCACCATTTTACTGGTTCCTGACGTACCAGATTTTCACCAAAAGCAAACTTAAAACAATGGATTGCCAGCGTCCCGACTGGTGCCTCTGTCGTACAGTCATGTTCGCATACACGTGAAGGCAACTTTGGCAGGCTTGCAGTTGCGCGTGCTTTGTCGCGCGAGCGGAGACAACGGCTGTTCGGTCGAAAGCGAAACCATGTCACTTCGTTCCATCGCCAACTGATTCCTAAGATTGTATGCAAAATGCAAATGTCAAGCATACAACAAAAGACAGTCCAGCAGCACGTGCTTGCCAGGCTGGCAAACAAGGTACAAGCTCAACACACACACAAAAAAAAATATAACCTGAGTGCATCAATGCAAGACATTGCGAGCCAGGGTCAAAAAGTTCTTAGAGCTCTTTGTGCAACGACTGAACTCGAGACAAACAAGCGCGCTGTGTGGGTTCAGCTTGCATACATTGCCTTCTTTGCTTTAGCTTACTTCTCTTCACCAACTTTCTTTCGCAGCAGATATTTCACGTACCGGGACCCCTCTCGGAAGAAAGCTTACTTAAAGAAGGATTTTTGTAGTAACGTACGATTTAAACAAGAACAGGAATGTTGATGAACATGCAGCAGTACTTAGTTTCATATTAGAAAGCGCCATATCTGCGGCGACGTGGGGACAGCAACACCCGACGTCGCGCGATCACGGTGACTGGAAGGCAGGGACCGAATATAGTTTTCCCACGGCCGTTGCATTCAGGAGCGAGTGCTTCACCTCACAAAGTGACTCCCGCCGTGCAAAAACGTAGGTTTGTTTCACAGCATGACGGCCTGCTAACCGTCATGCGTCACGCTAGCGTCGGAGCGTCCAGGCACACCCGCATTTATCATTAAAAATATATGAAAAAAGACGCAAGACGAGAAGACGAGAGCGCGAAACGTGAGACGGTGGGTAAACTATGCACAACCGGATGGACAATTGATGCAGGGTACTTTGTGTCGGGCGGCCACTTGTGCCACATAACACATGCATGCTCAATTACGGTACTCAATTTAGTTTCAGTGTTGAGAGGTGACCGAAATTGGTTTTTTGGAGCAGGCTTGGCGCAGATTACCCATATTTTGGCAAAACTTAGCAGGATTAGCCCCTTGGCACAGTTTGGCACAGCAATCACATCACTGAGTATGCCATAAAGAACTTAGTACTCACATGAGAGATCTGAAGGGAAATACATGAGATGTGCAGAAAGAGAAGGATAATAAATTATGATCTTCACAAGAATCTATTGCATGATGCCTTACTGCAAAAAGAAATACATACATATGTAATACGAGTTCCAAATTACATATAAATAGCGCGAAGGACAAACAAAGGTTCTTCTAATCCTAACACAAATCACACTTGGGCATCAGCTTGCACGAAGTCGAAATTTCGCAAAATGCTGCTTCGAGAGGTTGATCTTATATTCGGTTTTACGCGCACCGGTTTTGGGGCCTCACTTTACCCCTGTGTGCCTTATCAGCATGCTCTCCAATATTTTATTAGGCAGCTGTATATCATTGAGACTGCTACATATACTGCACAACTTTACAATTTTGAGATCTACTTTTGCTAGCACTGCAAACATCGCATTTGATGAGGAAACTGAACCGGTCAGCATATGACATGGTTTGCATGTGATGTCATCGCACTCTATGCTGTAGGTCATTGTGATTTGTTCTTGCTGAGAGAATCAAATCCGGTGGTACAAAATTCATCCTGCGGTGCAACCCATATATTTGAGAGACAAAGTATGCTTCCTTTGTGCATCCTTTTGAGGAATGACGCGAGCGACTGGTACCTCGAAAACGCGCTTTCTGGCAAGTGCCTTTTGGAAAACAAAGTTTCTGTGGCCACACTTTCTGGTCTGTGCCAAAGATGCAGGGAAGAGAAACCTTTACACCGCAGTATGTTTATAAAACTACCCCCCCTTTTCCTTTTTTTTTTCCGTTGCTACTTTACAGAATACTTTTTTTTTATTCTTGAGGGACTCCCTCCACCGTTTGGGGGGTGTTAATTTGACAACTATACTTGTCTCACTTGTTAACGGTAATCCTCCATTGCTTTTATTTTGCACCCATAGACTGTGAAGTTTAAACAAGATATCTAAGTGGTCGATGCATGGGGAAGAACTCGAAAAGGACACTTCTGTGGGGTGGCTCCCAACGTCTGGCTGTCCCTCTGAGGCCACTAGGACCTCGCTTTTCAGGTAACCCTCCTTTACACACTTGTAGTTCTGAGTAACATTGTATAGGTGGTATTCACTGAGCCTGCAGGTTCGATTTTGCCGGGAGTGCCACCGTCGACGTCACGGTTGGACTGGCCTGGGTATGCGGTCGTACGTTGGTAGTGTGTGCTAATTTCATATAGTTGAAGAAACTTCGTTGAACAAAAGAGAAAAAAAGGTTTATCTCGGGGGCGGGCCGTTTTAGTTTCCATGTTGCCGCCGAGTACCGTATGTAAAGGCTGAACCGCACGTAAGCAATTTAGCGAGCGACTGGACGAGACGAGCGACAGCGACGAGACAAGCGACGATGACCCGCTTCGCTATCGCTCGGTCACTCGCCTACAAGGCAAACCGCATGAAAACAACGGGAGCAAGTGACCAAGGCAATCAGCAACGTATTCTAGAAATACAAAAACCATGCGACGACCGACCGTGAGAAATCTCCATCACTCGTCGCCGACTCCCGTCGCTGTCGCTCGCTAAATCGGTCACATGCGGTTCACCCTTAACTGTCGCTCGTCGCGTAGCTCGGTTTTAGGATTTCTAAAAAAACTTAGCGCTCGTCGCCTTGGCTGTGTGCTCCCGTCGCTTTCATGCGGTTTGCCTTGTCGCGCGAGTGACCGAGCAGCAGCAAAGCGGGTCGCCGTCGCTTATTTCGCCGCTTGCCAAATAGCTTACATGCAGTTTTTAAATCACTTGGGCTAATGAAAAATGCGCCGCATTTTTCATTAGCCCAAGTGATTTTTCATTAGCCCAAGAGACCTTTGCACTTTGCTTCATTTTTCACTAGACCAGGTTGACTTCATTTGGAAAGCCGATAACGGTTTTCCTCCTTGGAAGACGCTGCCAGTTGCTTGCGATTGGTCTCTTACGAAATTGAACAAACATGCCATTTCCCACGCTGTAATTCAGCGAGAGTTTTGTGAAGTACAATTCAAGTACAGTGGTTATCTTCGTATTTGTACAGATAGCACCAAGACTTCATCTTTTATTAGCTGTCGTATGTATTCAGAATGAGTCTCTAAAGTTGAGCGACTTAATTTGATTGCCAGCATTTTTACTCCAGAACTCTATGCAGTATCAAATTGTCTACATTATTCGTAAGAAAATAATAAGGGCTGTTCTATTTGTTGTTGGATAACAAATGCAGGATAAACTCAACGCTGCTCTACACGGCAGTCAAAGCAAAAGATTTTGTTGGGTACCTAGTCACGTTGGCATAGAAGGCAACAAGAGGGCCAACAGGCTTGCGGGTCCTGGGGGTACTTTCTCCAATCGTCTTAGAGTTTACCATTTCAGGATATAAAGCCTTCAGTAAAGTGGTCGCTTTTTGTTTTTGGCATTTGGAATGGGACAGGGAGTGCAAAACAAGCTCCACCTTACTAAGCCTGCTCTTGAGGCCTGGGAAAGCTCTTTATACAAGAGTCCACTACATGAAACCTTGTGCCGTCTGAGAATTTGGGCATTCCTTCGTCACTCAGAAATACCTACTTTGCGAGGAAGATCCACCGCTCTGTGATCAGTGTGGTGATACTGTTACTATTTTTCACATCTAGTGGTCCTCTCCTGGTCTGGAGCCAAAGCCTCGCATTCATTTTCTCGAGTTTTTTTCGTCAGCAGATCCAATTTCATCCGGGTCTTCTGCTGGAGGAGAATCCTACAGTCCCTTCTATCCGAGTAATAGACTTTCTTACTAGCATTGGCATTTAACACCAAGTATAGTTTCACACCAAGTTTTAGGTTGCAATTTTGTGAAACCCCTACCGAAGTATATTGATTGTCACTTTAGTTTGGCGCAGATGGCCTCGTAGCTTTTTCGCCATTAATTTTCAAAATCATTGTTATCACTAACTTTCCGCTGTGTAAACATGCAACGCAATTACAGTTACAGGAGCTTGGTGGAAAACAGCTTGGCTTCAGTGAGACGGTGTTTGGCGGGTATCTTTGGAGCCTGACCTCATTCAGCAGTCCGCATGGAACCGAATCAGTCTTCAAGTCATGGTAAGTCTATCGTTTTCACGTCTATAATAAACATAAAACAGTGGCGGTGGCTTGACTATGGCTGTTCGTAGTCTAGAGCCGCTCTTGTCCAGCTGTCCTCGGACTGCTGGGTACGGGAGAATTCCGAGATCCTCCGCCAGGGAGGCGTCTCCGCTAGAGTCCGAATCGCAGAAAGGTGTGCATGGTGATAAGGGCTGGGCTTGGAGAAGACAAAAGCAGCAAACTAGGAATTTTAAGGGAGGTTCATGGCAGTGGTGATTGAGCATAGGGCAAGTTAAGTGTTGAAAGGTTTTTCCGGCGATTTCTTCATGATCCCCCATTTGCCTGAAAATTTGCTAAGCACACCAACAAACATCGCCAAATAGTATTAATAATGTTAACAAAAAAAAGGGGCAAAGATTTTTTCCGAGATTATTGAATTTCCTTTTTTGGTCCTCACCGTGTTTTTCCAAACTGAATGTTTCTACTGGCAGCAACGAAAAAGTGACGCCAGTGGAAGGCATGGGTTCACTCTTTGGACTGTAGAATTTGTTCCCAACTGATTCCAAGCAGTTTCATGGTGTCAAATGAGTGCTTTGGAAGCTTGCTCCAGCACCCGCGCACCAGCACAGAACAAATTCTTGGCATGGTTCATTTCATGGACATCTTGCTCGACTTGCAAGCCTGCCTTCCTCCGACGTTACGGCACTGAAGAGTGCGGGTATGTGTTAATGTTGACTTTTGCAACATTTTTATTTGCCAATTTCGCAATAACTATTCTTAATTTCGCGAAATAGATAGCATACCGGAAAGGGTAAATGCTGCGGATTCAGAAAATATATTGCATTAATACTTGGGATTGGGCTAGTTGTCCCTGTTAGTTTGCACTTTTTAACCTTATATTCAGAAAATATAATTGGGGTACCTCAAAAAATCGCCGGAGTACCCTTTAAGTTCCTGTACTTGATATTCCGGGCACTTCCTGGCCGCCTTGACACATGCCGAAAATCCTTTCCGGTTTGGGCATTCTTTGCACGCTTTTAAGGGGCAGCATCTCGGCTAAGTTTCGTGTTCTGTAATTCAATCAGTGTTTTGTGGTGTTCTGCGTGTCCAGGGGCTACGAAGATGCATAGAGTTGTCCCCTTGACTGCACAGCTTTGATTTGAGAGATCTCCGCGAAATAAAGGACTCCGCAGGCCGTGGCCGTCGAGCGTGGCCCGGGGCTGTATTGTGGCCAGTCGCTTGGAATACCCATCGATTTCACGCAAGCACTAGGCGTCCTCGCTTTATTTTTAAATCAGGGATGCACACACCTGACTCTTCCAGTGAGTGAAGAGACTGGCAAATAAAGATTGACTGAAAGAATGATTTATGTTTGCCACTTTCAAATGTTCAGACCAGTGTGTCGAACCGAAAAAAATACGGGTTCGGTTACGGTTCAGGTTCAGGTAAATTTATTTTGTTCCGGTTCGATTAATTCGATCTGTGAACCGGTTCGCGAACCAGTTCGGGGCGCTGAACCGGTTCGCGAACCGGTTCGGAAATTATAAATGACAAATTGCAACATCAAAATAAATTACAAATAAAACATCTGAAATCAGCACATAAGAAACGGGATACATCGTAGTGTAAGGCTCAGGGATTTCTACCAGTAATGGTTTCTTTATGTGCACTCAAAGATTACCTCACCGACGTTTACGCATTCGGACTTCATCTAATTGGGTCCGACGCAGTAGCTGTAAAATCCGTGACCTCCTTACAAACCCACTTACAAGTAGAACTCGCTAACTATCCCGCCACCTCGGCGTGTAAGCAATTGAAGGAACAGTGGGGAGAAAATACAGCTTTCTTTATTTGAACTAGCCTTCGGTAACTCAAATTAGACCCTTAAAGTAGTTTTCATTAAGCAAGATACGGAATATGAAAAACACTTCACCGAACGCAACGCCAGAAGGACGTAATAGGATAAATATTAAAATAGAAGAGTTCGCTGTCTCACAAATATGTTAGCTTCTAAGTGCCTATACGAAACCGGATGCGTTATTATCAAACTCCACAGCCTTTTCTTTTCTCATTCCGATGGAAGCAAGCTTCAAGAACTCGCGCGTTCTAGAAACGTGTTATGAAATGAGCACACAGCAGCATTTAGGATTTACGAGATTGTAGGAAAATGAAATCCCGTGACGTGATTTTTTTTTTTTGCACAGCCTTCCAATTCTTTTTCTTCCGTGCAAGCCGCGACCAGCGCAATACTGGTTCCTATGTCAAGATTCATGGATGCAGCGTTTGTCAAGATTCATGGATGCAGCGTTTATATTCTTAAGACTGAGTGGAGAAGAAAAATATGTAAGCGAGCTGTGTGTCAGTTGACGGCACTTAAAAAACAAATGGCATTGATAGCACATTCATTGTCAACAGCGCGTGGCTGAACCGTTCTGACATGAGCCGGTGACCGTTATTTTTTTTCCGGTTCAGTTCCGGTTCGGGTTCATCGCGATAAAAATGTAACGGTTCGGGTTCAGTTCTGGAAAAAATACCGGTTCGGTTCCGGTTTTCGGTTCGGTTCCGGTTCGACACCCTGATTCAGACAATGAAAAATATAAATAAATTTACATTTTAGCTGGAGGCATACGCTGCCGTAGGGCCATACATGAAGAGATGCCGACTATATTTAGATAACAGGTATTCATAAGCACTGCATGGGACATTTAATGATACAATAATAATTATGTTGGTTGTGTTAAAGCAAAATGCTTTCACTCGCATATATTTTCACGCACTTGCACGTTTGTCATGGTTTATGTGACAGTCCTGAACGAATACGAATTGAGGAACCCACAAACATACAAAGTAATGAAGGGTAAATTTTGGGAACATGTCGGCAGAGGACTGATGATTGGGACCTTTCAACATAGAACTGAATCTGGGAATCCGCAAGCTGGCATTGCGGCCGAGATTACCTGAGAGTCACGAAAGCTTTTTCTTTTACGTCGTGCATCAAGTGCCTCTTCATGAAGGAAGACAAGTACAAGCTGCCTCTTTCGAACAAAGAAAATGGCGAGCCCCTTGCACGGTGAGGCGGAAGTGCCACCATTTGAGGGAAAATCAGCGGGCTTTGGCCACGGATGTCGGCAGGATTTTTTCTTGCTGGGAGCAAAACTTTCGCACCCGACATTCTTTTTTTTCTTTATTGGAAGAGGGAGGGAGGGAGGCGGCAGGGCATTGTCACGGGGTAAAAAATATTCCTTGCAATCTACGGAAATACATAATGACCAGAATAAACAAAAAGGTCTTGTATTAATGCGTCTCATCCAGCATATTCCCGTGACAATTTTACAACATATTATTCATATAAATTTTTTAAACAAATGTTGGCATAAACATTTTAAGTTTGCAGTTCTAGTTTAGTTATGTAAAAAGGGCCCCCGTAAGTGTTACAACTCGATTTAATCCTGCAGCCCGGACTCGAAACTTTCGTGAATGTTGAACGGGGCATGAACATATCAGGACCAACAAGATGTTGCTGGCAAAGGAACCAGTGGTCATTTATTTATTTATCAGATTCTGCAACACAGCAACACAATAAGAACTGAAAACATGTTCTCCAATGCCCATCCGTATACTTTCAAAACACGAGGAAATATGCAAGCAGGCTTGTCTACAATGTTTTGACTGTTCAAATAAAATCCAGTTTAAAGTTTCTATCGACGAACTACACTTCCTCAGCAACATTTTCGTTTCCTGGATGAACAGTCTAGGTAAACTCTGTAACCCAAGGTTTTAACTAATATTTTTTTAAGTGCTCCCTTTTGTGTTGATAATGAGAAAAACCTGTTCCAAAAACTAGCTGTCCATAGTCTGCACTGTGGGTTTTTATGTTTACGAGGCAGAATTGCATGGGGGGAGGGATTGGTCCTCCAAAATTGTGTATATAGCAGGGCATTCATATTAGTGAGACGTGACTGCATCACATGTTGAGTTTTTTACTGATCACTTCAAGTAAGACTCTTGATCTAACTTGCCATAGTCAGTCATTGCCAATTAGGAAACGTCATATCTAAGTCTACAGAAATATTGCTTTTGTTGCACTCTGAATAATGAAGTATTCAGACCCAGATTCAAAATACAAAGGTACTGTGGTGAACAGATTTTCTTGTAACGAAAAAATAAAAATAAAATTCTGAGAAAATGGGAAAACTTTTTAGAGCAAGGAGATATGTAAAAGGTGATCTAGAATTCAAAAAAATATTTATATATTTTTTTTTTTTATTTTTGCTTATCAAGACTAGGGACTCCCCTAAATGGTGCCAGTCGTATTTGAGTGCTTCCCTGAACCGGATTCTTAAATACCACCAATTTAACTGTACAACTGCAGCAAAACTCCCTACAATGACTACTCTTTTTTAAACTAAGTGGCTATCTTGGTAGGGCTTTCTTTGTGTGTCGTAATGCACAGTCTTTTCCTCTAGGTGATGGAGCCACTTTGTTGAGGGAGACCAGCTGCCCACTGAAAGTCACCGAGGACATCTGGTTTGCATGCTGTTCCTGCACCTATGTCACCAGAGATCAACATGGAATTGTGAGCCACCTGGCTGCCCATGGCGATGAACAATCCAAGTGCCAGCATCCTCCCCTGTCTGGCTCTGGCTCTAAGTCCCAAGTGCTCGGCAACACTCAAAAGAACAAGAGTGAAAAGCCATTTAAGTGCAAGCTTTGCCCTCAAGAGTTTGCTTATAACTCCCTTCTGACCTGTCATAATCAAATGCACCCTGGTGAAAAGCCATTTAAGTGCAAGCTGTGCCCGCAAGCCTATACTCAAAATTGTGATCTGCAAACACATATTCGAGTGCACACTGGTGAAAAGCCATTAAAGTGCAAGCACTGCCCCCAGGCCTTTGCTGATTATCCGTCTATGAGAGCTCATAATCGAACACACACTGATAAGTACCGATTCAAGTGCAAGAAGTGCCCCCAAGCCCTTGCTGATTATTCGTCTCTGAGAATTCATAATCGAATGCACACTGCAGTGATGAAAGTGCTGCACCGATTGCGCCCAATTGCGCCAAGGACGCAATCCTGCTACGTGCAGCGCCAACTTGTTATTTTACCGAAGAGTTGTGCCATGCCTGCGCCGAGATGAGATGTAGCAATAAAAAAAATAAAAATTGAAGTCTGATCAGCGGCAACTGTTTTGCAAACCGAAACTGCGAGGGTGCATTATCATCATTATCATCATCATCATCATTGAAAGAAACCAACATCTGAGACCAAAGCCGCAGAAGCTAAGCGAAGAACCATCCCACTGAGCAGCCCATTAAAAAACCGAGCTTATGGATGTTTTCAATGTTTTCAAATCCTGATCATGCTTGGCCGATCGCGGTGTTGCACGCATTCATGCGAGGCCGGGTTCGGCCATCTTTCTGACGCGTCGAACGCCCCAAACGTTTAGTCGTGTTCGACTGGCCCCCATTAACTGTAACCTGTTCAAGGCTCTATAAAAACCCCTAGGAGGGGAGGACACCATTTTGCAGAGGCACGATGCACTTCCAGAAAGTGGTTCCGGCAGGGCACAAAAAGGTTGCCACACAGCTGGTCCAAGCGCAGTCTGCTCTGGGAAGATTCTGTCGAGGGAGTGGACATATCTGCCGACACCTTAGTGGCTGGTACTTGCGGTAGGATAATAGATTCTAAGTCAATGTGGTATGCCCCTCATATAATTATTTTTAACAGTGATGCGGGTCAGAGCAGCCAAGTTTCAAAGAATACGAACTCGGCCGATTTTGCTTGGGTTACCTTTGAATTTTTGTGTAATGTGTTAATTTCTGCATTGTGTAATTCATTTGTAAACATCTTGAATCGTAGTGGTATTTTTGATGCGCTAGCATTAGTTCCCTGGTACATGCACCGACCTATGAATGGTTGGAGAACATGCGTTCAAAGATTGGAACATCGTCACACGATGGTACCGCAGCCCTGCGTAATGCGTAGCAACCGAAGATCGCCGGCGGCGTCCCCCTTCGCCAATTTCGGTGCCGCACAGTGGGGGACGGTGGGTGTATCACTGGGGTGCTTGTCAACCCGCCCCAATCCCCCCGTTCAGGCTGCTTCGCGGCGACAGCCTGCGGACGGCTGTCGCCGCGCCGTGTATGCGCCGTATACGGGTACGGGTTGACGTGTACGGGTCGACACGGCGCACCCCGCCGGCGGCCGAAGTATGCCATAATCCCGCCGTCCCCCACTACCCTCGACTGCTGGATGTTATGTCACGCCGCCGGTTGCGGCAGTGTTGCCAGATGGTCCTACAAAAAACCGCCAAACGACTGGGAGGTATAGCCCAAATATAGCCAAAGCCGTAAAAAAATATAGCCCAAAATAGCCAAGACTAAAAACAATGATTTTTTAGCCTTATATTGACAATTTCTCACACTCATACATACACGTTATAATCTCTGTTTCAACCCTCAGATGCACCACCTTTTGTGTACATTATGTTACTTGTGAATTTTTTTTAAAAAAAGCTTCGGAATTATGAAAATCCGTACAAAACTGGCCCTTCCTTCATAGGTTTCCAGAAGTACAAAACACACAAAGGCAGCTTTATTGTGAAGCCCGGGAGATATGATCATACAGTAAAATAACGAAATAAGGAGAACAGTCTGAACACTGGATGTTTCAAAGCAGAACCCCAATATCTCAGGACTTTACCAATATCCCACCCGTATCTTTTTCTTTGTGAGGCATGTTAGTGCCACTTATTCATGTTCACGCTATTTCTGATTGTGTTGTCCTTTCTTGGGGTGGGCACCGACTGGAAGGTAGTCAATTGTCTAGTGGTGAAACTGTGAACCTCCGATCTTTACAAACCTGGGTGCCTAAGAATTTTCACAGTGGGCACCAAAGCAGCATTTGGAGAGTTCAGTCTACGCCCGGGCGGACCCATATGCGTCCGGGTCGAAGGCGCGCTACAGGACCCGTGGTAATAGTGCAATCTGTTTGGTTTGCTCCACAGCGCTGCAGGGAGACCGCTTGTACTCTGCAAGCATTGCTTCACTGTGCATTGTGAAAACACCGAAATTTGTAGAAGTTTGAAGCCTTTCTTCTTCCTATCTCTCCTCTCGACTAGCCAAAAGAGAAACATTTTTTTACGAAACTGATGAAAAGTTTGAAAATTAACAAGCCGAACCTCAAAGTTCGGCATCAAACCTTAGGTTCGACAAAAGTTCGCCGCATTCTTAGAAATAGCCCAAAATAGCCACATAGCCAACCACAAAATTTTGACGCCAACTAGAAAAAAATGTAGCCCAATTTGGCTATATATAGCCCAATCTGGTACAACTGGTGTGCGGGTGCGTGCTTTTGATGCCTTCGGAAGCTTCTGCTGCAAGCTTTGGAGACCTGTGCGTGCACACGGGCTGCGGTCCCGCTCTTTGGTCCGCCACGCCATCGTCTTGCCATGTCACCGGGCCGTAAAACCCCTCTATGGACAACATGCATGCCAACAACGAAATGGCCGTTTTCCACGCATTGCGCGTAGGTCCTTTATGCACAAGCCAAGTGTCTGCTTGCAGCAGGGAAAAGAGGAATTTTGGGAACGTTCTGTCCACGGAAAAGTGTTGAGAGGCTGCATTCACGATGCTTTCTTATATAAAACCGCTGCACGAAATGCTATCGCATTTCTTCCAGATGCAGCGTAGCAACAATAATAATTTCACCCCATATTTTTATACTATTTTTTGTTTGTTTTAAATGAAATCCGGAGAATATAAATGTTTTATCAGACTTGTGTTTTGCTGTTGAAATAAAGGTAGACAGTTCAAGGTTTCACAGTGGTAATGTTTATCTTCTTTGGTGCAGCCGAAGTAAATATGCCACGGGCAAAGTGGCTGTATAGGGAGTGCCGATTCTGCACATTGCTGACATCTTGCTGTACGCTCATAGCCAGGAAATCGACTGCCAAGTGGGTGTGCACACTGCAGCACATGTGGCGGTTTTCAACAATATCTCCGGCCAGTTCCTGCCCTTCAGTGGGTTTGGATAGGGGATGAATTGATGCGTGTGAAGACATTGTGCTGCATTGACAAGAGGTAGATAGGAGACTTGGGAGTCAAAAACAACTTTGAACCTATCTGTAGCACACTGTTGCATTTGTGCAACTGCAATCTTTGTTTCAATCATTCAAAATAAACCTGGTTTCAATTAGAAACTTGCTGAATGTCATTGAAAGCCATTAAATAGGTCAATATTAGAAAGACAGCGTGGAGGAAGCACGGCAGTGTGCTAAAGTTGCCGCTCGTGGGGGGGATCGGTGGCCGAGTGGTCTAGCGCACACCAGCTCGGAGCACGTGGAGCGAAAGCTCGCGCTGCAGAACCCAGGGATCCTGGGTTCGAGCCCCACCCCTGCCCGTTTCGATCTGGATGAGCATCGTACCGGCGTGCGGTCGTGTATCACTACTGCGTGATGCACGTTAAAGACCCCAGGTTAGCGGCTGTACCGCACTGGCTAAATTGCTCATCTACAGCTGGGAGACTCGTCGCCCCTGTGAGGCAGACCAAGTTCTAGGCTGTATAAACATACACACAACCCAATTATTATTATTGCCGCTCGTGCAGCAGGAACAACTCAAGGCTACCGGTGCGATGACGTGCCCGCGAGCCTTGTACCTATTGCACGAGCAGCAACTTTAGCGCACCACCGTGCTGTCTTTCAGAAAATCGCCAAGTGGTTTTCAACGATGCTCGCCAAGTTTCCAATTGAAAAAGAACAGAAAAAAATGCGCACCAAAACTGTCGGCCATGGTCGGTTGCAATGGTAGAGGGGCAACCGAACCGTTGCAATCCATGTCGAGGTAAAGGCATGCGAGACAGTCTCCACCGGAATGTCTGAGAGGGGAAGAGCTTTTGGCCGACGGGTGAATCTGTCGACGCACGTCGAGATATAGCGAGACCCGTTCAAGGACGGCGAAGGCCACGCGCAGCGGCCCGGCCGCCGGCAAGAGGTGCGGGTCCGGCCGCAGAGCCCGCACGAGCAAACTCCGGAGAGGCAGCACGGCAGAGCTCAACGCAAACATTCAGCACATTAAAAGCGAGTCGTTGAGGGCGCCATCAGCCAAGTGCAATCTTCACCACTTCACAGATTGGTGATGGCTCGTTATTTATACTTGTAGCCCGAAACCTATAGGGGTTAACTGGGTTAGACTTCGTCAAACTTTTGTTCAGAAGTTTGAATTTTGTCAAACTTCTGAACTTGACAGGTTTGAAAATCGTTGACTTTCTTAGCGCGACAAGTTCGAAAGTTAAAAAATGTTGAATTTCACAGTTGAAGAATCAAATTTCTCAGCACAAAACTTTGAAAATCGTCCCAATTTTTTATGGAACAAGTTCTACATTTCGAAGCTTTGCAAACCCGAGGTTTGATCTTCAAACCTCAGGTTCGCAAAAGGTTTGTGGCACCTCTAGTTTTGATGCACCTGCCAATGACATTGGGCTTCCACTTGGGCGAACCAGGCCCGCGGATTGTTCGCCCAAAAGGGTGGGAGATTGAGCTGGACTGCGGACGAGGCTCCATCGTCCTCGGAGGAGTTGCCTGCACTGCTCGGGTTCACGATGGTTGGATGTCCGGGTCATCAATTTGTCGGTAGGTGTTTGACGTACCAGAGAATGAAATGATGTCTGTTCAGAGCTTAGGCAAGAGACCATCTTTTATATCACGCGGCACCTGCTCATACGAGACGGCGTGCTCGCTGGCATCTGCATTGGTGCGCTGCCGCACTCCCATTGTTTAGCGGTGACGTCGCACGACGTCAATTTAGCGGAGAAACTAGATTGGCTGTTCCGATGCCAGTCCCTCGGGTTTCATCTACAGACGGCAATGGAATGAAATTAGTTGGGGGCTCACGGCAGAGTGCCCCTCTGTTCTGGCTTGCTTCTTTCAATTCGGCCCCCCACTCCACCGGTTAGGTCGAGTAACCACCCAGAATGTCCTACTCAAATTACACAAACTTATGGCACGCACGCACCATCTTACCTTTATCAACCCTCCCCCCCCCCCTCCCCAAAGAACAGAGAAATAACCAGATTTCAGCACCACCCGGATTGAGAATCCCGAGTAAACTCCCTGCCTCCACAGGGATGAGGCAATGGCAAGAGATTAAGGGGGGAAAGGGAGAAATGACAGGTGTCCTGCTCCTGTGTCCAGGTGCCCGAGGATCACTGTAGAACAGCAAGGTGCCGACTGTAGCGGCCAGCGTCTACAACCCTTTCGCGATTTCGAGTTAGGCAAGTAGTCTCCTTTCGTATCAAATACGGCAACAGATTCAAAGCTTTGATGTACTGGATCCAAATGCCGCGTAGCCTGTAAAAACACGCCGCTGTTCTAAGAGGAGCACTGACAACCTCGGCTTGCATCTGCCATTTTCTGAATTCCCGGTTCGAGTTTCTCGGTGTGAAGTCACGTGGATGTTGCACGAGGGAACGGGATTATTTGACAACTAGAAACTGTTGGCTTCACTGAGCTACGATGACCGACACCGAGCTCTCGCAACACAGCGCATCTGCCCATTGTGGCTTGTTTCACATCCCAAGTTAGTAAGGCTAGCTACTCCCCTCCCCTTTCTAATGGCATCCTTTATTTCCTCAAGTTTCCCACCAAGATATTCTTCAAACCAAGTCCCTGACAAGGGGGCACCGGCGTTACACTTAAAAAACCACCAACATAACAGTCCGGCAAGAACTGGAAGGACTAGCACCAGTGAATACATTTTGTGAGCACGGGTAAAATTACAGTTGAGGCATGCAAGATTTGAATCGAGGCAAAGCCTTTATCTCAATACGGTGAAGGTTTAATGAAAGCATTGCAAGAACACGGCCGTCCTTGGAAGTCTAATAAGGGTTGCATTTTTTCACGCATTTACAGCCATGTTGCCTTTGCAATATGCGCACTCCTGGTCTGTCGACCTATTAATGTAAAGGGAAATATTGGCATGCCCGTGTATTCCTCGACGGTCAATTCACTGTCAATTCATAAATATACTGGTTACACATTACCATGTTCATCACTATTAGTGGGAAGCGTTTGACTGATTCATGAAAGACGAAAGTGCTAAGTGTTAGGCTAGGAGAGTAGTTTGTTCATTTGATGATGGTGTTCCTACCTCTCTATTGGGAAGAGAAAAGTTTCTTCAGATTTTTTCAATAAAGATATCAGAACCTGTACAAATTATGTGTCATGTAGAAGTTCTTTTATGTTTATTGGGCATTCATATCTTTCTTCACTAGGGTGAACATTGGACATTCATATCTGTCTTCACCGAAAAAAGGAAAATGACAATCTCAATAGTACTAGTTCCTCCCTAGCACTTTTCTCAAGTGCTGTTCAACTACTTTGCACCACTCATTCTAACCACCACAGTTGCACATATTTGCAATACCCCATCACCTTTGAAAATTGGCATACCAATTGACAGAACAAATCTGGTCCCGAGCTACCACACTGCTATCTTTTGTTTCAACTATTATTTCAGGACTAGAGAACCTAGAGGTCTAACGAGAACTCAACTGCTACCACTTGGGCAAGAAATAAAAAAAAAGCTTTCAACAACAAAGCAAAAATACTAGAAAGTTCCATATTCCTATCCACAACAATCTGGCACCACTTTTTTACAGAGATTGTGGCCTACGAAAAATGCAGTCATGAAATGTGTTGCCACCGATGCAGTCATTGGTCACTGGGCCTTTGGCGAGCAACGAAAACATGAAACAAACGAGGCAAAATATACTAGAGAGTTCCACAGTCCTATCCACAACAAGTTGAACACATTTCCTTTTTACAGAGATAGAGACGCAAGCTAAATGACGCCATGAAGCATGCTGCCGTCAATGCAATCACTGGTGCGGAGCAGTCCCACGTCGCGCAACTCCGTCGAACTGGTCGCAAGTCTGTTGCGCACACAGGCGAGCAGAACTGGACTTGTGCAACTTCAAAGCTCTGTTCGTCTCTGGAGAATCCGTCCCTCCAGCTCGCCGTGGAGTTTGCCCACCTGGAAGGCACGACAAACGTTCCTGTCGGCGCTGCATTTTATGAAAAAAATGCACGACAAAGCGACAAAACAACTTCCTCAGGGGACACTAAAATCCCAAAGGGCTTTTTCTTTTTGGTTAAGTGCCTCAAGGAAATAAATATGTCACAAAATAAATAGGCTCCAAACTAAGAAAACATGAACATAGGAAACACATGTGCCAATCAATATTCCACAATATGAATTTAATCGAGAATGCCGATTTCTGTGGAATTCTGACTTCCAAAGAGCAGTTGACATTCCACTTTTAAACTACTAGAGGGTGCCTCTGTGTGCAAAATTAATGGGGTTTGTCATATTGCATGAATTTTACTTCACACAAAAGCTGAACTCAAGTATGAATGTAAGGGCTAGTAAGTCATGATGAACCCGGTCTCATCTCAAAGTTTGAAACAAGAAAAATGCCCTAAGTAAAAGCTAGCAACAAGGATAGAGAGCTTTCTATTGGAAGAAAGCACCTTGAAATTTTAACTGGAAAGCACAAATCTGATTCTAACAAAAAAAAAAAAAAGGTTTTGAATTTTAGGGGCGAAGCTCCTTAGGGGCTAGCCATGTCCGTATGTCCGTCCGCCGTCGGGTCACGAGCACGTGCTCCCGTGCTCGTGTAGGGAAAAAAACAAAAAAAACAACCGCATTTCCATGTGGTGAATGATGTTGATTGGGGCAAAGCTCTGGTGGTGCTTGTCTGCGTAGACGCTGAGCCGCAGCATGCCGAGCCTTTCGTTCGTTTTCATCCATGTCAGAAAGAGAATGTGTGGTATGTAACGTGCTTATATTCGCAATTGAGCATTTGACCGCAGCGTGACATGGATGAAAACGAACAAAAGGCTCAGCATGCTGCGGCTCAGCGTCTAAACAGACAAGAACCACCAGAGCTTCGCCCCAATCAACATCATTCACCACATGGAGATGCCGTTTTTGATTTTTTGTGTTATTTATAGCCAAAAGCTTTTGCATTTCTCTACTCCAAAGATTCTACCTTTGGAGTTCTGGGTTCTACAAAGCGTAGCTTATCAACCAGGGTCGCACAGGCTTTTAGGAAGAAAGTTGAGGGGCTTTCAATGAGACACTTCATGAAATTTTGAGGAAAAGTCCCAATTTTAAAAACCACTGTGTTTTAAAGAACTTTTATTGTTAGACAGTGATTCGAACAATTCTTGTCAAATAGAGCTCAAAATTTTTTTAGAATGGTTTTCAGAATGAAGATGACAGTCCTAAACTATACATTTGAAAAATCTAAAGTGCCGTGTTTCAAGAGCATTTGCTCTCAAAATAGCTTATTCAAATATCAAAAGTGAGGGGTTTTCTCAAAGGCCATCCAAAATTCAAGGCTTCTCCTCTATGCAGGGCGTTCCGAGCCCTCAGGCTTGCTCCGAAATCTATGCACTAATTTCACAAGGAAAAATCCACCCTTCGAATCCACCCTGGAACAAAATTTGAGATCGCCAGGTGCAGGCGTCTATTTTAGGACGAGCCTGGCCATTGCGAGCGCCCTACATTTCACTTGCACCCACCTTGTGGTTGTACTGCTTGACGCGCTGCCTGAGGGTCTTCACTTCGTCTGGGTCAGTGTCCAGCTTCCCTCCCGTCAGGTCTGCCTTCAGCTGCAGCTCGGAGCGGAAGTGGTGCAGCTTGCGCAGGCGATGCTCGTAGTGCGACAACTCCTCCTGTCGCCGGACGGCAACCACGGAAACGAAATGAGGTTTGACCAAAAATTAGTTTCTACCCTTTTCTTTTTTTTTTGTGAGACTTTCTTTCATCTTTTCACACTGTGTACAAATGCAAAGCCCCACTCTACAGCGGAAACACTGCTCTCCCTCTCCCCGTTGTTCCTCACACACGGCAAGGTTCTCTCTCACTCTCCAACTCCCTTCTCCTGTAGGCCGCAGCTGTTCTTGCACCAAAGACGCTCTCCCTTGCCCTCCTCCCCCTTTCCTCTGGCAGCCGTTGTTGCAAAGTACAGGCGCGGTTGCACCGTACGGACATGCTCCCTCTCCTCCCCACTGCCGCCACCCAGGTTCCGTTCTCGTGTGCTCTCCGCGCCTCTACAGAACATTTCACGTGCAGGCACAGGCCCCCCTGTTCTAAAAGAGTGTTTCAGCCAAAAAAAAAAAAAAAGCGCGTCTCTGTGTCCTTTTTTAACGCACGCAACATCTCGCACAATCATTCCACTAAAGCACACGTCTCCTACATCACTTCCCCTGAAAGCAAAGAACCTACTGCAAACATTGCACAGCACACTGGCTGAAGCAAGTCTCCTTCGACATGCCTTTCGACAACGCAGCAGCTACCGTTGTCAATTGTAGCACCCTTTGTGTAGTCGTCTGCAACGTTTTAATCCACACAAATGGTTTGTTCCAAAACTGGGGCAAGGTTGCACGAATAAGGTCTTCACTGCAAAATTATCAAGTTCAGCAGACATTCGATTGCCATTACAAATCACTTTGGTAATACACCAAGTTTTGCTAACACCATTTTTTGGTTTTAAAGGTCACGCTGTAAATGCGGTATTGAAGAGAGTCATTTGGTGAACCAGAGTCTTCCTCTAAGCTATGGATACATCTTCCACTAAGCTATGGATAGATCACATTTTGATGTTAAGATTTTGAAACCAGATCAATGATTAAGGTAATTCCCAGACACAGTGGTGAGAATTAACAGCATGTTACATCGAAAAACTAGCATAGCCCAGCTACTGAAACCTTTTGCATAAAGCTGACCATCCCAGTGATAGAACCATCTTGGTGGCTAAATACTGGGGGCTAAATGCCAGTGGTGACTAAATGCTAGTGGGAAAAAACTTGAAACAAAACAAACAATAGTGACTGAACACTAGTGAGCAAACACTAGTGACTGAACACCAGGAAGGAACACTAGAAAGACACGTTAGTCACTGAACACCAGCAAATGAACACAAGGGGAGAATAGCTAGAGAAGAAATACTAGTGAAAAAACAATAGTGATGAAACACTAGTAAAGAAACAATAGTGATGAAACACCAGCAAATCAACACTAGTGATGAAACACCAGCAAATCAACACTAGTGAGGAAACATTAGCGAAGGAACTAGTGAGGGAACATTAGTGAAGGAACAAACATTAGTGAGGGAATACCAACGACTGAACACTAGATAATAGACACCCCTGACAAAACAAGTGCTAGTGGTGAAACCAGCAATTGGACACTAGTGAATGAACACTAGTGAGTGAACACTAACGAGGGAACATTAACGAGTGAACACTAGCGCCTGAACAGCGGTGGCTGCATGAAGACTTTCTATAGCAAAATGCATAGCCCCAAAAGAGAAAGGGCTTACCCTGAGGGAGTTCAGCTCTGTGGGCGTGAAGTCGGCCTGCTGCGCCAGCTTCCACAGCTGCTGAACCTTCTCCTCCTCGAAGTCCTTCATGCCGGCGAGCTGGGAAGCACGGGCACTCAGCTTCTCATAGCCTTCCCTGAGCTGCTGGTGGTGCTGCTTTAGAGCCGCGTGCGGGAGTCCGTTCTCCACCAGTCGCTTGGCCGCATCCGAGGCGTCCTCCGTCGCAGACAACACCTCGTCTAGCGAATTCTCGTGGTCGTCTGCGAGAAATGTGTCTCCTCTCAAGGTCACCCCGTGGAACCACTGCAGGAGTACTACCGTATGTCCTGCACCATGGTTTGCACCCAGTGTATAATCTGCAGGGTACAAATTTTGGTTTAAAAAAGTTTTTCTTTAGATAGTCCACACCCAGTGCCTATCGTAAAATCCCGTAAGGGCTCCTCCGAGAGATTGGTACTGCAGTCTTTTTATATGGTTCCCGAAGGGGCGCAACGCTTTTCAATGTCAGTTTCTCGTTACAGCCGGCCGTCACGGCCAAACGTTACAGAACCCTGTGAAAATGGGCCAATAAAACATCACTGCGTTAAAAGAAAACCTGCTGCCAGCCACTCACTGCGACTCTTGCCTGAGGAATCCACTGTGCCGTCCAGGATCTCGTAGTACTCGTCGATCTTGTCCTGATGATGCTGAAACTCTTCCTTCAACGTCTTCAGCTCCAACTCTGGATGAGGGAGAGGCACAAAAACAATTGTTAATAATAATTAGGAGAGAGGGAAGTTCCATAAAGGCAGTGACTATTTCGACGTACACGACGCCACTTTTGTAAAATGTCAAAATAGTGGCTCTATTATTTCGATGTCCTCCTTCAATGCAGCAGCCGTAGCAGCGACAGCCGTCATCTGGTTTCGTTCTGTTTAGTTTCTGATGGTGTCGCCGGTGTTCTGTTGGCATTTTGACGGATAGTTTCGGTACCAGTTGGGATTGGAAATGTTTTATTCAGAGTGTGTGTGTGACTGGCTCGACAGACCCGCTGTTATACCCTATATCCACAAGGTCTCACACAACCTTAAAAAACTAGCGGCACACTTTGATTTGCCGATTATGTTTTCGGCCCCGGAAAAGGTGTCCAGCCTGTGCCAAAAAATTAACAACAAAAATGACAGAGGCAACGTTTGCAGAAAGAAACGCTCTAGGAAATTTGTGGAATGCGCATCCTCGGTCATATACGAAATTCCAATGACATGCGGAAAAGGGTATGTGGGCGAAACGGGCAGATGCGGTAATGAAAGGGCAAAGAGCACGCGTTATCAGTAAGGAATTCACCTTTGGGCAATTTAGCTATTCACTGCGATAGATGCCCTAGCGCCCCGGAATTGGAAAAAAACAAAAATTCTGGGAAAGCTAAGAAGCAAATTCTCGAGAGAGCTGTACGAGTCATTCAACACTATAGTCCGTTGCAACCTAAAAACGAAGGGCGAGGGTAAGACGAACCGGGGAGCAGGAAGCAGACGGAACGCTGGAGAAGAGAGGGGGAAACCTCCTCCTCTCTTTAGCGTTCCGTCTGCTTCCTCCTCCCCGACACGTCTTACCCTCGCCCTTCGTTCTTAGGTTGCAACATACTATAGACCGTTCCATTAGGGTCATAGCAGAGAGGGTAAAAGAAAAAAAAAATGCACTACCCTCTCCCCCGCAAGCCGTCCGCTCCGCCGAGTGGGCTGTAGCTAGCGTCTGGCTGGCGTGCAAACTCTGTTTAAAATCGCGTCATTTTAGAACTTTCAAGCGCAGATGCGCAGATTTCGGTATGCCAGTTGTCATGTAATACTATGCTAGATAAAAAGACTCACAGGGTCCAATTGCGCTGTTACCTGCGTGCAAATAAAAAACAAAAATAGGGAAAACTGTGTCAGATTGGACGGTCTCTTTGGCGAAAAGAAAATCCGGTTGCTGTACCTTTTTTACTATACAAAAGTTCGTACTGGTGTAGGCCTTTAGCGACCATGAGTGGAAGTCTGAAATAATAAATAAAAACATGCTCTCCTGCCGCAATACACGCAGTAGTTGAGGGTAGTACTGCCGGCTGACTCAACTGCTATTTAAGTAACGGAAAAAATATACGCTAGTTTATCATTTAGCAAAATAGAACAACAGAGAGCTCTAGGCTGATTTTGGAGTAGCCACAACTATTCTAAGAACGCGAACCACTTCACAACGGCAGCCACGAGCGAGAGTTCGATGTTCCGTACAGCCCGCCGATACAGCCCAAAGATGGAGAACGGCAACCTCCCGGTTTGTCGTCTGCTAGCGGAGTCGGCGGCGTGCCCTCTCTCTCGTTTTACCCCGCCGAACCCGCCGAACTTCCTGCATGTGTGGAGAGGGCGCTGCGGTCCAACAAAATGGTGCCGCCCAGAGAGCGCTAAATGGAATGGTCTACAGATCGCAGGGGGATGACAGATACATAAGTGCCCCGTCAGTCCATCTAACAGCCAAGGAATATAAATTCCTGCTTGAGAAGCCCGATTGGGTGTATAAATAGTGTGTGTTATTTCAATAAGCATTTAGTTGAAAGTAGCGCTTCGTCTTGTCTCCCTTACTCTGTCCCTGTCTTGCGGCTCATTTTGTCAAAAGAATTCCTCAGGGCTTTGTTCCTGGGACGCTGCTTTTTCCCTCGCATTTGTGAACGACCTTCTTGATCACATAACATCCTGTATTCGACTTTTTTCTTATGACGGCGTAATATACCGTCCTGTATCTAACTTGCATGATCACGTATAGCTACAAGCTGACCTTAATTTAATGGCTGACTGCTGTCAAAAGTGCACAATGACAATTACCTTTTTCTAAAACGCAACTCCATTCCCTTCACGCGTGCTCATAATCCTCTGTTTTACTTACACAATGTCAAGCAGCCTATTACCGATGTCCGTCGCACGGGTACCTCGGCGCTCGCTTATTGTAACGACTCCTCATGGAATGCTCGTATGATGCATATGCCGTCTAACGCTAACAGCTCTCTTAGTTATCTTTGACGTAATTCGAAAGTAGCACTGTCATCAATAAAGCAACTAGCCTACACTACACTCAAAACGTAGCTACTGGAATATGTCATCCGTCTGGTCCCCCTGGCAACATTCATTGGTAACAAGCATAGAGGCCGATCAAAATCGCACCATCAGACTCATATTTTAGACTACTCTCGAGACCCCAGTATTACTTCGCCAAGAATAAAGTCTGACCTCGATCTACTCTCATTAAGAAGAACATTAGGTACCTCTACTGTCCATTGTTCACAAGATATACTGTCATACCCATGACATCAGAACTTTGTCGTTATTCCGACCCACTCGCATATTTCCTTGCATTGATAATGTGTATAAAGTCCGCACAATTTTCGCTCCAACTGTCCCATCTCCTGACTCCCGTTAACAATGGCGGACTGGAGTAACTTCCCCTATGATATCGCGACCCTGACAGATCGTACCACCTTCATTTCACAACTAAGCACCCATCTCAAGTTTTACTAATGGCAAAGAGTTCATTAGTATAAATATTTATTTTTGTGAAGCCTTCGATGTGACCACTTAGTTTGCAATCTGTTTTAGTGTGAATTCTGTGTTTTCCTTTGCTCTTATATAAAAAAAGAAAGCTTAGCAGCCATCCCCCCCCCCCCTCCTCCTCCTCCTCCTCCTCCTCCTCCTCCTCCTCCCCCCTTCCCCCCCCCCTCATATAATGCCTGCAAGGGCCCTCAAGGGGTAAAAATGGTGATGATGATGGTATAGGCATCACAGTGATGTTACGAGAATGTCACGGTGATGCCATGGTGTCACAAGACACTATCGATTTTCGTAACCGTTTTCTCATAGAATTATACTAACAAAACACGTTCTGCAATAAAAAAAAAAAAAATGTTATGCCCTTTTTTTGGAGATGTAATGCGATAGCATTTGGTATCCCATGCACCCTTCCAGACATTCCTCAAGCTCGGCACTTTTGGCCTGCCTTGGTGCCACGCTGTTTTCCCTTAATTTCTTCCCTAACTGAATTGGCATACGACTCCACAGAGGTTCAGGTTTTTCCCACTAAATGTGGCGGGGATACGCCGATAATTTGGTTGGTATTACGTAACATCAGTGCCCCCCATCGCACGAAATAAAGTTCCCCGCTAAATTTAGTGGGGGAACTGAATTGGTTTGCGATTAAACACCCAATTCAGGTTTTCTCACCAAATTTAGCCACTGAACTGCAATGAATGGATGCACACGATCTCACAATTTAGTGGCCTTGAAATGCAACCAAATTTTATAATATTTTCAAAGTATTTCTAGATCAATCTTAAGACATTTGCATCGCTCCCTTCTTAACATCATTGACTATCAACACTTCTAGCTCTCAATTCTAGCTAAAAAGAAAATCAGAATTTCATGTTTAGTTTTTGCTCAAATGTTTGTACTCCCCCAATATTGCCTTTCTTTAAATTTGGTTCTCACGATCCACCCCACTACTGTTTGCTTTTTTTCTGCTTTCTTGCATGTCATGTTTTTACTAGTTTCTCATTGCTATTAACAATTCTAAGACCTAGCACATGTTTCAACTCATGTGACAATCAATGCCATCATTTTACGTTTTCTTCTATACCTTTCAGTTTTTTTCCCCATAGCTATGAAAAGATTTAACTTACCATATTGTTTTACAGTGAATGAACCCTGTATTATACTATGATATATTGCCGCATACAAGTCAACCCTTTCAGAAATGGGCATCTCAAAGTAAAGCATCTCAAAAACAAGTACTTGGCTATGGGCCCATATGGTGTTCCAGTAAACTGTAATAGGCGATTACTGTACTAAAACCCATCGGTTTGATTGATTGATTGTTGCTCTTCCACACTCACCATCCAGACCTGACTGCTCGACCTTGCGCCAGAGCTTGTTGAGCTTCTTATCCTTGAAGAGCCGGTCCGCACGCGGCGCATTGGGATGCTCCAGTGGAACAGCGTCGTGATGCTTGAAGTGCTCTGCCAGGCCAAACCGCTCCACTATTTCTGTGCCATAGAAACGCCGCGTCCAAACGGATTAAAATACCGAACATGCGCCCGCACCACAGTTGGCGCCCCTCTACGGCGTCTGCGAAACGCCGACGTAAATTGCCCAAAACACTTTTTTGTTTCCTTGTAAATGAGGACAGTTTTTTCGCTGATGTTTTCACTCTAAACTTCCACCCCGCAACCACAACTCTCTAGCAAATCGCAGAGCGGTACGCTTAGAAACCAATCTTTACAGTCAGTTTGAATTGGGTTCGAAGCATTGGCTTACCCGCTGTGTAAGCTGCTCCGATATATTTGCATGGTCAGCGCGACCAAACAGCATTAGTTAAGCCTGCATATGTACCCTGTGAATGCGATATATGCGCGCAAGCGGGAGCCAGATTTAATACCTTCGCCAACAAATGAATGAGAAATATAACCTTCGCGGCATTTTGAGCAGTTCGCGTAGACAAAGAAAGAAAAATGCATAAAAGTTGCACTGTTGTACAAGTGTCTTATGCAACACAGTTATTTTTCACCGAAATATCCGTCAGTGTGTCATCGATGAATATTTTACCGAAAATAAATGAGTCTCTTACACGAGAAACTACAGTAGTCGGTCGGGCATGCGCCCAAGTGGAGAGACGTCGGCACCGACGGAGCGTGAGAAAAACAACGCACGTGGCTGGGTCCTTAATTGCAAGCGCCGATGCGATACAATGAAGCCCCGTACACCTTTCCACTGATTATTGCCGAGGCGGAAAATACCGCGCCACTGAGCTGCAGACGCACATGCGGCGTTCAGAATTCCGCGGAAGAGGGCTACCGGCATGCTCGGAACGCCTTCCGCAGCCCAGCAAATAAAGGTGGCAGTGCCCAAGAGGCCGTTGGCGGAATGGTCCACACCGTTCCGTCGGATCAGACGAAGGCCGAGCAAAGGTCCACGACCGTGGCCTCCACTTTTCGGCCCTTGGACCTAAAAAGCGTCCGTCCCCCGTTTTCTCGTTGCCATCTTTGACTACCGGGTGGGCACTTGGGCACTTATACTTTGTTCAAGTCTGTTTTAGTAGTATTGCCCCAGACAATCTTACGAATTATGTTGGGAGATGCCGAACGCACGGCACGTTTTGCGCAGCGCTAGGCTAGCGTGACGCGAACAGAAATATGGCACAATAAATTGAGTGGCGTCGCACGAGCTTGCGTGACCACAGTCACACTAATGTCATGTAAACACCGTCCACCAAATTTAGCAAGACGGGAATCTGTCAGATTTGGCAAGCAAGTGCCGGTTTTTCATGGTGTCGCGTCACAATTAATGCCATTCCTTAAAGAGAACCTGGATCACTTTTCAAGAAATCCGAGATAGGAGCAACCTTCCCTGGCGTTTTGTCCCATTAACTCAGTTGTCGCACTTACCTTGGGCAGAGGTTAACATAAATCACATTTATTTAAAAAATATGCCCAGCGATTGCCGCATGGTATGAGGTGAGCCCCTCTGCCGCCTGTTATCTGTCCAAAAAGTCTCGGCGTCAAAGTCTGCATCCCCAAGCCAGGTCAGTGGGGAGTGAGGGTCAACTTGGAGTTACTGGATATTGCCAGAGTATTGTATTCTATAGCATCCACTATGATTGGTCTATTTTAGCTTTGATCAGCCATTTTGGTGCTGAAACATATATGGTGGGCAGGGTTTCACAGGTGCCAACCCATCTCCCAAGCGGACTCGCCGAGAATTATCACCAGAGTTAGAATGCGCCCAGATCGGGACGTGCTACCTGAAACCACCAGTGAGACGTGGTTGTGTAAAAACAATATTAATTGTGCTGCAAAACCTTTAAATTAAAATTTAATGAAAACATCATGCTCCTTTCATCCTGTACTGATCTCGAATAAAGGCACCTACAAAAAGAGCTTTTTCCACTTCCTTTTACAGAAGAACATGCTTTTTGAATGCTGGCTTTGTCGAGAAATGCTTCCAGAATTTTCAAGTATCAAGATTCTGTCGGAAATTCCAACAGCACCATTCATAATATTTGTCAAAAAAAAAAAAAAAAATTAAGTTGCCCTTTTGGCGTTATCGAGCCTGGGAGTTTCGCTACTCTGGTAACATCCAGTGACTCTAGGTCATCTGACTCTGGTGATGCCACCACTTTTGCTAGTTTTTCACTCCGCTTTTGTGCGCGACTAGGACAAAATTTTATTTGCCGATTACGACACCCCCAATAACAAGATTGAAAGAAAACCGAACACGCAACTTTTAAGGTGCCTACAATAACTTTCACAGCTTACTGAATTCAAGGACCTCTTCAGTTTCCCTTTAAACACAATCTGCATTAAAAATAAAGGGCCCCTCGTTTACCCTTCAGCCTGTGCCTGAGCTCGGCCTCCTTGAGGCCCTCTTTGTCCTGGCCAGCTCCCCTGAGCTTCTTCCAGGCCAGCTCGTCCTTGTCCTGCACCTTCAGCTCGGTGTACAGCCCCTTCAGCTTGGCCTCGCTCAGCCTCTGCAAGGGCAGTCAATCGGTGAGAACACGGCAACCACACATCAACCGATGTTGGAGGGAGCAATCCGAAGAGGTCGAGCAACTAAAAAAAGGTGTTTTTAAGATAGTATTTTATATTTTGGGCTTTTGCATTTTCACCTGCTTTTGTAGATGAAAGTTGGCCTCACATGCTTCTTTTCTGTGCGCTTTCTGCACTAGGGCAACATCAGTTGTATTCAGTGACAGGTTAAGGACCCAGTAGATGCTCTGCCTTGAGCACAAGCTTTCTGCACGGCCAAAGCATGGTAGAAGGCAACAAGTGCATGCTGAATTCAGAGCATCGAATGGGTCCCCAACCGTCACCGACAATAGACTGAGGCCGCAGTGCTGTCACTTTATGCATCCTTCAAAAGACTAGTTCCAAAAATCCCTGCATGCAACACTGCACGCACTGCATCGTGGGAGATCTTTGGCCATGGAGAGAAGTGGTGTGGTTCCAACCTCGATTATCTTGCTGACGAAGTGGTGCATCTCGGCAATGCATAAAAATAAAGTCGGTGCTCGCTAGCGTCCTCCTTGTTTGTCTTCGTAAGGCCCCCGGTTGAAACACGGACCTCTGACGGCCGTAAGGGTCCGCCTGCTTAGCGAGGAGTGAGAGTTCAGCCGGCCGCATCCAACACCTTTCCGGCTGCCCGGACACCACTCCAGGGCTCTGCCGGCTCCTGGATAATTTAAGAAGCCCGTTGAGGGGATGACAGAACAAGATTGTTGTGGAATAAAGACGAGGAGGAACGTGGGTGGGACAGCTACTGGAAGTGCGCGCAAGCACAGCCTATTTGAGTGATCCGGTAAACTACCTTACGAAAACGAACGAATCTCGGGTCCCTTCATTAACAATATGGTGCCAAAGGTTGCCAAATCGAAACTGAAACTGGGGCAAGGGGTTAATATAAGATGCTGTGCACAGCACCATGCCACTAGGATCGCTTCAATTTTACAAGTCTATTACACTTTGTCAATGGTAGCAGTGACTGCAGAAGCATGTCCCGTGCCAGATCATTAATTGGTTTCCAGGAGTTGAGAACTTGGCGACCCACAATATCAGTAAAATGCACAAATGCAATTTGCTTTATTTTTGCGATCAGTATTGTTAAAGGGGCACTGACACCCCAAAGGTTGTATTCTTTTTTATTGTCTAAAACGATGCAAGTTGTAGTCATAGACAAGCAAAAAAAACCACATCGCGAAAAAAAACTTCCTCGCGCGCGCGCGCGCGCCTTCTTATTTTTGGCGTTTATATTTCCCGCGCTAACCTCCTTGCTTCTTTTGATCGGTGACGTCAAAAATCAGGAAATTTAGAAGCTTTGTAGGTGACATTTCAATAACATTTAATAACGGCAATCGTAAAACATGTTTTTTAACGCAATGACAAACGCACTACGGCCTTTCTTTTTGAAATACCAAAAATCAGATTTCGGTGTGATGTCGCTTCCTGAATTTGTGTTCTCCCTCGGAAACCTTGGCGGCGCTTGAGCGGCGAGTCGGGGAAGAAACCGGTTTTTCCCCGCGCCGGCTCCCTTCTATCCCGCCTGCTCACCTCCTCCTCTCTTCAAGTCGCGGTAGCACCGGCGCTTTGCTTCACAGCGTGGTGCGGAGGTCCGAAAGAAAGTCGAGTCGCAAGAGACTGCAAAATTTGACTCACTGCGCTGGCGCGGATCGCGCGGGAACTTCAAATTCGGCATTTGGAAATTGTTTTTTTAATTCACAAATACTCAATTCCCAAGTTTCGAATTTTGAGGGTAATGTCCCGGCATCATTTTCAGTCGTTTCGGATAATAAAATAAATTACGATTTTGATGTGTCAGTGCCCCTTTAAGTTTCTCGCACGCTCACTAACTGCATGCCAACCACAGTTTCACAGTCCCAAATTGTGTTCGTTGATACTTTCAGGTGGTCATACACTCAGAATGATTTGATCAAAAAACATATTTGACTCAAATTATATTTTCTTCGGCGTGCTTCCAGGTAGTGACAGCCACACTCTCAGCTAAGAAGAGCCAGATTGGCCACCCCTGACATATATATATATATCAGGTGTCTGCAATGCAGAGGCTCGATCTGAAATGGGCCGCAAAAATCGGCACTTGCACCTAGAGATCTAAACCTTTCATCAAAGGTGTATTTCACAGGTGGATTTTACCTTGTAAAATTACAAGGTGTAGCTCCCTTTCTGTAAGAAAAAAATAGGGCCAAAATTGTTGCCACGGTCATCGGCGGACGGTGACGCAGACGACCAAGTCGAGTGGCAGGGCGTGTTTGGCGCACGTATTGGTAGATGGCACTATCTTTTAAAAATATTGAGACTGCCCACCAGTGGCATAGCCAGGGAGGAGGCTTATGGGGCTTCAGCCTCCCCCCCCCCCTCTTCCCAAAATCCAGCCGACCCTGTAATATAAACATGCATTTTGACAACCCCTTCCCCTCTCCAGATCATGGACATCCCAGCCACCTTGGTTCCGTCCCTCTCTTCCTCTCCTCCCCTCCCCTCCCCTCCCCTCCCCTCCCCTCCCCTCCCCTCCCCTCCCCTCACCTCACCTCACCTCCCCCCCCCTCCCCCCCTCCCCCCCCCCCCCCAAAAAAAAAAAAATTCCTGGCTATGCCACTGCTGCCTGCGACAGCTGTGGTCTATTAAAATGAACATAATCCTTTTGTAACATACCTCCGATTTAAAAATAAATGCAGACAATGATAGGAAAACGTGAAGTAACTAAAATAAGGGGAAATGCAATTGCATAACAACAAAGCTCTTGCTGCTGACGGATTTCGTCTGCGTGTCGTTTGCCTTCTTTCGCTGGTGGGCTACACCTTGCGACACGGCTCCCTCCTGACACCATCCATCAATACGTGTGCCAAACGTGCCATCCTACTGATCTCAATGACTATTGCTGGATCGAGTTTGCCCGCTCCGCGAATACGGTCACTGGCGGCCATCTTTAGGTAGAGTTATATTACCTCTAGCCAAGGTACAGCTCCTGCAGCCACTGTAATCCATCCATGGTAGACAGTGTTTTGGCAGGTGTGGTGTCAGGCTGCCGTCAAAATAGGGTGGATGATATTTTGTGCTTGATTGAAATTGTTTGACGAAACATGTTTTTGAAACCCAGCGTGAACGGTAGCGCGATCTTTGAGGACCCGGTGAAAGTTTCACGAAATCGCAGCAGGGGGAAAAGCAGCGCAGCTCGCATTGAAAGTCGCATCAAAATTAGCATCAAAAGCAGACGCCTGTACGAAGTCTGCTTTCGATGCGAGCTGCGCTTCTTTCCCCCGGTGCTGCGCTTTCGTAGAACCTTTTCCGGGTCCTCAAAGATGAGGCTACAGTTCACGCCGGGTTTCAAGAATCTGCGTGGTCGAACAACTTGAATCAAGCACGAAATATCTCGCACGGTAGAGTGCACTAGATCCACGGCTATTTTATGGCACCCGGCCGCCATTGCGCTGTCCGCCATATTACTATGATGGCTAGAGATGATATAACTCTACCTAAAGATGGCCGCCAGTGACCGCATTTCGGTCCATAGGCGGAGCTTTTCAAACGCGATCCAGGAAATAGACATAGAGATCAGTGTGCCATCCGGCCTATTCGACTCTGTCGTCTGCGTCGCTTAACCGTGGTAAATTTTTTACCCTACTCTGTACAGAAGGGAAGTGATGTCTCGCAATTTCACAAGGTAAATAAAACCCACCTGTGAAATATACCTTAGACGAAAAGTTTAAAACCCACCTGTAGAATATACCTTTGACGAAAAGTTCAGATTGTCCCGTGCAGGCGCCGATTTGTACGGCCAATTTTAGATCGAGCCTTGGCATTTCAGACCAACTATATAAGCAATTCGAGGTGGGGAAGGACGAAAGAAAGCAGGGTCATCGTACTATTCGAGGCTTCCTTAACAAGCAGACGAGACAGAAGGAAGCACCACACACCCCCTTAGATAAACGTGATAATACTCCAATTTTTTTTTTCTACACGCCCTTAGATAACCATGAAGATGATACTCCAAATTTTTTTTCTTCTAATCTATCATAAAATTGAGTGCCACACCCTCCCTAAGGACAAACCAAGCGAGAAGTAGGATGGTAGTGACCGGGAGGAGTTTCAGTTACCCCGCTTCGAGCGTGAGCAAACGTTCCAGTGTCTCACGCAGCCAAAGCGCGGCAAAAGGCAACAAGCGCGAGCTGGACGCCGGGCATTAAAAAAAGACGGAGGGCACGTTTCGAGAAGGTAGATATGCTTTCGCTAAATGACTCCGCGTTTTTTTATTGTTTTTTTTTCTTCCAACTTGCTGGTTTTTGACATATTGAGCTCCTTAAAGGACCCACTGAAGTCGGGGTTATACGTGGCTTATGTTAATAGCGCTGAAGGAAAGCGATAACTCATGCAGTTAGAAGGGTTGGGTATACCGACCTTCTGCGCTTTCTCCCACAGAGCGTTGAGCTTGTGCATGCGGAACGGGGCCTCGTCCGGGTTCACAGAGGGCTTGGGCGGGGGTCCGGCCTTGTTCATAGCTTCGCTGTACTTGTGACCGGCGATGGATGCTAAGCAAGCTAAGCATGCCGAAAGTAACAGGCACATGCCGACACTCCCCATGATAGAACTGTCAGCGAAGTGCGGTAATCACTTGCTGGGCTGGGCCGGCTGGGCCTCGAAAAGTAAGTGACGTACTGCTCGGAGCGAATGGCTTGGCTGTTCAAGGAATGGTAGGGTGGGGAGCGGTGAACTAAAGAAAAAGCTTGTGTCAACAAACTTTGAAGTAGTGGAGCGTGCGCGTGCAGTGGATAAAAATGCGCACACCGTATTTGGGAAAGACCGGGTCATGTGACCAGATAGTTAGCACACGTAGATAAAAGAAACCAACAAATGTATTGAATTGGGCGGCGGCTTGCGCCACCTAGCCCGAACGATACTGAGGGCAGTGTTTATTTTTGCGAGCGTTCGGATAACTTCGGTCCTAAAGTCGTCAAACGCAAAGTTACAGCCGAAAGTTCGTGGAGCGCGCCGATTAGACAATGGCGACAAAAACGCGAAGTTGTCGTGATAGTCCAAGCGGTGCAGTCCGTGAACTTGGCCCAACTTTGTGTTTGATGAGTTTAGAGCCCTTGCAGTGATATGTGTCACAAAATTAAACCATCTTTAAAAAAACAAAAAAAAAAAAACGATTTTTTTTATGTAGGAAGATTTCGGTCAAAAATATGTCAAATGGACCTTTTCCACATACCGACGGCACCAGGCGGTGACTGCATGAACTAAAAATCGAGGAAGTGACCTACCTGCGCTACCAATCGATAATGGGAGCTACGCTACCAGTTTCTTCGCTCTCTGACCAGCGGCGCCTGCCCAACGCGACTTTAAAGGGGCATCCGTGGCGTCCACCCAATCGTCGTGTTTTCCTTTCCCTCGACGTTCTCTTTTTGTGTAACACTATTATATATATGCTGCAGTTACATGTTCTACTCGCTGATATACAGCCTCCTTCCGAATTTCCTCGATTTTTCGTTCTGACTTCCGCTGCTTGGCATCGGGCGCTCGCGCGTGCGCAGAACACTTCTCGGAAAAGGTCCATTAAACGAGCCGCCATCACAGAGAAAAGCATATTGGCCCTTTTTTAGAGGAACCAGCTTAACTTACCGAAAATTAAAAATAGGAGAAAAGACACCCGATCGCTGGTACCACCCTAAGCCACTGGATTTAGTACAACCAACGTTCCTAAACCACTCCGTTGGGAAACTGCCATAGAGACTGCCCTGAAAGAGTGGCCCCGATCTGTCCTCGAGAACCGAGCTAATGGCGAACACAACGCCGCCATATCTCCCGCAGCGGCCACTCGAGGAACTGCACACAACTTCTACTTTGGATTTTATCGGTAATTTTGGCGCTGAAACAGATACACCGGAAGAGGTTACAGGGGTGCCACCCCCGCCTCCCCAGCGGACGCGCAGTGTGTTACTACCGAAGTTAAAACGCACCTAGGTCGGGACGCGCTACCTGAAAGCACCGCTGAGGCATGGTTGTATAAAAACAGTATTAATTGTGCCACAAAACCTTGCAAACTACAGATTTTAAGAACATCACGCACCCTTCATTTCGTACTAAACTCCAATAAATTTTGTACAAAAAGAGTCTTTTCCGTTTGTTTTGACGCAAAAACATGCTTTCTAAAAGCTCAATGTGACCACAGTACAGACAAGTGATAAAGAGTGGCGCTGTTGTCGTATTTAGCTCGGTCTCGATGGACGCCAGCGGCCCAGGTTTCGACGGCGAGTTTCCCAACTGAGTGTTTTAGTAACGTTGAGTACAACCAACTAGCTGAACTCAAACCCCTCGTCTTATGGGCCTTGCAAGGCACTGTAACTTGTTGCGAATGGGTCCCTATCATTTTGCCGAAACTTGTTTCGTGGAATTACAATTCGTGGACAACTTTTCATGGACACACGTTTCGTCGACATGATCGTTTCATCAACACTCGTTACGCGCATTGCACGATGTAGGGACATTTCATCTCGCGTATATCACTGGGATGCGCGAGTCTGGAAAGGAAGTAAGTCCGTGTGTTTCTTTTGTTCAAGGTCCCAAGTTTTCAGTTTGGGATTGAGGCCGCCGTTTACGGTTATGGTGAAGACCAGTGTGGATAGGACTGTATAGATAACATAGGTTGACCTTGTGACGTCGGTGATCGGTGATTAGGTTGCGGATATATAAGGCATTCAGGAAATGAATGCAGTAGCTAAGTTTGATACATTCTTTTCCCCTGTCTTTTTTCTTCCACCAAGTTTCCCAGCTTTTACCACAGTCTTGGGTTTTCTACGTCATGAGCACAAGATAAGAAGCATTGGTACACAAAGTTTTCAAAAATTTTATTAGATGGCAGCATAAAAACAGATGCAATGTACAACGCTCCCTGGAAAGGGAGTCAAATCTCAAACATTTCAATTGTGTACAGTCCCCTGTCATCAAACTTGAGCAGCTCAACCCTCTTAGAGAGGACCAACAGCCACTGTTCCACCTCCCCAAGGTCGCTGAAGAGTCCCTGAATACGGGCCATGACAGCCATGAGATGCTCCATCAGCTCTCCGATGCTGTCCTCTTTGGACATGGAGAACTGTGCAAAGTGCGCATCCAGAATGCAAGCGACCCAATCAAGCGCTTTCTCAACGGGGGTATCTTCAGCGTCTGCAAGCGAGTAGCCTTCCAGGAAGTCCAAGAGGTAGACCACAAGAGCACAGGCCTTGTCAAAGGGTAGCCCTTCCCGTAGGTGGTTGGCAAGGACGTCACAGTTGTGAGGACACCTTAGCAACTTTTTCAGCAGGGTGTCTTCCGTTCCGCTCAACTTGCTGTTGGTGCTGAGCAGCCGACGCAGAAGGCTGACGAGTTCAGTCTCTGGAATGTCGTCCGCAACCTATGTCGAGAGAGGCAGACGGAAAAAGACATTCACTAAATCAGCGAGCAGCTGCAAGCAAACTCCTAGTTCTTAATTCACAGACTCCAAAGGATGAGAGTGCCAAAATTGGCAGTGCGCAGAGTCTACAAGCACACGCCACAAGTCCAGGCAAAACTGGCACGACTAGCAAAGCTACATTTATTTTGCTTGCTTGGTTATTTCTCCGTGCAACCTGAATGTGAAAATAATTGGGTTGCTCATAGAACCAACGCTGGTCAAAATAGAGATCAAAATAGAAATAATGGAGAAGGTGCCAGCAAGCTGGTGAACGTTTGACATTTTGAACACCCGAGACTTGAACTAGAAACCTGTGTTCATGTTGTTTACTTTTTGTTCCTAGTTTCAAGTGTTCAAGATCTTGAGAGATCACATTTATGCTCGTTCATAGTGCTAAGCCTTGATGCCTTTGCTCGCCTGCTTAGCCAAGTCAAGCGTGCTTTGCACGAGAATAATGCCTAAATAAATAGTGTCTCGGCCTTTGTTAGTTACTCTATCCAGACTAAAGGTGCATTCACACTGGCGATGTAAAGCACTTGCGCTATGAGACTAGATTGCATCGCAAAAAAATCAGATGGTTACACTGGCATGCAAAATAAGCGAGTCGCCTCTCAAAAATGTTTGTTCTGAACGCCACGGATTGGCTCAGCCGTTCCGCGACTGGATCGCATTGCAAAATGTTGGGTCAGCTAACGACTGCTCGAAACGCATTGCTTTTTTTTTCTGCCATGGTCATTTTTGCGATGAAAATTATCGCGTGACTTCTGCACATTGCCGGCATGGACACGCCTTAACAGAGACAACAAAAATTCAGCATCGATCAACAGTGCGATCACAGTGCAGCGTATCGCTGTTGGAGAGCAGTGCCCGTCTCTGGCAACTAATGGTTTCCGTGAGACTTGCATCATACCAGGCCAAAGTGTACTCCAAGACTGTCTGCCCATCACTTCATCGCAGTTGTGCAACTGGCCCTGTTTGAAACACTGCGCTGTTGACGCTTTACCTTCATACAGGATTGCGAGCAAGGCATCTGGCACCCACCACAAACACGCACTACACATGCTTGCATGCGTGAGGCTCGAACTAAGACGCCGTGCTTGGAAGCGTTGACAACAATGCGAGGTATTTTGCAATGATTTGCTTTTTTCGATCAATCTGATATGCTCTTACAAATGTTACATAAAGACTATGATCCATACATGTCGAGCGAAACATATCTACATACTCATTATCAAGAAAGAAAGATTGTAGAAAAGCAATCACAAGGAAGGTGTCTTGGGATTGCAAAAATGGCAATCGCAAGCCAAGTGGCTTCTGATTACCATTTTCAATCTATTTTTACTTCTTCCAAGAAAGGTATGAAGAAATAGGTCTTGATACTAAGCCACCATCCTGGGTGCATCTTTTGTATTGTCTTATCATGCTCGGTGCAAACAAGACGGGTTCTGACAATTTAACCAATATCATTCTCGGCAAGTTGGAGCTATATTTTTGTGGTCCCAGCATCTTGATTAGTCATTTATGTGGGCAACTGACTAAGCATTGTCGCGTAACACCTAACTAAAGGCATTTAAGCATGCTTTATTAACAAACGAGTGGCCTCACCGATTCAATGTCGCGTAGAATCTGCTCAGGATTTTTGTCTTCCGAAAGCAATGTCTTTGCCAGAACCGAAACGGTGGGCATCTTGTCTCCCCCGGATTGGGCGCCAAGCCCCACCGCCTGGCACAGCACGGGTGGCTTGAGAGTCACAGGAGCGCACATCAGGGTAGAGCCCACCGAGTTCTTGTTGCCTTCGAAGCAGGCGAACCCAGACGGCAAGAAACTGGTCCTCGTTACTGGAAACTGTAGCACTCTGCTCGCTTCCAGGGTCATAAAGGCGACATTCCAGAGATATAGGTGGTCTCCAGAGGCTACCAACAACCGTTTGGAGTCGAGAGCCGTGACGCTGGTGGCTTTGTCGCCGTCAAAACCGGGCACGGAACCTACGGCTCTCAAACCCGACTTGGAGAGCAGGGATAACGTACCGTCTGTCGCGAGCACGACAACTTCGCCGTTCACGAGGCAGAACGAACAGGAACTGCGAGACGCCGACAAAGACTCTTCGAAATCCACGTAGAATGCGGCGTCGCGAAGTTTCAGCAGCCTACACCTGTGATCTTTCGTCGACGTCACGGAGGCGACTTGAAGCACCGTAATCGAGGAATCGTCGGTGCCTGCGATCTCGGCGTGAACTAGCTTCTCGTTCGGCTTAAATGTGGGGTCATCGGCGACACCGTGTGCCGACAGGTGGGCGACGGTTGTGCAGAGTCCGTTTTGAAGGACGATGATCGGTTCTTGGTTCGTCCGTGGTAAGAGACGGAAGACAGGTGCGGGTAGGGAGAAGGTCTGCCGCTTCGCCGTTGCTTCCGTGCTCTCCGGCGACAGGAGCACGGCGACCTTGCGGCTCACCGCGACGTACTTGTCCCGGGTCGCGTCGTACACGACGGGGCAGGTGAAAGGTTGGGAATGCGACGTGTGCCAGGTCTTCACTTTTACCGGATGGCCGTCTCCGATCTCCACGAGCGAGGCAGACATGTGGCCGTGGGTGACGATTACCGTCGTCGGAGACGGTCCCGGCTTCACGCACACGTCGGAGAAGGAGAGTGCTTCGCTCGCGATGCTGGCTAGCGCGAACGGCTCGTGGACGGACGTCATTTTTGGGGATCTCAAAGGTGTGCCAGGTGTGCCGTGGCGCCGGAGTTCAAAGAAAAAACGTGACAAGTGTCGGCCATGACAGGTTGCGAGGAAAAGTCAGCAGTAAACGTGGCCATTTTAATTTAAAATAATTTGTTTTATAAAAATACCTTAATAATATTCATTTATACTGTGTATTTATCTCACATCTAGTGTTAATTTCAAAAGTAATAGGTAAATATTTTTATTTTGTACTTGCTGCGGAGACTGAATGTTTTGGCGCGAAGGTGGGCGAAGGTGCGTTGTTTGACCAAATCGCGAATTCGAGCCGAGTATCTTGAGCGTCCATTTAGCACGCAACGACGCCCTCGTAGCGAAAATGTCGCAAAAACTAATATCGTAAGTGATACACCGTACTAATCTCTCTCTCCGTTTGTTTGTAATTCGCAGTGATGACGGTCTGAGCAGCGTGTGATGTAACTCTTGGGCACACACCATGCTCTCCCTGTGCCTCAGACTCTCTGTCCGTGTCGTCTGCACATTGGTGCGAAGTGCGATTAACCACGACAATGCCTGCAATCCGCTGACTGTTCCCCGCAGATCTTTCTTCGCATCGAAGCCCGGAGCGTCGAAAAAGAAGCCCGATGACGCCCCAAAGTCGCCCGAAAAGGAGCTCAACGGGTGGGTACTTCGCATTCCTCTATCGCCTGCAGCATCTCTTCGTTTGGTGGCGACAATGGGATATTACAACGAGTTTCACGCTGTCATTTTTTTTTTGTATTTTTGCAGATCAGTTTTTTTTTTGTTATTTGAATATAACCGCCGAATTCAGAAACCTCACTCAAACTACACTCAAACTGAAGGGCCCCTTCACTTCCTCGAGGAAGGCGCGATGGCCGGCGCTGGCCAATCGCGAGGACGGATCCGCCGTCGCGATTGGCCAGCGCCGGCCCTCGCGCCTTCCTCGAGGAAGTGAAGGGACCCTTCAGTTTGAGTATAGTTTGAGTGAGGTTTCTGAATTCGGCGGTAAGGAATCGGGTTTGGACAGTTCAAGGAATAGCGGGAGGAAGTGCGCCCGCCAGCCCGCCATTCTTTCGACTAACGTTGTTTTCTGCCGAGTTTCGCGAAGGAACCTTCCGCCAATCAGGAGACAGACGTGACTCTACGGCGTGCAAGCCTACCAAAACGTGTCACATCGCACGTGAGAAATGGATGGCACGAAAACGTGGGGAGTCCGCACATGGGCAGATGTTCAAAAGGGTAAGGGGAAGTGATCACGAACGAACGAGTTAGCCTATTTCTCGGAGACTAAAGCCGCGTTCACATGAATGCGACTTAGTCGCATCGAATCCAGTTGTCGCATTCAATGCGGTCATGTAAACGGCATAATGCGCAAAGAAAGCGCATCGCATTCACGCTGCCAGACAGGTGGATTGAGATGGCGAGTGCGCATTCATTCAGCCCATGTAAACGGAGGTCGCATCGCATTTTGAAACGGGGAGGATTATGGGAAGGCGCTCGCTGCGGGAGCGAGTGAACAGCTGAGAACATGGCGGCGGCCAACCTCGTCTTCAGCGCAAAGAGAAGTCCCATACGGTAGCCCGCAATTTTTTTCCCGAGAACAAACGCGAGTTTTTATTGCCATCATAAGTAAGCGGAATATAGCGAAGCTGCTCGGTGAGGGCGGCCCCCGTCCAAGCCTTGCGAAGTATGACTTGCGCGGCCAAAGGGGTCCCAAAGGCTTCAGCGCAAGCACGAACGACACCGAGAGCTCCGAGCACTGTAGAGCACTGCATGGTGGTGCAGAACGAGCAGCTCCTACCTTGGTGCCGTTCCTGGCTGCGCAAGAGCCTTTGGACTCGGGGTCCGGTTGGTCCGGTCGCGATCGGCGAGTTCTGGCGCGGCGAAGCGCGGAGGCTTCCTCAAAGCGTGCGCACACACGTCGCCTCTGGTACAGAGTGACCTGGCGGCCTGGCCTGAAGGCCCCAACGCTTGGGTTTTGATGTTTCTTCCGTCTCGTAACTTCTTCCGCAGCAGCGAAGACAGCGGGCATGATCTTAACGTTCACTGAATGCATCGAAAGGCCTCCACGTGCGATGCACAGAAAAACGTGGTGCGGCTGGTTCCGGAAGTGCATAACTTCGAGCTTTGACACGACGTGGCGCCACCTACGTGTAGGGCTTGGTGCGCATTCATGTAAACGTTGCCGCGTCGGCTTCGTTCGAAGAACGAGTGGAGTCGATGTGCTGAAGTCGCTTTCATGTAAACGAGGCTTAAGTGATAGTGATAGTAGTTTGTGGCACTTCAAATTTTCAGTGCTGCTCGGTGGCGGAACAAACAAACACAAACAATAGTATACACAAAACTTACAAGATGAATGGGATAATTATTCTAAGGTCCAAATTATTGTTCTGCACAGCATCCCTATCACTGGCACAGCCAATAGGGAGCTTATAAGGCTTCAGCCCCCACCATCCCCCCCTCTCCGCCTCTTCCGAAATACAGCCAACCCCATAATATACACATACATTTTGACTTCCCCTTCCCCCTTCTGCACCCCAAGTCATGGACATCCCGGCGGTGAACACATTGATAGGCCGAAGACAGGAGGGGAGGAAGGGTGTGGCGACGGTGACCAAGTCATTTCCCAGCTCCTCCTCTTCTGTCTTTGGGTGTCCATATCAGGACACATTTATTTTTCTTATGCCAACAAAAGAGAAAAAAAGTGTACCGTGGCGGGAGGCATGGTTGCGCGGTGCGTTCACGGTGCTGGATTGGCTGCGACGACTGGAAACATGTGCTGCAGTTCGTTGCAAGATGAAACGGAGCCAAAATGAGCGCAAAATAAAAGTGAAAACTATGACTTCGACACGTCGAGCATTACGTTTGATATAATTCGGAAACAGTAAAACAATCCAAGAACTTTGTGGGCACACCGACCCGCTCAAAATGCTACTTTTTCTAGAGCGCAGCTCTTAGGCGCCCGTTTCCGGCTTGAGCGGTGTCGCCGTCGGCGTCAACATCGGCTTGACCGCGCGGTGCATTATGGGTAAATTTCCCCGCTAAATTTAGCGGAAAAATTTCCCCGGTAAATCTAGCGGAAAATTTTTTCTGGGGGGTCACGTGGCCCTCCAAGCTCACGTGACCCCCCTCCCTTGAGGTCACGTGACCCCCCCTCCCCTCCCCTCCCCCGAGAACACAAGACCCTCAGTACCCTTCCCTCCTCCTCAAGAGTTGCGCTCTAATTCGGTATACAGGGAGTTGTAAACGGCTTTCATTTTTCTTCAGACCGTCATTATAATCAGCTGTCCAATAGATTGGTATTGATTTTCACCTCTCATTCTTGTTTTCATGAATTAATGGTAGTATTGCGACTTACTATGTCTTTTTTTAAAATTTTGTTTATTGCTGTCTGGTGCAATTCATTTACATGTACTTGCTTACAACCCACCCCCCCTTTTCCTCTAATGCCCACTGAACAATGCCAGTATAAAATATTAAAAAAAAAAAAAAAATGTATTTCAGAAGTGGGCTTGCCAAGCCGGCCGACGTCTCTAAAGAGTCTCCCGTCAAGGCGCCGCGGAAGAGGCGTGCCAGGATAATGACCGACAGCGACGAAGACGAGGATGCAAAGCCTGCTTCTCCTGCCAAGGCACAACCCAAGGAAGAGCCTGCTGAGGACTCCAAAGAGCGGGCGGCCGAAGTGTCCAAGAAAGAGCCGGAGGAAGATGGCGTATCTAAAGGCTCAAGCCAGACCTCCCAGTTGACCTCTCCGGACGGCGTTATAAAGAGACGTACCGGTGAGTCTCTTCTCGTTTTTGAATCTGGATATGGTTTTCAATCTCATCACTCATTGATGTCGTTAAAGGGAAGCTGAAGAGGTCCTTGAATTCAAACAAACCGTAAAAGTTCTAATGTAAACACCGTAAACATCGTGTGTTCTAAGTTTTATTTCGGCCTTACTAGTACGAGCGTTGTAAGAACCAATTAAAATTTTTACATGGACCCACCCGTTGCGGTGTGCCGACGGTAGGAAAGTGCAAGAGCAAAGAGAAAATCTAGCAAAATTGACGTCATCAGCGGGTTCCGTACTTCATAATGCTCTTTTCATCACTGATTTGCAATACGGGCATGATTATTCCTTGTGGACTCACTACAGAGCCCTTTTCAGGGTTGTCTTTTCCACTAATATTCACCGTCACTTGAATCGGTAACATCTTTTCCGTAGAGAGCAAACAAAGAAAAAGCTGCCGCGGTAAAGTGTGAATCTGCGCCAAAAATTCTGTTTTCTTCAACACAAACTTTACTTTGCGTAAAGTAAAAAAAAAAAAAAAGTAGAGGCGTCATGTTGGGGTGCGTGCGACAATGCAAAGCAGAAAGGAGACGGGGGGGGGGGGGGGGGGGGAGCGGGGGGGAGCATGCTTCAACACGTGATTGTAACGGGAATATTTCTTTGTTAGGTGACGTCCAACGCATGACCTCGAATAGTTAACGGTTTTACTAACAGACTCCGTTTCATTTTGGGTGCTAGTGAAGCCAACGTTACAAGCATGAGCATGTTGCCGCGAACGATGTCTGCTTTGCGCAACCGTGCATTCTTGACAGGGATACTGGAAGCACAAATCTCACTCTTGTAGCTTCTGTCTTGAGTGGAGCTAGTGGCAGTGTTGGAAGGCAATGGTTGTTATTGCAGGGGTAGGAGGCATACATTAAAAAACGAAAGACGTGGCAATAACAGAGCAAATGCCTCTCTTTTTAGTTAACCCTTTGACAGTCGTCTCTACATGTACGGCGTTCATTACACATTGGAAAGTGCCCGCTTACCGTAAAGTCTTGAGAGGTGCCCCACTCCCGAAAATAGCCAATGCCTATTTTTGGCTTGATTTGCTATATTTTTTTAAACACCGTAAGATCCCAAGCAGCACAGAGTCGGCCAGTCATTGGCCAATGTCCGGCAATGGTCATTTGGCCAGTGGCCAGCCATTGGCCAGTGGCCAGCCATTGGCCAGTGGCCAGCCATTGACTGGCCTTTCTCTGGCCGTTGGCCAATGGCCACTGGCCATCAGCCAAGCATGGGCCGATGAATGGTCACTCTTTGGCAATTGGCCGGATGACCTTCGCCAGCCATTGGCCAATGCTTGGCCAAAATCCATGCTGCTTGGGATAGCCCACATCTTGTAATAGTAGTGTTGGGATCAATGATGGGCATCAGCATAAATGCGGCTAGTTAGTTATGGTGGGATAATAAGGAAACGTTGCTGATGGGTGGTACAGTCAGGAGCAAAAGTTTGCGGGGCACGCGAGCGCGTGCCGAAATGCATTGCCGCGCCGTGCAACGGCGCTCCGCCGCATTAAAAAGCCGCTCTTTGCGCATGCGCACCTTTCATGCTCGCAGTCATGTCTCCTTCGCTCGTTTCTGTCCGACTCACTCCTGATAACCGGAGTCGGCGCCAGGGGCGCAAGTTGCCGTTTCGCTGGCTGTCATGCCTCGCGTCCTCTTCAGCTGCCTCAGCAGCCGCGCTGGGTGACAAAGCGCCTGGTTACTCCCCCCCCCCCCCCCCCCCTCTTCCCCCTACGCGACCTCCATGACAAAGCGCGGTGGCTGAGGCGGCTAAAGCAGACGCACAGCATGACACCCAGCGAAGCGCTAACTCGCGCCCCTGGCGTCGACTCCTGTTATCAGGAGTACGTCGAAAAGAAACGAGCGAAAGAGACATGATTGCGAGCACGAAAGACGCGCATGCGCAAAGCGCGTCTCCTTAATGTGGCGGCGCGCCGTCAGACGGCGCGGCGATGCATTTTGGCACGCGCTCCCGTGCCCCGCAAACTTTTGCTCCCGACTGTACAGTCATCTTTACTTTGTTACCCCTCGCCACCATAAGCTTGGACCTAAAAGTAGCAATCTCTTGTAATCTTTTCTTGATTGTACATTGAATGTTAGACCACTCTATATTTTCACCCAATTTGCTCTTGATGTTAGGTGGGCTATCTCTCGGGAGGTGTTGCTATTAGTTATGTCTTTGGCCAACTACAGCGTATTCACTAAGGCTTCGATCCCTTTTTGGACGGTCCGCATAAATCAGGTTCTTAAAACCTGATTTATGCGGGAAAAAAAAAGGTTTTTTGTATTTTACAAAAAAAGTTTTTTTTGTATTTTGCAATATACAAAAAAAAAAAAAGATTTTTTGTATTTTGCACGTATGCTTAAACAATATTTTTTGTCCCTCTGGCACTTATTTTAGCTAAATGAAGTGAAGAATAGTTAAACCAATTGTATTTTCTTTAAAGTTCATTGATTTCTCAGTCGTAATGAATGCCAAATAGCCCAGAATGATGTTTTGATGATTTTGAGAAGGAAGGGTTAGCGATACCTTATCCATAGACAAAACCGGTTTTTATTCCTTTTCTTTCGACTCCGGAGCTTTCGTGTATTCATACTCTCAATTAATGAATGTACCACCTTCGGGCACCTCTGTGGTAAATCCCAGCGTGATACGTTGAGAAACCGATTTTTGTGAACCGTCTAAAGGGGGATTGAAGCGTTAGTGTACACATGGTTTAAAGTTATATTTGCACGGTATTTTGCTTTGCTGGGGGTAATATTTATAATTTCAAAAATTAGACACTGCACTCATGATACACACGGGGTGATCTCTCCGCACGTCGGCTGCTCTCGCGGTAGTGGCAATAGGAGCTCTTTGGATTCAGAATTTTAAGGCTTCTCAGAAGTGAGTTCAGAGGATGAGAACTTACCATGCGACAGAGAAGCTCCGTAAAGTACCTCCAACTTGGAATCTGAAATCGCTGGAATGTCACCGAAGCGGACGTACAAAAATTTTGAATGGAAGTAAGGTGACGGCTTGTTGACTTCCATATTTCCATTTGCTGCCTCTAAAACTGAACAGCTTGCGAGCACTGTACTTGCTCCCATTAGATGATAACAAAAAAAAAAAGAAAACCTGTGCTTTGAGCTTTTCTTTGTACAGTTCCTTTGGAAATAAAACCCGACCACCGGAAAACATCTCTTGGTAATGAAAACAAAAAAACAACTTAACCTTCAAAGTGTTAAAAACACACTTCTCTGCTGTTGTAGGTATTAAAACGTGTTTAAAATGCTCACCCGCTAAAGTTGCAAGGAGCACTCCTGCACTTGCAGCACATTTACTGTAGATCTGCCAGGTTTTCTCGAGCGACCGAAAAAGAAATGTTTTTGTAAAAGTACTTGTTGTTGGGCTAGTTGGTGATGACTGTTTTGAGCCATGGTTAAAAGCACTAAAGAGAACACATGAAAATCAAAGAGCGCCCGGACTGGAAGAAGCATACTTTATCAGAAAGGGGAGCCCCAATGCGTCAGTGACATGTCGATTGCATTGTATAATGCCAGGATATGTTACTTTGATAAATCTATGTAAACGGGTTGTGGTGTGTGTATTCTAGCACATGCATAGCCTAGGTGACGATAGGTGTATCAACATATATATATGTACTCCCATCTTTTCTCGAATAAAATTGTGAGTAGATCCCATGTTTGTCTTCTCTTGTGTTTGCCTTTTTAACGCTTTTAACCATGGTTCAAAACGTTTCTGTGTTTTGCCCTCGTTAAAGCTCAGTGCTGCTAAGGTATGATATTTCTTGAGAAAGCTCAGCTAGCAGGCAAAAACATCCTAAAAACCCATTCACAGAGAACTGTTTGCTTGCATTTTCTTACCTTACGTTACGAGCCACTGGCACATTCGTGCTTTGAATGCCACGTGCGAGGCTACTCCTTGAACTGGTTGACACGGTTCAGATGCACTTATCTGATTGCTGTTTCATTTGCACCAAAGCACTTACCCTGCTATGTCCTGCTGCATTTCGCCAAAATGTGAGGAGTGTTGTTACCTACACTGCACCAAAAGGTCATCTCACTTTATCAACAGGGAAAGCAGTACTTCAGGCATCGCCGCACAGCCGGCTTGTGCTGGTGAGCTCGCGCAAATTCTCGGAACCTTCAGTGATCGCTTAGAATATTGTGCGATTTGATTCGGTCTTCGTTTTGAGCACGACTCACCACTCACGAGTTTCGTGATATTTCTTTTTGCTCACTTTGACACTGCTTTAGAGTGGTTTAATTAGCTTTGCTCAATGCATTACTCACCGCACACTGGTCCACTGTAAAGAAGCTACGCACGCGGAGTGGACATTGCGACCCTCTACAATATTCAGTCTGGCCATTTCGGTCGCCATCACTGTCCAAGTGCGGCATCGATGACGTGGGGTTGGTGGCCTCCTGGTGGCTGTTTAGGGAACAAGTGGAAGACATGTGCCAAAGCGGTTAACGGGGTACTCCGGGGTTTTCTTCCTGCTTCCTGATTGGACTAAAAATTGGCCGAACGCACCAGCAAACATAGCTGAGTTAGTAAACCAAATATTCGGCCGAAATAATTTCTGCAAAGTTATGGAATTTACAATTTCGGTCTTTACCCTGTTTTTCAAACTCAGTCTCTAGTGAGTGCAATGAAAAAGTAACGCCAGCGGAAAGCAGGGGTGCGCTTCTTGGACCGTAGAGTTTGTTTCCAACTGATTGCCAGCAGTTTCATCGGGTCAAATGAATGCTTTTGAAGCTCGGCCCAGCACCCGCGCAACAGCACGAAGCAGATGCTCGGCATGGTCTATTTTTTTAGACTGCCCGCTCGACCTGCAAGCCCGTTTTCCGCTTGACATCGCAGCACTGAAAAGCGCGGGTAAATTTGAATGTTTGTTTTGGCTCGATTTTCATTTGCCGATTTCACAAAAACTATTCCGAATTCCGTGTTACTAAATACGAGACCAGAAAAGGTAAAAGCCGGGGATTCAGAAAACATACAAGTTAGTTCGGTTAGCTCGAAAAATCGTTGGAGCACCCCTTTAAGACAGAGCCTGTGCATGCTGAACGATGGCACAATGTGACCTACAAATGGAATACAAGCGTTGTGTCGACATTCACCTCAGACTCCTGTTGAATCAATCATTTGGCACATACTCGATCCACAATCTCTTTGATGCGGTGAATGTCGTATAGGGGTTTCCCTGCGTGAGCACTTCTTACAGACTGGCAGCTTCCTTGTCGCCACTCAAAGTGCCATACTGCCTTGAACGTACGAAAGGGTCTGTGGTTGGACAAGTGCTAAATTTTTACAGCCTTTAGCATGACGGAAGTTAGGCTGATATTGGGGCTACTAGGTGGTAGTTAATTTGGGAAAGGGTCTATAGGCCTTTTTCGTGTACTCTCGTCCTCAGCCACCTAATAGGCATATCCGGTATGGACGACGAAAATATAATAAAACGTTTCAACCTGTAACTAGTAAAAAAAAAATAAAGGGAAGGCAAAACTAAATTTATGTCGGTTACGCTTAAATTCTAAATGTCTTCTATTCGCGTGGCAACGGCAAAGCAGTGTTTTTGCCCATACTGGAAGTGGCGACAACTCAAGATGGCGGCGCCCTCGTGAAAATGGTCCATAGGGGACGCTACATGTGTATGCTCTTCTTTTTTTTTAAATATTTGACAGCTCGGAAGACTGCCAAGCGGGCGGTGGAACCGAATCAGGCCGTTGTTAATGCAAGCAAGAAGATAAAAGTCGAGGCGGCTGAAAAGTCGAAGTCCGAGAGTCCTGAAAATCCAAAGGACAAGGTCAAGCGGGAGGACATAAAAGAGGACGAGGAGGAAAGGAAGGCCAAAGATTCGTCTGCCGCCAAGGAGGAACCAGCAGAAGGTGAGGAGTGGATTTAGTTGCCGCATGCAGGAGCGTGCGGCGAGACCTTCTCGGTGCCTCAGAGTTTCAGCTGACGTTTTGCTCGGAAATTTGAAGGGGCACCGAAGGGGTTTCTGAGGTCGTCTATTTATGGTCATAAATCAATCTACGTGCCCTAAGCATTCCAAAAACAACCCAAGCTCCGATTGATGCGCTTCCCATTTCCCTATTAAAATAGAATCAAAGATACATGCCCGTTTTTGTGTGGTTCGGTGCAGAAACTAGAGGGCGCCAAGGACGCGCGGCGAGAGGGCCGACCAATGGCGGACTGATTTTCAAACGCGTTCGATATGTACGCGGGAACTGATCACTCGCCATTGGGTGTTGGACATCATGGTGCCCTCTGGTTTCTGTGCCGAATTGCAAAAAAACGGACGTGTCACAATCTTTGATCCCGTTTTTAATAGAGAAATTAGACGCGCAACCGCCTGATCTTTTTTTTTTTTTCAGAATGCTTAGGGCACGTGGGATGAGTTAGGACCGTAAATAGACGGTCTCAGAAAACACTTAAGTGCTCTTCTAAGGCTGGTTTGCACATTGAATCGCTTATGACTGCTTACGACGAGATTAGAGTGCCCCAACGTTGCTGGGCTGGCAGCCGTCTTGGAGTGAGGACAAGTCTGTCGTCTGCTAGCCAAACTGCCATCTGGCCTCCCATTCATGTGTAGCGGTTTATGAGCTGTTTACACAGTTATCGAGCATTACCCCTTGTTAAATAACGAGGGATAACTTTGGGAACTTGTAAATCACGTGTACCGTCAACTATGCATTGTTTCGACGATGCGTCTAATGATAGAGCGAAAACGTTGTAAAAATGACAGCATCGGCGATGCTCCGTTGCATTACTGAGTCGAGGAAGCGTCTACTAGGAATAATTTATTCTGACTTCAATGTGTGCTTCTTGATTCCACATTGTCAAGGGCACATGGTCACCACATCGTGTGAGGTGAATAGGTGGCCGTGGTTGAAAAAGCGGTACTTGCACTCTCCATGGACGTCGCCACTAGCAAGGCGCAGCCAGGTAGCAACACTGAGGCACTCTGGACGAGATGACAAGCTTGGTCCCATGTGTCGTAGCGAGCAGACGGCGGAGTGTGTCGTCTGCTCGCCGCGCCTGTCGGGAGATGGCACCGCCACCAGTTCCATCGCTAACTCGGTCGTCTGTGAGATCATTCGTTGTTGACTGCAGCACGTTTGTTGCTCTCGTTTTTCACCGAAACAGAGCTATGTCATGAAACTTTGCGAGATAAAACCCCCCATCTCGATGCACGTTCGGCAAAAGTTTGTACTTGTTCTGTGCAAGAATGAATTTTTCTTGCTCGTTTTACAGCGCCGGGATTCATTGTGAACACCCCGTATAATGTATAATATGCTTTGTTTTCTGTATGAAAAAAGTCCTTTAGTTAATGTGAGTATGACAGTATGTTGGAGTCTTGCTCACATTTTTCTGAATCATTCCTGCAGACGTGGCAAAAGCTGAGTCGCCCACAGAAGATTCCAAGGCCAGGCAAAAGGACTCGCCACCTGCCAAGGCGAAAGAGGAAAAGGCGGTGCCGAAAAAGGCTGCTGGAAGACTGCAGAACTTGTGAGGGGCTTCTCGTGATACAGTTTCTTCGAGAGCAGTGCGATGTGTTACATTTGCAAATGTAATCTGCTATATTGACTGAGATCCTGGAACCTTGTTACGTGCTTTAGCTGAGCAAGTTGGTTCATTGCTTGTGAATGGGGCCAGCTGAACATGAAAAACACGGTGCGAATGTTATATTTTTTTCTGTGTGTTTTTCATGTTCAGGTGGCCCCGTTCACAAGCAAATCCTGGAACCCTGGTACACTTTAGGAGTTTGGGAGGGCTCCTCTGACGGGGACTGTCGCGTTCAGATTCTCCCGTACCGTCTGAGATTTGGTCACTCTCGTTTGATGCTCTGTGTTCGAGATGATCCCCTGCGCACTCATCGTGGAGAACTGTCGACTATCTTACTATCTTACATATTTTATGGTGCTGTACGTCTCATCATCATCTACTTCGATCATGCTTTCTGGAACTTTATAAAGATCATCCTGCATTTCACCCTATTATTTTGCTTGGAGATGAAACCTAAGTTCCGCTAGTCTCAGCCTCATTTTGAAATTTTCTTAGAACAACTATATTTACGCCAGCTATAACTTTTAGCCTTGGTTTGATTTCCCTTTTAGTAGGCTTCAAATACATTTAGCTAGGTGCACTATAGTTTTTGGTGTTGCTGCACCACTAAACCCCTAATCATCATCATCATCCTGGAACCTTGGCAATTCAATCCCACCAGTTGCTAAAGCCCATGCATGTTCAACAGAATGGGGAAACCTTAAAGGGATAGGGAAACGAAATTCCAGCGCTCATTTTCTAGCCTGAATCTGTTGCATGTTGTACCCTAACCTCAAAAACACCAGTCTTTCGTTGAAAGGCACAAGAAAACTAATTTTAAAGCTAAATAAACAATCTTTCAATGTGTACCTGGTGGATGCATGCGGAGCCTATTTGGGAGGCAATCTAGCAACGTTGGGGAACTTGCTACATAGTCGTGACGGAGCAGATTCCTTCGGAGCAGTGCCACCCTTTGGAATTTTAACATTTTCCTTCTTAGCTTTCCTCCTAGCTCAACTCACAAATCGCGCATTGTACCAAACGCTCTAAGAAGACAGAAAGGAAGGACTCCCCTCTTTCTCTGACCCTTGCTCGTGCAACCGGAAACAGCCATTCTCCCCCTAGAAGATTAGCCCGTCGCTCAAAACGTGAACGAAAGTTGCTTTCCCCACCCCGTCCAGCCCTAAGCTGACAGTGTTGTGGAAGCTACGTGCTCCTTGGGCCAGCCACACGCTCTTCACCCCACGGGTACTTCGAACAGCTCGATTGTAACGCGCTGACGCTATTGACACCACCACAACGCTGACAACGCCACCAAGGGCAAAGCTCATAACCACGCCAGCCTGCTACGTCACGAATGCGGGGAATCTTTTCTTTCTGTTTTTGTTTGCGCCGAATATCCCATGGCGCATCGCGCTCTCCGTTTGCTCCTCTTCGAGTGCTTGCTCGAGTGCACTGTTTGGAACGAAAAATATGGCCAGTCATTCAAAATACAAACGTGCGATTATCATTTACGGTTATTATCCGTCATGCTTGACTCATTTCGAAACAAAATTTGAATATTAGATTTTTTTGTTTCCGTACCCCTTTAATATGCCGCTTCTCGACCACCGATGCTTCAAGACGGAAGTGATGGGGGACCCCCTTCAAAGAGGGTGTCGTGTTCGACGATTACACTGTCGGAAGGGTAAACGAGAAAAACTTAACTGCATGCAAACCAAGTTTGAAGCTTCAAATGAGAAATAACTTACCCCACTCACTCGGCACACATGGTTTGGTCTAATTAGATTTGGTAACAAAGCATCGTCAATGTAAAAGAAGAGAGTTTTATAGCTCGGTTTTACCTACCGTATTTTCCGAGCTATAGTCCGCAGGCTGTACATCTTTAAAAGTTGAAATTTCCGACTGTGTGGACTATATGCGTGCGGACTATGCAGGAATTTTGTTTTTCAAGATAGTTCATTGTGACGAGACGTCACGGAATTTGTGAATGAAAGAGTATGTTAACGATGATTTTTGTATATTACAAGCTTCTTGGTGAGCTAGTAGACATGTGTCACGGTGTGCCGTGACACATGTCTAGGTGACCAAGTGTAGACAATGCATCGGGTGTGGACTATCTAAGCAAAAACGTGTTTTCGGCCTAAATTAACCCTTGTGGACTATACACCGGGTGCAAACTATAGCCCGGAAAATAGGGTATATTTGAGAGCTCTGAGGATCCCTAGAAGGGCCTCGACAGACCCGAAAAGGTCCGCGATTTGAGAACCTTTACCTTAATACCGCGGAGCCTAGAATGCGTCTTGGATCGCTGCGTTTTCCGTCCTATTGCCCCTACGCATCGGAAGCAGCAACTAGTGACGTCGCAAAAGCCGGAGTGTCACGTTGTCGGATGTCGCGATCCCAACGATTGTGCGTAGAAGTTCCGAAAAAAATCCAGCCGAGAATGTGAGTGTGGACACCAGTTCGAGGCACCGTAATCAACGCAAAGCACTCGGTTTAGATATGACGCGCACACCAGCCATCCGCGGGAGCTAGGTGGCGCAAGCCGTAACCCGATTGAAAAACAGCCGCCGTCCGTCCAACCGTTGCAGCATGTTCGGTGCCAGGAAGGTGGATGGCAGCAGCGGCAGTCTCGAGACGGACTACGACCCTTCCAAGGCCAAATACGACCCCGTCAAGGATGCCTGCTGGAAGAAGGGAGACAAGGTGCCTTACCTGGCACTGGCCAAGACCTTCGAGAAGATCGACAGCATCTCGGCCAGGTACAGCATTATAGTTTGTGCAATGAATCTAGAGAGAGAGGTCCGCTATTTTCCCATGTACAGTGTGTTCCGGAAGAAAATTTACAGTTTTTTTTTTTCACCGCAAGAATGGACCATGCATTTGCCAAACTCATTCTTTGCCTAAATGTAGCGCTACCGGTCTGGACCAGATGGAAATGTTTCGCAGCTAACTTATCTTGCCGATAAGTTATAAGCGATTTTTTTAAACTTTTCACTTAAAAATGAAGCCCATTCCCGGTAGTTTGCGCCTTCAGCCCCACGCATTCCTGGGCTTCGTTGGCCATCAATTTCTCATAGTAAATTTCAGAAAATCCCTCGTAACTTTTTAATAAAATGACGGCTTGTTCTGAAGCTTTGGCATCTGGTCCGGACCACTAGCACATTTCGGCGAAGACAGCTTTCGGTAATGCATAGTTTATTTTTTATATAAACAAAAACTGCCGTAAGCTTTTTTTTGGGGACCCCCTATATCTTGGCTACCTCAAAATGTGGGGCCTAGAAGGGGACGTCGGTCGGCCCAGATTGCCGGGGAGCTTCTAGGAGCAACGATTTTGGCGTTGAAAGAATTTGTACTTTATATTTTTTTCACATTGTTTATCTTGGCACAAGTGAGAGGAAATGTGCCGCCTTTCCCTGAAACGCCGCGATTCCCCCGCATAATCGTGAAGAAAAAGACCATTTTTCCCAATCTGCAGCCACTTGTGGCTTTCATCAAAACTATGGTGCGATGTCATTGCGAGTTCACAAGTGTTTCTGACATCTTCTGTCTGAAGTCAACAAAACCATTTCCTCTTTGCTGATACCCTTCCCACCGTTTTTAAAGCGAGCCCTCTCTTCTAGTTGAATCGGACCTTAAAAAGTAGACGATTGCAGGGGGGTGGGGGTGCGAAAGACAGAACCACACATTGTCCTTCTAGCGACGTCACTGCGCAGCTTACTTGAAAGATGGCGGAAGTTGTGGGTCACCCTGACCTTCGATTTGTTTAATTTCTCTTAATAACAACTAGCACACGCAAGAAAAAATGGTTCTCCATTCATCGTTCTCTGGGGCTCGTAGACCAATTCCTGCAATCAATTGGCCAAAACCTAATAATCGTTGCACCGCCCTTCTAACAAATTCAAAGCACCGTTAAACTATCACTTGCAAGGTTAGAGCCAAGATTTCTTGCTTTATTTTCCCAGAAAAACACTCGCATCGTGTGTGCTGCGTTGAGAAACTAAGAAATTTAGTATTGAACACGTCGCTGTAAGACGAACACGCCTAACCCTTTGTCTTGCGTTTTTTTAAGGTCTTTCATCGCACTCTTTCTCGTTCATTCTCTCAGTACTGCCAATGTGAATGCTTAGAATTTGCCCCATCCCTTTCCTTGTCTGTGCCCCTGCGGTCTCTGGGGTTATTTTAAGTACTACCTTTTGAACAAAGCAGAACTTGTCAAAACTAATACTAATTTGAAAAAAGGCTCTTCAAATTGTTATTAATGCATCCTTTTGCGGGAGCTTTTTCTTTTTTTAAAAATACAGAATCTCATATCTTTTAACCAGTTGTTAAAGTTTCAGTTGCTGGTGATCTATGACGAGGCATTGAGACATAACAATCTTTTTTTTTCCCTACTGTCACGGTTTACAAATCTGAATCCAAGCTATTATCGCTCGTTATGGCAAAACACTGTTTTAGCTGCTATACGGCGATTCAACGTCATTAAAATTGATTTTGCCATCTTAAGACCTAACGAATTGGAAGCTAACAACATGGGCGTCATTGGAAAAAAACAAATAAAATGTTAGCTAATATGATATTACGGACAATATTATTTTTTCAGCGTTACTCCAAGTGCTTTGTGTCACGTACAGACGGAAAGTGTCTCTTAACCCCTTAACTGGGTACTTTTCTGACCAAAAATATTTGCAAAATGGGGAGTTTTTTTTTTAAGTGTTTTGAGCTCTCGAAGCTATAACAATGATCCCAGAACCTAAAACAAGTTTATTTACATCAATTTACAGGGTTCACCAAACATTTAGTAGTTGGTCTTCGTATGGTACTCCATAAAGCACGGAGCGACGCAAAGAGCCACACTGCAGTCTTTGCATCTGTAGATCGTCTCTTTTCTTCGGTTGTGTGCAAGGCACACCACACACCTCTTGTGAGGGTGCTTCTTGGTGCTCTCCCCTTCGTTGAAATCGGGGAAATGTCGTCCCAAGAGGCGTGCTGGAGAAGGCTTCGATGGTGGACGACCAATCTTTGCCGCTGTTGCACTTGAAGACCCATAGGTTTCGAACAGGCTGTTGGAAAGGTTCAACCGGAACGTCAGCTGGTCTGTTGCAGATCCCAGCTTTGTCGACAGGATGAAGCAGTTGAAGACGGTCACGTCAATGAGGTGCCGGAACATTTTCATGTAGTATTTCTTGAGTCTCTTTCTGGCCATACTGTACGTCATGATGCATTGGTCAGCAAGATCAACACCCCCCATTCCCTTGTTGTAGTCCACGCAGGCTTTTGGTTTCTGCACTTGCTTTCCTGCTCTGGTGGTCACGCTTGACATCTCTTCATTATTAACGGTGCTTATCATGAGCACATGTTTTTTGTCCATCCATTTTACCATGCACAGTTTTCCACGGAACTTCACAAAAGTTTCGCCTTTCGCCAGCTTCTTTTCTTTCAAGTCCTTTGGGATTTCCTTGCGGTTTACCCTGCAAGTTCCAACGGCGTCAGTTTCCAACTTGCACAACAGGTCAAAAAGCACTGGCGAGCAGTAATAGTTGTCCATGTGCAAGAAGTAACCCTTGCACAGGAGATCTTGCGAAAGCGAAAGCACAACTTGGGATGGTTTGTCAAGTTTCGATGCGTCAACTCCGGAGATGTTGCATTCATACTTTGTCGTTTTTCCCGTGCAGACAAGGATATTTCAAACATATCCACTTGCTGGCTCGCACAATCTGAAAGATTCCATTCCAAATCTCGCTCTTTTCATAGGAATGTACAGCTTCCATCCGAGTCGTCCTTTCCAGAGGAGAAGGCTCTCGTCGATGCAGATATCTCGCTAAGACGTGTAGGCCTGCTGGAACTTTTCCACGAGATGTTCAAGGATGGGACGAATCTTGTGGAGTCTTGGATTCAGCATGTCTTCGGGCACTGCCGCCCCATTGTCCACGAAGTGCAGGTAATTCAGAAGCAGGCAGAACCTTTTTTCTGTGAAGAGCTGGTAAAATATTGGAGTCTCCAACAGAGGTTGTCGCGTGAAGTATGAATTCAGGGTGGGCTTCTGAACGATCCCCTGCAAAATCCAGATGCCTAAAAGAAGCTTGATCTCTTCCTTAGTTGTTGGTATCCAATCTTGTTCTCTGCTTCTCGCCTTCATTTTGCCAGAAGCACTCTTCTCGAGGATTTTTTGTGATGCGTACAAGTTCGTGTTGTCCGCTATCAGTTGACAGATTTTGTCATCAAGAAAGTATTCAAAGATGTTGAGTGGGCTCACATCATCAAGCTGAATGTGAACTCCGGCACTTCCCACAAATCGAAATGGATCTCTCACCGTGCCAGTGTCTTGCCAGGTTGCAGCAGGCCCCGAAGTTGATGGTGGTGCCGTAAACAATTGTTCCGCTGCGTCATCATCAATTTCCGTGTCGGATCCTGAAGAGCATTCATCTGAACTCGAGAAATCAACATTGCAGTCGGAGTCCTCGTCAGTACTTTGCAGCAGCTCAGCGATTTCTTCGTCAGTCAGGGGACGCCGGCGTTTGCTGGACGCCATTTTCCAAACAAACAGTCAAACGTGTTACACAGAGGTCTTCAATCTTTTTTTTGTGCTGCCATCTATTCATCGTTTTTTAAAACTAAAAATGTTTCCAATCTATGAGGATAGATGGCGCATCCTCCCCGTACGATAAAACGAGCGAGCGTCTAAAGACGCGCTTCCCAACAGCGAAGGCAGTGCAGCGCGTCTACAGACCCCAAGCTGCGGTCAAAATTGCCGCGCGTTTAAAGACGCGCTCCCCAGTTAAGGGGTTAACGTGTAGCATCGGTACAATCGTGCAAGTAGTTTTGCTTACTTTTGTGTTCTTTTCTTATAGTGCTTCTTTCCCGTTGGAGTTAGTTGGACGTTGAGGTTTTGTCAAGCCGCAACAGTAGCTTTTATACTCCGTTCACCCTAAGCTTACAGTGTGGTGAGAGCCACACTCTCTCAATTGATGAACTGCCTCCCTTCCATCACCTCTCTTTTGCCACACTCACGTGCCGAAAGACAGGTGCACAACTGGTTCAATGAGCGCATAGCTTCTTCCACACCGTACGCTTGGGGTTGAACGGAGTAGTCTTGGCGTCCTGCTTTTTCGTACAGACCCTTTTTATAAAATTTTTCCAAGGAGTGCTGTTGCATCTCACGTCCACGCAAACTTCCCGTCAAATGGTTGGAGGAACAATCCCCACCACAACAATGCTCTTTGTAACATCCGTAAAATATTTCACTAACGATCCTACTAGTACTTAGCTAAACGATTGGTTAGCAAGAGGTTTGTTAAGACAACCATTCACCTGGATTAGGTTTAACAACGCAGCAGAAGGAGCTTGTGAAATCTCCGACTTCGTCATTTCCTAGAAATTATGGCATAAACAAGCTCGGTACGCTGGTCAAGACAGAGTGACCATAAGTCGCTTTGGGCACAAGACAGCTTGTGTTTTGAAACACAAAAATGGTCTATAAATAAAGTTTTGGGTATTCAGAGTTGCTTTTTATTTTTATATTTTTATTTAGTTTGGGGGTGTTTTTTTACGGTTCATTGTTTCCCACATGCTGAGTGCTTTCAATTCGCGTTTTAACGCGAAAGCATTGACTGTCTCAGGGAGGGAGCCGATGTCCTCAGCTTTCAGACCATGCAAAACGGCACCTTAATGAAACCGGGCGCAAAGCTAGCCAACGGCACCTTTTACACTTCAATCCCATTGGCTGCTGCACGTCAACAGGCTCCCATTGGCCGCTGCGCGTCAGCTTGTGGGGTGTTATCCTGACTGTGTTATCACACTGTTGTGTTATCACTGATCACCGCGTTCGCTCGCCTCTTATCGGTTGTGTGGCGCGTGGCAATATACAAGGAGCGTGGAATAAACCAAGGGGTTCATTCTGCTGGGAACTAGTACGTTGCTGTCTGTTCCTTCCTTGCACCGCAAAGCACGCGACAGTTTGAACGATCTCTCACCCGATGCCGCTACATATTTGCGAAGCAGCGGCTCCACCGTTCCATGCCCAAGGTCAGCGTGTTGTACGCCGCAGATTAAAGAAGGGAGCGAAGGGCGGCGTGCGTGCTTTCGCATTCACAACTTGTAAGAAGTGCTTGGGTGTATCTCGAGCCTTTTAATTCTGTATCCTCGGTTCAGACAGTTCAGTGCAGGTTGTGTATCGGATCGACACAAAATAGAGCTGTAGCGAAATACTTCTTTCCTCGAAACTTCGGTTCTTTTCAACCGAGGACAGCTCCAGTTTGCGATTGTGACAAAATGTGCTCGGGGTAAATTTTTTAGGTATATGTCGGTATTTACCGAAGATAAGGAATGCCCATCTTTAACCCGAGAAAGGAAACGGTACTAAAGACACCGCGATTCGGGACGTGAACTCTCAGGCTGAAGATGGTGGAGGTGCTCCGCAACTTCTTCCGTTCGGTGATGGCGCTCTCGCCGGACGACATGGTGCTCGCCGTCTACTTGTGCCTCAACAAGCTGGCGCCGGACTACCAGGGGGTGGAGCTGGGCGTCGGGGAGTCCCTCTTGGTCAAGGCCCTGGCCGAGGCGACCGGCCGGACCCCGGACAAGATCAAGGCCGAGGTCGCCGTCAAGGGAGACCTCGGACTGGTGGCCGAGGTATCTATTAGTCTGTTAACCCTTCGCTGTATGTCTATTACAATGGGGATCGTACGTTTGAAGGTACCACCAAAACGCGGAACCGCATGCACCGTGGGAGGTGTTGTCACTTGTTACGTCTTTGGCGAACTATAAACATTCGCACGGTGTTTTTGCTTTACTGGGGGTGTTTATAGTTTTAGAGTCAGACGCCCCATGTGCGTGATACGCGCAAGATGGTTGCTTCGCCTGCTCTGGCGGTGGCGGCAATAGGAGCGGTAACTCTTCCGTTTCACACTTTTAACGTTTCTCATGTGAAACGAAACCAAACAGGAGAAAGGTGACAACTTTTCTTTGATATTTTTATTCGACGCTTTTAGACCTGAACGGCTTAGAGGCACTGTGTTACAGTCGAAGCTCGTTATTTCGATCATCATGTTAATTCGATCCTTCCGTTTAGCACCGTCAGAAATGTACAGGCTTCAATAGGCAGAAAACCCCGGTATTTCAATCTGATAAATATCTCCAACCCGATAATTCGTCCCGGGAGCCAGCATCTTCGTAACCAGGAAATATTTTTTAAGCTAACACTATAAGTTTAAAGGCTAAAACGGTGCCTCAGAACACAACACGCGTCCCTACCCATATTGGCAAACAGCTGTTGCAGCGAGTCCGCGCCTGATTGTGACACGTCCACAGACGCGCGATGCCCGTCGGCGCCCCCGGCGCCTCGAGTCGGGGCGCGCTCCGCGAAAGAGCGCCCGCGCAGCCAAGCGCCCTTTCGCCGGTGCCTTGCGCCGGAGAAAGGGCCGATTTGATTAGTCGAGATAAGACCCAGTCAGAGCGCACCGGCCCAATCACGTGGGGAGGCGCGCGGAAGGAGACGGGAGCAACGAGAGGGAAATGAGTGAGCGATGAAGTGAGAAAAAACGTCGGGAGGATGGAGAAGGAGACTGGAGAAAAATGAGCGAGCGATGAAGAGGGACAGTGCTGTCACGCGGTTTCTGGTTTCTGTTCTTTGGAGTGCGTGGCGTTTAACGCTCATACCGGAAAATGTCAAAAGAAAAGCGAGGAAAGTACTCTTCGAATGATTTAAAAACAAAAGTTCACATACTCAACGAAGTTAGGGAGGGAAAATTGTCCAGAAAAGAAATTGCCGAAAAGTATGACCTCAAGAAAAGCACGTTTGCTACCTACATTAGGAATGAAGCAGCAATCGTGAAAGCTTTTGAAGAAGAGCAATTTGTGAATTCAAGAAAATGCCTTTGCAGTGCAGCCCATCCAGAACTCGAAGAAGCCGTTTACAAATGGGTGACAGAAGTAAGAACGCACAACCTTCCGATGACTGGAGACATGATTCGCGCAAAGGCTCAACAGTTCAGCGAACGTTTGGGCATCGAGGGATTTCGTGCTTCCGAGGGATGGCTCGCAAGATTCAGGGAGAGGCACTCTCTTCTTTTTAGGCACGTGTGTGGTGAAAGAGCCGATGTGGATGAAGATTTGTGTGAAAACTGGAAGACGTCGGAGCTCGCATGTATTCTTGCGGAGTATGTGCCCGAGGACATATTCAATTGCGACGAAACGGCGTTGTTTTTCAAAGCTCTCCCCAAGAAAACGATAACGTTCAAAGGGGATCCTTGCACTGGGGGAAAATGCAGTAAAGAGCGGGTGACCGTGCTCGTGGCAGCCAACATAACAGGCACGGAACGTCTGCCTCTTTTGGTGATCGGGAAATCCAAGACGCCACGATGCTTTCGGAACATCCCGCGGCTTCCAACGGACTACCGTTTCAACAAAAAAGCGTGGATGACACGTGAGATCTTCCAAGATTGGCTTAAAAAATTGAACCGCCAGTTCGCGTCCAAGGGGCGCAAGGTCGTGTTAGTAGCAGACAACTGCAGTGCGCACACAAAAATGCCGGAGCTGTCTATGATCCGCCTTATTTTCCTTCCACCTGCAACCACCTCACTCTTGCAACCAATGGATCAAGGAATAATCAAACACCTGAAAGGCTTGTACCGCAAGCATCTTACGGCAAGAATATTGCTTTGTCTGTACCAGGGTAAGCGCTATGAAGTCACTCTGCTGGCGGCGATTCATTTGCTTGTTAAAGCTTGGACGGACATGCCAAGCCAGGTCATCGCGAACTGCTTTCGTCACTGTGGTTTCTCGTGTGTTGGAAATACCGCGAGTTCGACGACTGCATCGGCTACTATGTCTACATCGGCAACTGCATCGGTTACTACATCGGCAACTGCATCGGCTACAACATCGGCAACCACAATTGAAGATGAAAACTTTGTTGAAGAGTGCAGTGCTCTAATGTCCGCTCTACCCGAAAACATTATTTTCGATGATTACGTTGCGATAGATGATGGAGTGCTTGTGTGCGGTCAATTGACTGACGACGAAATCATCGCATCGGTTCAGTGTCCCGAGGGTCAGGAGGACGACAGCTGCGAGAGTGACGCCGAAGAGCCGCCGCCACGCCCATCTCCTGCCGAAGCATCCGCTGCGCTCGATGTGCTTGCGAACTTCGCAACGTTTGAAGACACTGACGGGACGATGTGGCCGCACATTGAGGATATGCGGAAATTTGTTTTTGCGAAGCGTCTGACGGGAATGCGGCAGCAGAAAATATCGGCGTTTTTTTCGAAATAAAACTCCGTCGTCACGGTTGGCTTTTCGCCGCTTCTCGTGATGTACGTTGTTACTCGTCTTTGATCGATATTCAATAATTCGACTCTTCTATAATTCAATCTATTTTCGAGGAACCGTCAGAGTTGAATTAACGAGCTTCGACTGTAGCTCCCGCCAGATAATTAAGAAGTAAAAAAACTCGCTCATTGACCTTTTCTTTGTACTATACCTTTGAAGACAAAACCCAACCACTGGGAGACATCTTTTGGGAAAAAAAACTCGACCATCAAAGGGGTAACGTAGAACGAGGGCTGGGATCCAAAAGGAAAGCGTGCCGTGACGTCACGAAAAAAGTTTACTTTCCTGTCTAATTCAGTGAAGCGTAGCCAAACTTTTTTTTTTAAAGGTGCAAATTAGTATTGTGTTTTTCACTACCGTAAGAATACCGCACATCCGCCCATTCTACATTAAGCGCCCACACCCAAATTTATAAGATCTGAGGAAATATGCGCAATGTAAAATGTAAAATTTTTCGCGATCATCTCTAAATTTTGAGTGGGCACTTGCCCGGTATTTTACAGTATGTTAAATTTTCTCTGACAGAGCATTTATGCATAACTTTGATTTTTACGGAAATATCAGTTACGAGAGCCCGAAAATAAGGGAAACGCATTTGTGACCCGAAATCCGGCTTTTTGTACACGAAATCATGAGGCAGTTTGTTACCATCGCCTTTCTTCCACATGCTGTGACACCACAGATCTGGAAACACCTTAGAAGAAAAGAATTAGTGCGTGTATGTTCATACAGGAATACCTTAGAAGTAACGAGCCATCTGTAACTCAAACCAACAAGTACGACGAAAAAGCAGTGCACAAAAAGACGTCCTCGTCTTTTTGTGCGCTATTTTTTCATCATGTTCAATCGGTACCAACTCTAACAAGCAGCTTGTGTAACAGCGGGAGTCGGCAGCGACGAGGAAAGTGTCGCAAGGTGTGACCGTGATGTCGTCGCCTACCTCGTGTTAGGGATAACGAATGAAATGAACGAATGAGTACATTTTCAACACGTGTTTCAGAGCAGTCGCACAAACCAGCGCCTCATGTTTGCCCCGCCGCCCCTCACGCTGTCCGCTGTGTTCACCAAGCTCAAGGCCATCGCCGAGATGACCGGAAATTCGGTGAGTGCGCGCCGTGGTTTACCCGCCCGGAAGCGACGTCTGGCCCAGGGGTTCTCGAACTTGTACCTGTCTTAACCGACGGCCAAGGACTCCCCCTGGTCTTGGCATTGAGTCAGTAAAGCAGTGCAGAGGCCTATGGGCATCGTAAAGTGTAGTGCACATAGTAGAGAGCGTTTCCCACATAGTTAGGTATCAGTGGACGGCTCGTATCGTCTAAAACGGTGCCTAAACTGGAAGAGCGCTTCACTTTGGGTCAGCGACAGCGGGGAAATCTTGTGAGCTCGTGGAGTCCACGAGGGTGCTACGTGGAACCTTGAGGTTCCTAGGAACTCAAATTGAAAGTGCATGGTCAAGAGCAGGGGCGGCCAAGCTGACCTGGCCTAAGAGTCGCAAACAAAATCACGAAACTTCCAAGAGCCAGGGGGGGGTCAAGCTTTTTTTTCAGAACATTAAACGAAACTCGAACTACTTTCAATCTATCCGAGTCAAAAGCAGTCCATCTGTACGGAAGGCAGCACAAGACTACTAAACTGCAACCTGTCTAAGTGTTCTATTGATCTTTTTGGGGAAGTTCTCGTGTGACCGGGAGGCTGGTGAGGGGGGGGGGGGGGGTAGGAGAGGAAGCCGCGAGTTGCATTTTAACACGGGAAGAGCTGCGGCTCTGCCACCCATGGTCTAGAGCATGAGTTCTCAAACTTTTCAATGTCAAAGAGCTCCCGTTTCTCTGGACCGACGGCCGAGGAACTCTTCCTGTTCTCTGACATTGATGCAGTGAAGCTGTGTAGAAGCCTGCAGGACCTCTGAGCAGTAGTTTTGAATGCTACAGAGTGATTGACTCATACTCATGGATCAGTGGGTGGCTCAGATCTTCCAAAATAGTGCACATTGGCGTTCAGCAGTACGTCTGGCCTGTTCAACCAGACGCCTACATTCATGGCGCTCTTCGTCAGATAATTCTATGCATGGCGTGTGTACACTCAAAACGATAAACCCGGTCATCTTCCAGAACCTTCGAACCCTCTCCTCCTCTTCCTCCTCACCTACCTCTCCCCCTCACTCCACCTCTGGATACACAACCTCCCCGTTGACTGATCGGCGTCGAGAAAATCACTCCTATCTCTCACCTGTCGACGAATCTGTGTCGAGCCTCGCGGCCACGCTTTTATTCGGGCTTCGTTTGGGCTACACGAAAGGCTGAACACATAGCCAAAGAATGTCTTTCGTTAGAAACACCCTAAATAGGGACGCAGACTGTCAAGGAAGTTTAGGGGCTCGGGCAAAACCCTTGACACGGTCTAGAGTAAGGTTGTCCCTGCAACTGACCTCTTCTTCCGCGTCTAGGTGCAGACCAAGAAAGTGGAGAGCATCAAGAGCCTGCTGGTGGCGTGCCGCCAGTGCGAGGCCCGCTTCCTGGTGCGCTCTCTCGGGGGCAAGCTGCGCATCGGCCTCGCAGAGTCCTCTCTCCTGCTCGCGCTAGGACACGCGGCCGCCCTCTCGCCACCACACGGCTCTCCTGACGCGAGCAAGAAGCGTCTGGACGAGGCGGCGCTGCTGGTCAAGACCGCCTACTGGTGAGCCCGGCTCCCGTTGACGAAGGCGGGTCTTTTTTCTTCCTTTTCAATCGGGCAGTTCCGAGTCGAGCTCGCGCCCGGCCGACACACCGAACTTACTTTACAAGAGGCGTGCCCCCTATGTCCTGATTTGTCTCGAAACTGTCTGTTGTTTTTGACTCTGAAAATTGTCCGAATGCACAAACGAACGTCGCCGAACTAGTAACCAAAACATTAGGCCGAAAGTGATTTTTTAACGCAGAATGTGTTATACGGCTGGTATCTAACCACATCTAGTTATGTGCCAGCAACAGAAGTTGAGGAGTCGGCTGCCAGCCAAACCTTTTCCTTAAGTGCCTTCGTGTCACCCCCGGCGAAGGCTAAAAGTCGAGTGTTCAGACGTGCAGCGGCACTCTATCCGTCAAAACGAGCGTGCTCCCGGGCATACCTCGGCAAACCTCACTCATGAGGGCCCTCACTCACCCTCACTCACCCTCATCTTCACAGGTGAGGTGAGGGTGAGTGAGTTTCTGAACCAGGAAAATTCATGAGTGTGAGGGTGAGTGAGGGCCGTGAGGGCCGTGAGGGCGGTGAGGGCGGTGAGGGCCGTGAAAGTTGTCAGGGCCGTGAGGGCTGTGAGGGCCGTGAGGGCCGTGAGGTCCATGAGTGAGTGAGGGGCGTGAGGGCCGTGAGGGGCGTGAGGGCCGTGAGGGCGGTGAGTGCGTGAGGTGTGTGAGGGCCATGAGTACGTGAGTGCGGTGAGTGCGTGAGACCCCATTCAGATCGAGCATCTTTCTCAATAATTTGGGTGTTAATGGCGGGTTGTCCTCTGGTTTTCCCTAGTTCGACACAAATTGCTGAGATCGGGTCCGGCTCGAAATAAGCAAGCAACTCGGAGCAATTCGAATGCGTTTGAAGCGGCTGCATCCAATCAAGGACGCAAAATTTTCACGTGATACCTCGTGCCGGTGATGATGACACCGAAAGACTCGGTTCTGGTTGAAATCGATCGTTTTTTTTGGAAATAAACTGTTTCAGAAATGTGCATTAGTATTCTTAACGAGATTTAAATGCATAAAAACACGTTTATAACGCATAATTATGTCTAAATAGTGCAAGAAAAATAAAATTTTATGATGACGATGGCAAATTGCAGCAATTGGTTGCTGCGTGTGATCGAGGGCGGCCCGTGTTGCTGGTGTTGCGACAAAAAGTTTCTGGGCGAATTTGCCCCATCTGAAGCTGGCCTGAGTGGCATGAGGGCCATCAGTGCGTGAGGGGTGTGAGGGCCGCAAGGGCGGTGAGTGGCGTGAGGACGGTGAGTGGCGTGAGGGCGGTGAGTGGCGTGAGGGCCGTGAGGGCGGTGAGTGGCGTGAGGGCTATGAGTGTGTGAGGGCCGTGAGGGCGGTGAGGGCGGTGAGGGCAGTGAGGGTGAGTGAAGGGCTGAAGGTGAGTGTGACTGTGAGGGTGAGGGTGAGTGAGGGGCTGAAGGTGAGTGCAGCTGCGAGGGTGAGGGTGAGTGAGGGGCTGAAGGTGAGTGTGGCTGTGAGGGTGAGGGTGAGTCAGGGCGACCTACAATGCCGACCTCTGCTCCCAAGTTCCCCAGTAAAAGAACGAAAAAAAAAAGCAAAGAAAAAAGGAAGCAGACTCCTATGTTGCAATGGGTTGAAGTAGTTCCGAGCTTATTTAGGGCTTTGCCATTTTTGTTCGAAACTACGAGTAAAAAAAGTTATGCCATCAGCAAGCAGGGGGTCTACTCTTTGGGTTATAGAATTTGTTTTTAACTAATAACGAGGACTTTGACGACGTGAAATAAAATGCTTGGGAAGCTTGCTTTGGCACCCATGCAGTAGCGCGAAATGAATGCCTGGCGCTCTTTGTCTTTTACACTGCCCGCTCGGCCTGCAAGCCTGCCTGCCAGTGACGTAACAGCACTGAAAAGCGCGCGTATTTGAACGTTGCTTTCATTGTCCTTTTTGTTTACCGATTTCACAATAACTATTCTGAATTTAGAAAGACTAAATAGCCTGCCAAACAGAAATAAATACTTAACGGCATGCCAGGTATTCAGAACATATAGTCGGTTTGGGTAGCAAAACAAAATCGTTGGAGTACCCCTTTAAATGCGTAATGAATTTTAGGGTCAATTTCTGAGTCTAAAGTGCCGCAAAAGGTCTCGTAACACGGCCAGATGTCTGCACTAAAGGCTTTGCGGCAATGCGTACCACTTTCCTCCGTGATGACGTTGGAAAGTGGCATGCATCCTGTGCCTCGACAGCACAAACATCGTCGTGCGTGGCAGCCCTGAAACAAATCCCTGCCAACGCTGGTGCTCCAGCAAAAAAGAGACAACGAGAAGCGGGGCGACCTTCCTCGACCTCTGTTTGTCTTTTGGCGACGAGAAACCAGCCGCACGACTGGCTGCTTTCTCGCCGTAAGCCCGCCGAATCCCTTCAAACGTCTCCGTTCCAGATTGGCCGAGACCTACGCAGAATCTATGCTCGCTCTCGCTGCGTCTCACAGTCCATGCTGAGGTCGCCATTGTGTTTGTGCGCGTGGTCGTGAAAAGTTTTGTGGCGCAGCTCTGTACGTTCGCTGGACGATGCCCTTCGGCATAATGATGCACGAAGGTCTCCGCCTTCGACAACTGCGTGCACATACATTCGTACATACACGCGTATAAGTAAATTTATTCGAGACCACAATACTTTTGCCTTGAAGGACACGGTTAAAAGTAGCAAATACAAAACTGGTCCCGGAACTTCTTGATCGCACCTCATATAACAGAGGCGTGGCAGTTTTAAATGCGAAATTTGGTATATGGCTGGTGCCTAACAAATTCCGGTTTTGAACGCCTGAAAATGAAAAAAAAAACAAAAAAACATGTGAGTGCTCTGTTAGCATTTGTCTGAAACTCGTGTAGCCACTAAATAGTTGGAGTCCTAATCAAACGCTGATGCAACACTGGAGTCCAATCTGTGCCTTGGCCCCTGGTAAACAACCCAAAAAACGTCCTCCTTTACAGTCTTGTTAAGGCCCATTCATGTGGCAACGTTTGAATGCGTCTCATTGGCTGTGCTCCATATCTTGCTCGAGTAGATCCGAGTTACTCGCAGAAGTCAGATCATGCGATAAAACTGATAGAACGATTTAGCACGCAAGTCAGTTTGCAGATGCCGTGGTACAAAGCACTCTGAAGCGTGACTGGGCACATTGGGGAACGCAGCTCAGTGATACATCCGGAAGTTTGGCGAGACTGCACCCTCGAGACTCGGCTTCACGCGCCACTCTGCTCGTTCGCCAGCTTTGGCGGGCCTTTCGTAAACGCCTGGCACGACAACGTTCGCTTTGTCGAGGCATGAAATATGCACCGAGTTTGTTTACCCGTGGCAGGCCACCGTAAAGTCACACACAGAACTTGTCATAAAGCTGAGATTTTTTAAATCCGCATTTTGCGGCGTAAAGGGTACAAGATTTCTGGTGCGTCTTGTAGAATGGTGCGGCTTATATCCCTTTTTAGGGGCGAAGCTCCTTAGAGTCTAGGCTTATCCGTGCGGCATCCGTGCTCACATCGATCTTGCTGGTGCTCGTGCTCGTGATCGTGCTCGTGAGCTCATGTGTTTACGCGCTCGTGCAGAACAAAAAAAAAAAAAAAAGATAGGAAAAAAGAGAGTATGTTTGCGCAGTCGACGGGATTCGAACCTGTGCGGGAAGACCCCAATGGATTTCTTAACCACTCGGCCACGACTGCGGGACGAGTAGGGGGCTCTGAGATGTGGTAGTAACTCAAGAGCTGGGGATGTCATGGATGAAACGTTGCATGTAGCCGCTCAACGTCTATACAGGAGAGGGCACTGCGGTCAAATGCGTATATAATCGGGTTAAACTTTGCATGCATTGGCTCAATGTTTATAGACGAGAGGGCGTTGAGGTCAAATGCTCAAATTCGTATATAACCACATTACATACCACACATTCTCTTTCTGACATGGATGAAAACGAACGAAAGGCTCGGCATGCTGCGGTTCAGCGTCTACGCAGACAAGCACCACCAGAGCTTCGCCCCAATCAACATCATTCACCACGTGGAGATGCCGTCATTTTTTTTCTCCATAATTGTAAACCTTAACTGTGCACATTTGCCACTGAAATTATGTTTCTCGTTCGATTCGTTGATGAAAATACTGAAAGTTATTCTCCCGTGTGCATATATTGCAATCGTGATACACACATGCAGACTTTTCATTGCGGTTTCACGGCGTCGGTCGTGCTAATATAGAGGTATGACTTTTAGACTGGAAAATATGATTTAAGCTATTTCTTGCAACTCTTCGATGACAAAATGGGGCCCCTTCCCGGTGGGGCCGCCATTTTCGCATTGATAATTCCTAAAAATCGCTTAAAACTTTTGCTTCGGATAACAGCCAGTTCTGAAACTTAGGCATCTCATCCTGACCACCAGCACTTCATTTGGGCGGAATCTGAGCGCTCGGCGTTGCATAGCTCATTTTTGCAACGAGAAAAGTGTCTTGTAAATTGCTGGGCAATTGTGTCGCACACGTGAAGCGTTCCAGCGTCACAGACGTTAACGTCATCTCTTAGCAGCACGTCCAGCCCGTTTGGCCAGACGCCTAGGTTCACGGGGCTCTTCGTTGGATTATTAAACGCGTGGTATGTGCATGCTTCAAATGACAAACCTGGTGATCTTCCAGAACCTTCTAGTCCACTCTTCCATTCCCACCTCGCCTACCTCTCCTCACTCCACCCCCGGCCACGTGACCTCCTCGTTAACCAGTCGGCGTCGAGCACCTCTCTCCTCCTCTTTCACCCATTGGTGCCAAGCGTCGCGGCCACGCCTTTATCCGGGCTTCGCTTTTTGGACTTCACGAAATGCCGAATGCCTTGCCAAAGAACGTTTCACGTTAAAACGCGGTTAACGTTTCTTCCGGATGCCAGGCACTATTGGGGGGGTCGCATTCCTACTACCGTGCCGCCTCCCGTGCCCCGCCCCTTTGACCTCAAGGGTTGTTCCTTCGTCGTCCTGTGCAGCGAGTGCCCGGACTATGGTCAGCTGGTGTCCGCCCTGCTTGACGGGGGCCCCGACGTGCTGCCCGAGCGATGCCGTCTGACCCCCGGCGTGCCCCTCAAGCCCATGCTGGCCCACCCGACCAAGGGAGTGTCGGAGGTACTGGGCCGCTTCGAGGGCTCCCCCTTCACCTGCGAGTTCAAGTACGACGGAGAGAGGGCACAGGTGGGTCGCACTGACGCCGCCCCCGCCCCCCCCCCCTTCCTGTCTCCCCCTTCGCGGTGTCTGTGCAGATTGCAAGATACGACTTGTCGACGTGCACGGCGCAGCACTATGGGGTGGTTTCGTGGGACATACTTGTAGTTCGAAATCTTGCCGTATGTCTCAATATGTGCGCAGGCGGTATTTTATGGCATTGGCTGTATAAGGCGAGTGTCGTGTCGCCGAAAGCAAACGGAGCATGCGCACGTTTGTTGCTGGTAGGTTTGGCCCCGGGAGATGGCAAGTGCAGCAGTGATACCCTCGCCCTTCTGTCGCTAGTAGTCATGGTTGTTGAGCGGCAATTTGGACCAATTGCGATTGCGCCGGGGGTCGTGCGATTGCAGTTCGTGCCGGCTGCTCTTTCACTTTCGACAAAACTTTATCCAACCTTGCTCTTGGTCCCCCTGAAGAGGTGCTACCCCCTGACGACAGGCTACTCTGCCTTGCTTCATGGTCCCTCTGATGACAGGCTCACCCTCTTGCTTCATGGTCCCTCTTGGCAGGGTACCCTCCCTCGTGCTACGGTCCCTTTAAGAAGACGCTACACCTCCTCACATCATGGTCCCTCTGATGGGAGGCTACTCTGCTTTGCTTCATGGTCCCGCTGACAAGAGGCTAACCTTCTCCTTCATGCTACATCTTACTGCAGACACCCCCCTTATGCTGCCTTGCTCCTAGGTCCTTTTGAAGAAAGGCTACCCTCTCTGCTTCATGGTCTCCCTAATGAGAGGCTACTCCGCCTGGCTTCAGGATCCATCTGACGATAGGTTAACCCTTCCCTGCTCTGGCAGATCCACTTGCTGGAGGACGGGAGCGTGCGCATCTACTCTCGCAACCAGGAGGACAACACGTCCAAGTACCCAGACGTGGTGGGGCGGCTGAAGGAGGCGCTTTCCCCCTCCACCAAGTCGTGCGTGCTGGACAGCGAGGCCGTGGCCTGGGACCGGCCCAGCCAGACCATTCAGCCCTTCCAGCTGCTCAGCACCCGCAAGCGCAAGGTCAGCCACCGTCTCGTACAGTCATGTCTCGTTAACTCCGCTATATGCACCAACTCATGTCTGCAAACAAACCGGAGTGCCCCAAGCTGGCACGTGCGGTGGGGTGTGGGCGAGAAGCGCGGCGTCCCGCATCAGCAGACCACTGGAATGTGACTCCGGCATTGGAAATGTTGATTCTACCTCTTCCTATCGATGTCTTGCTACCTCAGTGGGTCGAGAGAAATTAACGAGGCTCGTTGAATGAATAACCTGCTACATGGTGTTTCAAAGGCTGTATTTGCGCACAATTTGCTCCTTGTCTGCGCCAAAAGGGAGCTGATCTCGAAAAGAGAACTGAAAGTGGGAGCTGACACCGCGATCTCCCGACTCGCTTTGCCGCAGCACAGCTGCGCGCTCAGGCGAAAAATACACCTTCAAAGATGTATAGTGCATGGGCGCACCTAGTGTATTAAAAAAAGAAATATAGAAAAACATTATGATTGTTGATATATACATTGCAGCAAAATCTTAAAGATTTAACTGTTGCTATTATGTGCGTTTGGCAGGGATGTTCTAACAACCTGCATTCATTATGTATGATTGTTTTTTTTTTCTTTTTAATTCAGAATAAAAGAAAATATTTTCATATAGCAAAAAGATTTATAAATCCTTTCAATTAGGTATGGTGATGCTCCTCTATAGGCTTAATTTTATGTCAAATCTGTCATTTACTTGCCATCCCATTGTAGGTATGGGACTTTCTGAGGCTACACTCCATAAATATAGCTAGATTAAATTGAACAGAGCTCACAAGTGAGCGGTTAGAAGCTTGGGAACAACCTTCGAGAGTTCAGCTGAATTTTTTTTTTTTAAGCACGGCGTAACAGTGGTTAAATACTCGGAGAAAGGCACAGCAACCATTCAATATTCGATTCAAAATGTTCGGCCCAAACCGCTATTCACTTTGAATTCACCTTGAACCCAAAATCCGTTATAGGCACATGCCTAACAAAGAGTTATTGGTCTTTGTGCGAACGGTACTCACATAGATTGCGATGAATTGCTAGTGCTACTCGTTAGGTGTGTGCAAATACGAATTCTAGTCGAATTGAAAGTTCCCGAATAATTCGATTCGCAAATCGAATTCCCCGTATTCGGTCACTCGAATACTCTGTATATTCGGTCGAAGGACCTGAAAAAAGAGCCGTTTTTTCCTGATGTTAGCGCCGTGATGTTAGACAGACCATGCAAGAAACACTTATTGGTCCTACCATTCCACACAAATCTAACGCACAGACTAGAAGAAAGAAAAGTAATGAATGCCACAAACTTTATAGCACGCAGATACGTTTAAAACTTTATAGCACGCAGATTTACTCATGATCATGACACAATCTAATCTTGAATCATAACAGGAACATCCTGTTTGCGCCGCTTCCAGAGAGGAATTGTTGGGAGGCCTGAATTCTGCGCCATACCTTAATCCTTTTCACGAGTGAAGCCCCTCGTTTCAAATTGAAGCGCCGATGTAGAACCCACTTGCCACACTCACAGAAATCGGCGACTGCAAGATCACAAGAAGAAACCATGTAAACCACGCCGATGAAACCAGCCGAGTTGTCGTCGTCATTCTTTTGGAACCGTGAGCCGCAAATTCTGATTTGGAACGGAAAAATAGTGTGTCTAGATTTGGGCAGGGTTTCCAACCGTTCAATAGCTGTGTTTAAATTGCGAACTACGAGAAGGTGATGAAAAGACAGAAAAGCGTTGATCGGACAGGCGTCGTCGCTCTTCCGTTTGCTCGCCGCCTTGTTTCTACGCGACAACGCAACAGATGCACGCTTACGACCAATCTGCGCAGGAGCCGTCTCCGTGGTTTCAGTTTCGCTTGCTCCCTCTTTTAAATCTAGGCTCTCTAAAGCAGGATAGATGAACGGAGGAATGGAAGCGTAGCGGCGGTTGGACGGTGACTTGCGCCACCTAACCACGTTTTTTTTTTCTGACTTTAGATTGTTGAAGCCTGTTTACTCAGATTTAACAGCTATCTGTTTATTTATATGAAATACAATCCCAGGCACACTTTTTTTTTCTTTAAAATTGGGACCAAATATCGCAAAGTATCTCTTTTTTGAGATATAAAAAAAAAAGACATGTCGCAGTGTTAGGTCGTGTTTTTAACGAGACAAAAAGGCACGCGTGGTGGATATTTTTTTGTGACGCTTAGGCTAGATAGATTATGTTTGCGCCATAAAATATGATCTTTAGTGCCCAACGTCCATCAGCAGCTGCTTTTCTTTTCTTTTTTTCACCAGAACTTCTATATATTTGAGCTTTTGTTCCGTACAAGATGCATATTCTGCCCCAGGCGCATAGTCTGCACATATAACAATCGCATTCACAGCACACTTTGAAAAATTCCTACAAATAAAATCACTATTCGATATTCGATTCAATATTTGGCTTTTTTTTTCTTAATTTGATTCGGTATTCGATTTGATAACTACTATTCGGTATTCGCACACCCCTACTACTCGTGATCAGTCGGAGTAGCTGTGTGCTTCGCTTAGCTGCTTTATGAACAGTAGGAGGTTGGGTAAGAGACAGGGCAGCGTGAGACATGTTCAACACAGGTGTGTCAGTTTAATGTCGAACTCGCGACAGCCATGTCGCCGTGATAAAAACCCAGCAAAGTAGCCAAATGCATATTTTTACATCAAACACAAACCGAAGACGCCATCGGAACTCCTAATAGGTTAACTGAGACATCTGCAAAATTATTGGCGTTTGATTGTTCAAAAATTGGGGCTCCAATCCATGCATTGAAGGTGGTTGGTCTGCGAAGCTGTGGTATCACCTACAACGATTGCTTACTGCACTATACGAAATGCCGCCGCTGGTCGTATTGCCATTTCTTTTCCCTTTGCTGCTTGTAGCATTCACGCTGCTCCTCGGGAGTCGTCACTATGCGTGGCCTATTCATCACGGTGCTGCAGCAACAATGAAATCAGTTGCTGTACTCCGTTTCATCTTACGTTTAAGTGCAGCGGATGCTACGAGGCATCGGAGCCAATCGAAGGCCGTGTGATTGTCATGTGACCTTAAAGAGGAGGCGGGGCACAGCAAAGCATGGAAAGCGTATCACGGGCCACGTCCACATAACGGGGTTGGCTAAGATAGATCTTAGCAGCTCTTGCGTCCGAACGTAAGTGTATGAAACAAGGTATAGACGGGTTCTTCTTTTATATATGAAAGGCTAGTGACGTCACTCCCCACGGCAGCTCGGGCAACAGTAATCTTCACCGGGGGCGTATGCGGTGAGCGCTACGTGCTTCGCATTGTTTTCAGGAGCTCCTTATTATTCATTATATTGTTAGAATGCTTGTTTTGTGCTTATTCTTTATTAAGATGAATGTTATGCTGTATGTGTGGTGTTTGTACTTTTCGCTTCAATCTTCTGAAGTCTTTTTTTTCGTGAGAACGCCGACACGAAAACACGCGGGGAGAAGGAACGTGCTTCGCATTGTTCGCAGGCAACGTTATCATCCATTATGTGGTTTGCACTTCACACGAGGTGTGAAGTGCAAACCACATAATGGATGCTTGTTTTGTTGACGCTTGTTTTGTTTTGTCGATGCTTGTTTTGTTGACGCTTGCTCTGTGGTTTTCTTTACTGAAACGGATACTGAGCTGTATGCCTGATTTCAAAGGAGACATGCTGTTTTGCCTTCAATTGTTTGCCGAGAGTATTTTGCTTACAACGCCTACGACACGAAAATTTCCTTGGCTGGTAGAGGTATACAGCTTCGCTGTAATAAATAAAGGAATAAATAAATAAATATCTGTAGTGGTCAGGTCTTCTGCAGGTGCGACGCTTTAAATAGTATTCCAGCACTCCAACAACTGCAGTGTTTTCCCCGGTCTAACCTTCAACGAAATTGCATATTAAATTTTCTAACGTGAAAGCTCACAATTGTCTGCTCCAAAAGTGGGAATCCCTGCTCCAAAACCTGTATTTTCTTGCGCAAGAGCTGTAATCACCACTTGTCAGTTCCACCGCACCGCGAAACTGCGTGTAAATAAGGTGACGTGTAGTGATTCGTTCCACGTGTACGCCGCGGAATGGATGCTCAAAACTCGAGTCGCACGACGAGACTGTGCTTGCCATTTTCGGTTGCGACGTCGCTCGGGCCGCAAAGCGTGGACGGTGGTTGCGACGCTCGACGTCGATGCTGAAAATCGTGAGCAGAATCGGACCAAGTGAATCAGGCATGACAGGTTGGTGATGGCCACTGGTAACAATGGTCAACACCTCCTTATATCTACTGCTTACACCAAGCCTACTTACTCCAAACAACCTTCAAACTTAAGAGTCTTTTGAGGCCTGCACTTACTTATTGCAACGTTTAGTCTAGTGGCCGCTGTTGATTGAACGATCGGACGACAGTTCAACCGAGTTTGAAAGAGCAGACGGTGATTTGAACGATCAGACGGTGGTTTGAACGTGAAGACGCGCTGAACGTGGTCCGCAGGTGGTCCGGACGACTGGATGATTTTCCCGCCTTCACGTGTCGCAACAAATTAAATAAATCTGACGACCGCAAGTATCCGTGAATTCAGCCCAAAGTGCTTCCCACACAAGCAATCATGGTCCGACAGTGTTTGGTTTTCCTTTTTCCCGGCACATATCCACGCTCTCGGACGAACCGAGAAGGCAGAAATCATGTGAAAACTGATCTTGACATTCCCGGCTCTTATGGTACATCCAGAGTCGCATCATTTCAATGAGAAAGCAAGTTTTTGTTTGGTTTCTTTCGGAATGACACGGAAATGCCCGTCCCGCGTGGCGACTTTCGCCCACATCTCCAGACTGGAGGTGCGCTTGAAATTAACAAAGCTGAGCTGGTGTATAGACAGGCTTTCTGGGAACTCCCTTGGTATATAAAACATTTTCATCTCATTTTCCTACACAAGATGAGCACTGTACACACTGAACAACCGCATCACGAGCCCCCTAAAAAAAAAGTGGAGAAAGGGAACAACTGCAAGATGTGTTACGAGGAGTGCGAAATTGAGAGCAAGATAAATGTCTTTTGCAGTACCTGCTACATTTACCTGTGTTCTACCACATCCGAAAACTGCTTCACTTAGAGGCACGCACACCACGATTTTTGACAGAATGTGGTAAAACTTAATGAATTTTTATCTAGAGCTCAGCAATCGGCAGTTTGTCTTGCTATTGAAATTTGACATATTTCACAGATTTTGAAATGTCTTAGCTGTCGTTTTTTGCCGAGATATCTTCATATCTTTTTCGATTAAGTTATGTTGGCTACAATAATTTTGGTTTTAAGAAATTAAGTTTAGCATAATTTAGTGGACTCTTATTATATACTTATCATCAAAAAGAACATTTATTGTGCTACATTTTGATGTGCTGAGACATATTTTAGAAGCAAAGGTTTTTCTATAAAAAGGCCCTCATTCTCTGGTAGGACGCCAACGAGGACGAGATCAAGGTGCAGGTGTGCGTGTTTGCATTCGATCTGCTCTACCTCAACGGGAAATCCCTGGTCAAGGAGCCCCTGCGCAAGCGGAGGAGCCTCCTCCGCGAGATCATCACGGAGGTGCCGGGAGAGACCTTGTTTGCCCGCTCGGCCGACCTTTCCACCGTCGAGGACATCCAGGAGTTCCTGGAGGAGTCCATTCGAGGTAGCCTCTCCCAGTTGCAACCTCGGACGTCTCCTTTCGAGGCGTGGAATGCTTTGTAACGGCGTCCCCTGCACTGACCAATTTGTTGGTGTGTCCATCTGACCGTTGGAGCATTCCCCATGGCGGGGCACGTCGGCCCAACCGGTTTGGTTGTCGACGTCAAGTCACGGTATAACGCATCGTCGTAACGTTGGATCATGTGACGCCGTGGTATCGTGCGACGTCGCATCACGTCACCGTGTGACATGGCACCACGACTGGACGTCGTGACGTCAAGTCGCGTAACTTCAGTGCAACCCACTTATAACGATAATGAGAAAATCTGAAATTTCAGTCGTTATAACCGATTGTCGTGGTATCTGGACTAGGAACTGATTATTTCCAGTCTAAAAACTCTAGAAACTGATCGTTATAAGCGGTACATTGTTATATGTGGTATCGTTATAAGTGGGTTGCACTGTATGTAGCGTGACGTCGCGTGACGGCACGACACCGTGACGTCACGTGGCGTTTGGTGTCTTCTAAAACAAATCGAAACCATTGCTCCTTATGTGCTGCATAGCATCCCACATCACCGACATAGAATTTAATTTGGAAATTTCTATCCTTTTCATGACCCGGAGGCCCAAAGCTTCTTGAAGAATTATATGTATTTTAGAAATGTGGTAGAATCTCACTGCAAACATTGCTCTAAGGGAAACGAAACTCCTTAATAACAAATTAACTGAGCTCATTTGGTTGCTTTTCACTAGGGTTCTGACAAAAGCAAGCTTCCCTTATAACTGTTGTCTATACAAGTTCAACTGAAAGATGTTTCATTGTATGTTTTCAAAGCAGTCCAACCAACTTGACAGTGTATTCTAGTTATTTTTACAATGCACCAGTTTGAACGGCGATGAATTTCGTTTCGTGTTCAGGCAGCTGCGAGGGACTCATGGTGAAAATGCTGGACAGTGACGCCACTTACGAGATTGCCAAACGTTCACGCAACTGGCTCAAGGTGGGTGTGCATGGCCACTGTGAGTTGGCTCGGCCTATTGGGATGGCACTTCGGCAACCATCCTGCTGATGTCGCATGAGACTTAAGCAACCCTTCTGCTGATATTGCATGGGGGACTTAAAGGGATTTTCGGGTCAAAGCCGGAAGTAATAAAGTTTTTGCGCTCGTTATGTCGGGAGAGCCTTTATATAGACAAACATAATTTTTATTTTGATACATGATGTCCCCGTATTAATTAAACTTCTCATGGCCGTGTGTACGAAACTGCACCTCGAATTTCGCCAGTGTCAATGGCTGACATCTGTAGCTGCTGCGTGTCGTCGCATAACGCAAAGGATCGTTCGGATGGTCGCGATAACATGCGTTGGTTGATGGATGTGTCATATTTTGTTTCGAATTATGTAGTCTTCTAGGCCGTGCCCTACCGAAATACGTTTCTTGTTATGCAGTTCCCAAGTGTGCGCAAAAAAGTCACGCAATAAGGTTGAGAGCTGGGCTAATTGGCGGTTAAACATAATGAGATAAAACAGCGCAAAAAGGTTCCAAAGGAAGCGACAAGCCGGACAGGACAGAGCGCTGACTCGCAGCCATGTATTTTTACAAATAGACAAGGAGAAAGAAAACATTATTCCACGCGTTCACACGCACATCTTCTGCCCACGATATCTACTCATTACGGCACGCGCTGAACCTTCGTTGTCAGTGTCTGGAATAGGCCTCCTGCGTTGCCCAGGGGGTGCTGCAAAAAGGCACTTGTTAGGCCTTGTTTTGGGTAGTACAAATTTTAGCGTCTCAAACTGTCACGCATGCAGAAGCGTGCCTGCTCTGGTGCGGAGCGCGAGATCGCGATGAAAATACAAAGAAACAACAAAAATGCAAACGCCTTCAAAGTTAAGACGCTAAGAGCGTGAGCCAAGAGATGCCGTTTCACGCGTTCCAAAGTAGACATGAAAATGAACACAAAATGAAAGCGTCGCGACACAGGCGTTCTGACGTCACCATCCAGAGATAAGAGACGCGTGCCCTAGCGGTGGTGTCATGAATTTGGCACTTTTGATTGTCTTGCAACGTTGAGTCGGGCCCATTTCTGGCGTCCAAAGGTGTTTTTTTGTTCTTCACCACCACACAGCATTAAAAAAGCTCAACCAACGTGCCATAAGTAGTGCGAGGCTCAATCAGGTGAGCTGGTACTACTCAAAATGAGGGCGCTACAGTTTGTTCAAAGCTTCAGCGCAGGAGGCCTATTCCAACCAGCTCCTTACTAGACAACGCCGCCGACGCTGTGCTAATGGCAGGTTTTTGCGCCACCGTGGATGTAGAATGCCTGAAACACCTCGTGTGTCGCTTTTTCTTTATGCTTTCCCAAAATCGTGGTGGTATTAAAATTAATGTTTGAGGGCCACGGTGGAAGGACATTTTTCAGTTTATTGTAAAGAATGCCTGTGCGAGCCGTCTTTTCATACCACCACAATTTTGGGAAGGTTCAGTTTTATTGTAAAATTGTTATATATGGCTGGCACCTGACCCCATCCGGTCAGGTGCCGGCAACGGAAGTTGACAGGCCGACTGCCAGCCCAACTTCTTCCCCGAGTGCCGCCATGTAACTTCCGGTGGGGGAAAAACATCTCGCGTTCAGACATGCGGTGGCGCTTTGTTCCAGGCTTTCCCAGAGAAAGGGCGCAAAAAAAAAAAAGAAAAGAAAAGCAAAAAAAAAAAAAAAAAAAACAGAGAAGAGAACAGCAAACTCCTTCACTGCAACAGGTTGAGGTAGTTTTGAGTGTTTGGTTCTCCCTTGCCGCAAGCTGGTGCCAGGTCTCTGCTCGGCGCCGCCGCGTTCCCGTTGTTCCGGCATGTCACATTCCGCGTTACCGGCATGTCACATTCCGGCATGTCACATTCCGCATTACCGACGCCTTTGCCATGCTAGGCAGAGGGGTGACCTTTTGTTCCATTTGTCTCCTTTAGGCGAGATTTCTCTCGCTCGTCGTTGCACTGGCGGGCTCTAATGCCAGTTTAGTCATTTTCTTCGGTGTTTCATTACTCTTTGTCATTTAGCGTTTTTCCAGGGGTCACCAAGTCGCGCAATTACAGTCTAAGCTCATTACAACAGACCTGGTTACAACAGACATTTGGATATAACATACCGATTTCTGAAGTTCGGTTGATTTTCCTCTATGTACCATTGGCTCAACTTCATATCAGCATACAACATACTCCTTTTATAACATACCGAAATCTTGGTCAAAATCAAGGTCTCTTATAACGAGCTTAGACTGTATAACGTAATCGCGCAACCTGGTTATGTCGTAGTCTATCGGATTAGGACAGCTTTGGATGTGAGCACTGTGTCGAGATGAAATGGTGGGTTTGGTGGTTCATGGTTTGCCAAGATTCTGGTGCTTGGTTGGTAGTAGGAGGCCTGGGCAGCATCGCGGCACAAATGTATTGCGCTAGTATCTTAGTACTTTCGAGTGTCTCTGGACCGAGGTACATTTGAAGAACATATCTCTGTAGTGAAGTATGTGTACAACGCTGCCAGGCTTAGGCATTTTTTTTTTTACATTTGTGATCGAAAATTAGTTGTCGGGTTTTTACGATATACTGAAAAACACGTTTTCGGCGCGGGGGATCACAAACTCTATAATATGAGCTTGCCCCATAACCTTCTCTGTGGGGAAAAAACTTTTGGTTGCAACTGAAAAAAGAAAAATAGACAAACAATAGTGGCTTGAAGAAAGGACAAAAAAAAAAATAGCGGGATAAACTGCACTCTTTCACTTTAGCAGGGTGAACTGGAGCAGTGGGAGACGCACCATCCTGCAACACTTGGTGCATTTCGAGCAGACTCCTTTTGTTAGGCATGCTTTCAATACTTACAAAATCCAATAAAAACAAAAGCCTTTGTTTTTTGTGGCATTTGGTATGGTATTTTTGGATAAATGAGGAGTTTGAAGTAAGGGGAGCTGTATAAACTGACACAAAGACAGGAACACCAGTGCTACCACTTGCATTTCCGGTGAACCTACCACCGTTGGGATACTTTTGGGCCATTTTTGGCAGAAGTAACTCGGGGATATCCCGTTGCATAAAGGACAAAATCTACATCGGCATTTGTATCTGGGCCTTAAAACACACGTGTCGTCAAGGTATTGGTATTCCGGGAATACTTTTCTGGAGCGTCTCTGCCCAGCTTTGGTTGGTAGTCACCCTCCTAGGGCCGTAACAATGCGACCTAAATGTTTCTTTGTACGCAGCACGTGTCTAGCGCGATTGTTAAGTAAAAGATATGTCCTCCCAAGAAATGCAACACGTAATTTCCTCTCCGTATATAGCAGGAAAATTGGATTGACATATTCTAATATACACCAATTCATGGTTTGGTGTATACAACAACCTATGCCAATTCCTGAATTGGTCTATAATTTATGCACCGATTCAGGTTTTCCCGTTAAATTTAGAGGAGGAATTGCACCCCACATTCCGTGCCCCTCAGCTTTATAAATGTTTCTTTGCATTATTTCTTTTTGCCTCAGCTGAAAAAAGACTACCTGGACGGTGTGGGAGACACAGTGGACGTGGTCGTTCTCGGAGGCTACCACGGGAAAGGGAAGCGCACGGGGACCTACGGTGGCTTCCTCCTCGCCTGCTACGACCCTGACAACGAGGAGTTCCAGTCGCTCTGCAAGGTACCCCAGTGGAACCCAGTAACATTCTTTCCATGTGGCACGATGGAGTGGCTGAAGCTCATCTTTGACAGCCCCCAACTTTGGTGCCACATAGAGTTTTTTATCAGTATAAAGCTTGCTTGAAATTTTTCATCAGGGAGTGTTTTAGTGGTGCACCTGGCTTCATCAAATATCGAGGCATAGCTCCCTTCCTGGGAAAAATGAGACCACTAAAAAAATAAATCAAAACTCCAAGGGGAACATATGAAGAAATACCAGTGCACGGCACACTGTCTAAAAAAAACTTTCAGCCTTTCCACTCTGGAAGAGTGGAAAGGCTGAAATGTTTTTTTTAGACAGCTGGAAAGGCTGATGGAAGACCAGCGAAGCTGTCCTATGGTGGGATAAAGTAATGGCCGGTTGCAAGTCGGCAAGCCAGAGTGAAAAGGCTCGAAAGGTTGTCGCCATCTATGAGCTACGGCAGCAACCAGACAACCGGCAAGCTGTTTGTCTGGTTGCCGCCTTTGCTTTTAGGTCGCAGCAGCTGTCTAGAGTTCTGTGTCATCAGGTCATTTGAGGACCGACACGATCCTGGGGAAACTAGCCCTTAACAGCTCCGCTGTAAAATCTGCAGTGGTGCCAATGATTGTAACTCACGGACTTGAGGCCGTGTGTCAATGATGTTGGGGTTGCTCTTTTGTATTGCAATCCCCTTTTTTTATGGGCGAGGCTCCTTAGGGTCTAGCCTTGTCCGTCCGGCGTTTATGCTCACATCAATCTTACTGGTGCTCGTGCTCGTAAGCTCATGTGCTGACGTAGAAAAAAAAAAAAAAAAATGTTTGCGCAGTTGACAGGATTCAAACATGTGCAGGGAGACCCCAATAGATTTCTAGTCCGTCGCCTTAACCGCTCGGCCACGACTGTGGGACGAGTAGGGGGCTCTGAGATGTGGTAGTAACTCAAGAGCTGAGGTTTCTGTCATGGATGAAACGTTGCATGTAGCTGCTCAATGTCTATACGGGAAAGTGCGCTGTGGTTAAATGCGTATATAATCGCGTTAAAGGCCGGCTACCAGACTCGAGATTCTGCAAGGCAGAACATCCTCCTCACCATAAGGGAGGAGGAAACAGGCAACGGTGGACAGAGTAGAAGGAGGGAGAAAAGGAAGCAAGGGAAAAGTGGAAAGCGCGAACTGGTCGTCGGCCTTTAAACTTTGCATGCATTGGCTCAATGTTTATAGACGAGAGGGCGCTGCGGTCAAATGCTCAAATGCGTATATAACCACGTTCCGTACCACATATTTTCTTTCTGACATGGATGAAAACGAACAAAAGGCTTGGCATGTTGCGGCCCAGCGTCTACGCAGACAAGCACCACCAGAGCTTCGCCCCAATCAACATCATTCACCACGTGGAGATGCGGTCAATTTTTTTCTACTTGGAGTCTGTGGCTTAGCTGTCTTGGGCTTAGCAGAGCAGTGGTTGGAGGGGAGGGCAGGGAAAGGGGGAAACAGGCAATGGTGGAAAGGGTAGAAATGGGAAAGGAGGAAACGAGAGAAAAGTAGAAAGCGCAAATCGGTCGTCGGCTTCTAAACTAAAACTCAGCTGAACTCGTGAAGGATGTCCCCAAGCCTTCCACTTGTCCATGTCTAAGCTAATTTAATTTTAGTCCAACCATATTTGTGGACAGTGGCCTCAGAATGTCTTAATGTCTAGATGGGGATGGCAAGTAAATGATGTACTCGACATAAAATAAAACCTACAGAGATGCTCACCTATACCTGATTGAGGGGATTTGTATATCTTCTTGCTACTATGTGCAAAGTTCCTTTCTTAAATGTCAAATTCGAGACGAGAAAAGAAAGACGATCGTGAATGGCAAAAGAGGTTGTTAGTACAGCTCTGCCTAACATACTCTTGTTTAAAAGTCATAGTTTAAGTTTGCAATACTCTTGTGTAAAAGCCACAGTTTAAGTTTGCAAATTTTATTGTAGTGTAGATATCAACATTCCCACAGTTTTTTTTTTTTTCTTCAGATGTGCCAGGGTGCACGTGTGCACCATCCCACTTTGAAAGCGTGCTTTCCTTCTAAGCATGTGACCGCGATATTTGTATTTTTCGAAGTGCTGATCGTGGAGGGTTAGCCTTGTTGAGCACACTTCTTACCAAGCACTGTTGCACTGCGGAGAAGCAACACCTGCGGAGCTTGCTTCCACATGCGTCACTTCTCCCCAGTACACTGGTGCTAAGCAAGAAGCGCGGTCAAATTTGCTAATTTGCCGCAATCAACACTTAGAAAAATATAAATATTGTAGTCCATCTCCAAGCGAGTATCTAATAGCCTATTATTCAAACTACTATTGGAAAATTCAAATTTTTGCACAACCCCAGAGTTGAGGGATTCCTTGGGGTCCTCTGGCGACTGGGTGGTTCTGATGGCCCTTTTAATTCATTTTTATGGCAGAATGTGTTGAGTGTGATTTTGATGGCTGCTTCAATGGCTGTCTTGATTGCCATCTTTTTATTATTTATTTTTACATGCTACGGCCCTATTGGGGCTATTGCCGGAGTGGGGGGAGAAATCACAATTCAATATTGAATAAGACAGAAAAAACCTAAAACATTGTAAAATAAGATCAACCCCTGTCAACCGCACACAGAAACTCGTCTGGAGGTAATGACCGGATGTTACCGGGTAGCAGATTCCAACGTTCAATTGATCTAGGAAACAACTGTGTTTAAACATGTCAGTACGTGCATAAAACGGTGAAATTTTGAGGGTGGTCTTGAGTGGGGTCTTGACGATGGTCCTAAAAGCTCTTTCGGTGGACCTTTTGGCAACTGTCTTGACTGAAGTGTCGGAGCAATCTTGACGGCCATCTCGACTGCTGTCTTGACTACCATTCAACGCAGTCTTGACAGCAATTTTGACGACCGTCTCGACGGCTGTCTCAATGGCATCTCTCGACGACCGTTTTGATGGCTCTTTTAACGGCTCCAGATTGGGACGGGCTTCAAGGAAGAGGACCTGGAGCGCCACTCCGAGTTCTTCAAGGAGCACCGCATTGAGGCGGCCAAGTCCTACTACCGCTTCGACAGCAACCTGGAGCCGGATGACTGGTTTGAAGCGGTCCAGGTCTGGGAGATCAAGTGCGCCGACCTCTCGGTCTCCCCCGTCCACAAGGCCGCCCTCGGACTGGTGAGGAGGACGCAATCTCGCGGGAGCTTCCCTCCCTTGCTATCGTCATTATAGTTGCCAACGGAACGGAAACAGCGGGGAGGAGTTTCGGTTGTCCCGCCCCTAGCGCGACGGCGCATTGGCATCTGCCGAGCCTCGAGTGTGCACGCACAGCCGAAGACAGTGAGCGTGTGCTTAATTCATTGAGCACGCACTCACCGAATTGAGCCAGTGCTCAAAGCAGTGACTCAATTCGTGCGTTTGTTTATTACGGCGCATCACCTCGGTTCTTTGCGGCGGTGCGGCGCTCTGAATGCGTATTCGACCGATGTGTTTGGTGTCCCATCCCGCCCGTGCGTGGAAAGGAGTCCCGGAGGGGGAACAAACAACGTCCGAGAAGCCGGCACTTCAAATCTCTGCCCTGTCCCAACAAAAATTTAGTTCCAGCAAAAAAGTATGAGTGAAAACGGGTGTCGCGGAATGCGTTATTTGACCGACTGCTAGCCACTCGCTGTGACGCTGTCCTGTCAGGGAAAAAGCGTCGCTCAAGTGCTGCATCGGAGTTTGGCTGGAATTTTCATCATCGCCGATTGAACGCGAGTTCGTGACCAGTTTGTGCTGCGTGTTGGCCGTCGGTGGGCGACCGGAAATTCGGCACTATCACCTTGCTATTTACAGTGTGTTCACGAGCGCCATTTGGTCATAAGAAACGTCATGTCAATGAGCTTACAAAAGGGATGCGATGAAACCGTTCAGAAAGGTGTCGTTTGCAGACACCCCGTGAAAGGTATTGAGCGAGGGCACTCGCACGTACGGTGGGAAGGTGTGCAGGAGGTAAAGGGGAAAAGAACGAGCACGCGCTTCGGAGGAAACGGGAAGACGCGAAGCAGCGGGCTAAAGACCGGCGCGTGCGACCGCAAGAGTTGCAAAACTTTGCATTTCACTCGAGTTGGAGCGGCAGCTCTGGCAGGGCTTCCTTTCAGAGACACTTTGCACGAGAAAGTTTAAAGTTAAGGGTACAAAATGAGTTGGTCTGTGCATCATTGCCTCGAAACAACACGCAATAGATTCTATTTTCACTGCCTCGCAGCTGATAATTTAATGCTCGCGCTATAAATTTCCTCTCTATTCACTTTTACACTCTTGGTGGTGTTTTATGCCTCCGTCTGGATAAAATAAGCTATGTGTGTTGACACTCTATTCTTCGATTGTCTAGTGGGCGCCGCCATTTTGTGGCCCGGTGCAGGCCGGGTGCTATAGGCAATAGCTACGATTAGAAAATAAGTGCGGCTTCGTGACGAGCTTTAGGTCCGCCGTCAGGAAGTTTGGGCGATATCGTTTCGCTTTGCGCGGACATCTTTACATTTCGGGAGGATGGAAAAGTGTTATCTACGATTCCAGATAAGGCTTTGGACAACCGGTAACAATGATTTTTGAGCACCAAGATGGCTGAAGCGTCGTTAGTAGAGCCACGAAATGAGCTTCACTTCTGAGTGTCAACACCTCAGCTATGTTAGCGCTCAAAGTCACGATTACCAGTTACTTGAAATCGCGGGAAAACCCTCCTTTTTGTCCTCCAGAAATGTCAAAACAGTCCGTGACAAAACAAAACAATACTGCCAGAGCTTCAAAAGATTCCATTTAAAACTTTGGAAGTCACACGTTCTAACCGGAACGGTCGCCAATAGACCATTTGCTATATTACCCAAGCATCAAGGAGAATGCAGGGATCGGTGTTCCACGCGCCGCACGTGGACGTCTTCCCCGTATAAAAGATTTGAAGTAAATAACCCAAATAAAGAGTTGACGAACGCGCGTGCAAGATGCCATTTGTTTTAGGTATTTGCTTTAGAAAAGTTACTACTGCTGAGGCCAGCACGTGCGGCACGTGGAACACCAATCCCTGCATTCTCCTTGACGCTTGGGTAATATAGGTCTATTGCGAGCACCAAGATGGCAGCTCCCACAAGAAAACGGTGAAATAGGGCATCAGTACTCTTGAGCGTAGCTTCTAAACGTGAAACATTCTTTGGCTAAGTGTTCGGCATTTCGTGAAGCCAGGATAAAAGTGTGGCTGCGAGGCTCGTCACCGATTGGTCGACGAGTAGGAGAGGAGGGGTGAAGTGCTCGACGTTGATTGGCTAATGGGGGAGGTCATGTGACCAGAGAGGTAGGCAAGGGGGAGCTCATCCACCCGTGCACACTGAGTGAGGGGAGCTCGGAAGTATGGAAGGCTCTAGAACATCGCCAGGCCTATCATCCCAATTAGGGGTAGTATGGCTTCATTCTAGGCACAACTGTCAAGGGTACACATGGTATGCGAGGAGAGCCGTGGAAGTAGGCGTCTGGAAACTTAGAGTGTCGCTAAACGTTCGTCGATGCAAGATTTCACGTGTGCGACACAATCGCCTAGCAATTTGCCATAAGTTTTCAGCGGCTCTAGCGTGCACCTCGCAACATTCCCTGCTAGGGTGCTTCAAGATGGCCGATCCCGGCGAATCCTCTCTCCCTCCAGGTGGATCCCGAGAAGGGGATATCCTTGCGGTTTCCTCGTTTCCTCAGGATACGGGACGACAAGAACCCCGAACAGGCCACTTCCGCACGGCAGGTACTGTCACTTTCTGTGGAATATGCAGTGACAATCTCGACCGAGGCTTTATTTTATCAGAAATGCCATTGATGTTTTACAGTTATCAGAAATTGCAAACAGCCGTACAAAGCGCGCTGCGATTGACGGCGGTAGCCGCTGCGTTGTGGAAAGGCACGTAGAAGGAGGTTTGCCTTCAGCCAGGGCGCTGTACAATGTTTGCAACTGGTTGTTTGCTTTCGGTGGATTTGATGTATGACAGGTGCGCGAGGAGATGTGTGCTTTGGTGGAAGATTGTGCGAGACGTCATGCGTGTTGGAGAAGGACACAGAGACACGCTTTTTTTTTGGCTGAATTGCTTTGGGAACAAGGGCGCCCGCGATCACACCTGTGGTGGAAGAAGCGGAAGTATGTATGGGAGCTCTTCGCGTAGAAGCGCAGATAGACACGGGAACGGAACCTGGGGGGCGGCAGCGGGGAGGTGAGGGAGCGTGTCCGAACAGCGTGACCACGTGGGTATTCCGCAACAGTGGTTGCCGAAGGGTTCATGGATCACGGTGAGCGCTGTCCCCGCGATCACGTGGGTTTTTCGGAACAGTGGCGGTCTACAGGGGGAGAGGGGGGGGAGAGAGAGAGAGAGCCTTGCCGTGTGTGAAAGCAGTCTGGGAGAAAGAGAGCAGCGACTCTGCTGTAGAGGTTTTGTGCCCATTGCCATTGCCACTGTTGTTTGTACTGGCATGTAGCTGTTTTCTTGGCTATCTATCAATATTAATTGTACTCTTTGACAGTGAAGCTGTTTATAGCTTCCGGAGATTTTTTGTGTGCAGCAACCAATAACTACGCTCGCACCACTGCACGCTCATGCTTCCCCGTATAAAAGATTCAAAGTAAATATTCAAAATGAAGCGTTGACCAACACGCTTGCAAGATGCCATTTGTTTTAAGGCCCGTTCACACTCTTGCGACCTCTTAGAACTGGGTGCCTTGAAACCTCTTACAACGAGAGGACACACTGGCGCCATCTATTGGGTAGCAGTGTAAACTTGGCGGTCCGGCACATTTTTTTTTTCTCTCGCGCGTTATCCTTTTTTTTTTGGCTCGAAAAACTTTTGTCTATGTTATAAACGAGCCTTTCTCATAGATATTATGCACATTTGACCTTGGAAATCCCGCCAAACCTTCGCTCTTGTGAAATGCAGTTCCAGGGTCACCGCATGGATGGCGCCAGTGCCAGTGTGTTCTCTCGTTCTTAGAAATTTTAAGTGGTTTCAACAGGTCTAGTCTCTCTCGGTCGTACTCGGTTGCAAGGGTGTGAACGGGCCTTTAGGCTTTTGCTTTAGAACAGTTACTGCTGCAAACGTAGACGCCCAACGCGCTTGCCTTCCCCATATTAAAGATTCAAAGTAAATAACCAAAATAACGCGTTGCCAAACACACTTGCAAGATGCCATTTGTTTTAGGCTTTTGCTTTAGAACAGTTACTGCTGCAGACGCTGGCACGTGGAACACCATTCCCTGCATTCTTCTTGATGCTTGAGTAATTTAGCAATAGCCCTATTCAGTAGATTAGTCATCAATAGGCACCATTTTCAAGATCAGTAGACTCTCAGGTAGATAACAGAAGTTTCTCAAAGATCGGCCATGTCCATGCTCGTACCGCCCTCTCTTTGTTGTCGTTCCAAGCGATTGCGTGCCTAGTTTCCTTTCTTTCCGCTCTCCCAGGGTGGTGGTCCTGTCGCGCGTGTCTAGTTTCCTCCGACTCCTTGGGGCGGGTCTGTGTAGTGTGCCAACACAACAGCTTTGCTGGTCATCTACCTTCGCAGAGTTGAATGGCTCATGATTTTTTTCAGTCTTGTTGACAAGTTTTGTCATTGCCACTTTTCTTTACGTCATAGCGGTTTTCTTGGCTATATCTATAACTGCACGTCTTTTAAGTTCCATTGGCATATCTTGTAGTCAAGCTTATTAATGTCCCGTGGTACAGTGAAACTCACTTATAACAATAATGAGAAAACCCGAAATTTAAATCGTCATAACCAATCATCATTGTATCTGGACTAGAAACTGATTGTTTTCAGTCTAGAAACTGATCGTTTCCAGTCTAGAAAATTTAGAAACTGTTATATGTGGTATTGTTGTAAGTGGGTCGCACTATAGTTGCACTCTATATTCAATCGCAGGATGTCCAATTGAATATCACCGGGCTATTGCCAACAGCTCTGCGTCACCACCTGTGGAGTACCGAACCGTGCGCTGCCTCAGCGAGGGCAGATTTCAGAAATCGCTAAAGGAAGAACAGGAGTTGACATGGTCGAACAAACTGGTTTCTCTAACTGAGCTCACCTGTTGCTTGCAGATTGCGGAACTCTACAGGAACCAGGATCACATCAAGAACAAGGCCCCCGCCTCGACGGCCAATCAGGACGAGGAAGACTTCTACTGAACTGCCCCTCTGCCCTTGTAAACTTGTAAATAAGCTTTTAGCAAGCACTGGATGGAATTAAAAGGTCAGTGTGTCGACGTCGTGTCTATCAGTATGCAAAGTGATCACCAACTTGGGCTTGTCGGGCAATCCTGGGGAGCCTTAAAAAGAAAACTTTCAGCCTTTCCCCTCTGGTGAAGAAGGAAGACCAGCTAAGCTGTACTATGGTGGAAATGAAGTAATGGCCGGCCACAAGTTGGCAAGCCAGAGTGGAGAGGCTGGAAAGGTTGCCACCATCTATAAGCGACGGCAGAAACCAGACAAGTGGCAAGCCGGTTGTCTGGTTGCCGCTGTCGCTCATGGATGGCGGTAGCTGTCCGGAGTATTGTCGACATTTTGCTGGCGGAGGCGACCCTGGGGAAGCTAACCCTTAACAGCTCCGCTGTGAAAACTCGCAACTCCTTGCCGTGTTTGGCACGTGAACTGCGGCGATGGCTGAGGCACTGCACACAATCCCACTGCACGCCGGCATTAGTCCACTAAGCTCAGCCGGAAAATTTCTCCGCCAAACGTCACTTCTTTGTGATGTGACATCAGAATGTCACGTAACATGAACAGGTTGTAACGCGTCGACCGACAACCACGCCAACCCCTAAGCCTGTGCTGTACCAAGCAACGTCACGTCTGTGACGTCAATTGGTCCAGCTCTCCTGACGCTTCGTGCTGTTTGGTGGCCGATCTCCGAGCGCCCACTGGAATCGGTCCTTTGGAAGGAAAAGTATAGCCACTCGTCCAAACACAAGCGTGCGATTGTGATTAGCAGATTGAGCTGATCATGTTCAACTTATTTCTGAATGTGAAAGGCATAATTGAAGCTTCGATTCAAACGTCGGCCGTGTGGCCATATTAGGCCACGTGTTGTATTGTGGCGAATGTCGCTGAACCTTTGGTGATAATCGTAGAATGTTCAGGAGCCTATTTTCAGCATTTTCCTTTATCAGCCGTTTCAAGGCCCGCAGTGAACCGAACGGTGGCGAGGACAGCCGAATGCAGCTAACGGAGTTCCCGGTCGGGCCGATAGGGGCGCCGCATCGCTGGCTTCTCTCTCCTACGTCCATCCAAAGAGCAGATTCGTAGGTCTACCCAGCCGACTCCGACCAAACTGTTATGCTCATATTTGCCGCTATGATTTTGAGTGCTGGCGACGTGTATATGATCTTTGCTATCGTAAGTGAAGCACTCTGGGCTCTTCCGACCAATCAGTAAGAACGAGGGGAAACGACCGTTTTTGTCTTTTTTGTTTTGTTTGCGCTCGCTTGTCACTCCAAGCTTTCAAACCGTTCCGCACGTGCTGAAATCGAAAGTGCGGATTTTACGGCAGTACGGTGCAACGCTGCTGCGCGCTTATAATAATTGGAGATGTACGTCTCTAATTTGACAGAAATTCTACCGAGTGTGTTGCGTGCCTCATGACGGCGTATTATGGAGTCTACAGCGCGGCGAAGTGGTGTAACCATTCTTCAAGAGAACTCGGAGTGCTTATTCTTTTGGTTTCCAACAGACGACAGGTGAACATCTATATCGTTTTTTTTTTTTTTGTCAGCGTTCGAAACTCAATCTTTCCACTAGAGCATCGAAATGGATTGCTTATGCAAATCACCAGGGCTTTGGAAGCCTGCCCGGCTTGCCGACGAGTAAGCTGCGCCAGCGTCGTTTGTGCAGCGAGCACTTCGGCACTACCGCGTTTGCATGCTGTAGGAAGATTCGTTTGTGGAAAAACGCGTGCCCCACCGTTGTTGTTACGAATCCGTTGCTGCAAGGACTGGTTCCTCTGGGTGAGTTGCTCTCAGAGCAATCTTCAGTTAATTTGGCAGCTTCGTTTTTATATCTCAGGATAGAGTACCGATAAAGCACCTACAGTCAGAGATGTAGTCACTCTAAAAAAGTAATTGTTTTCTTTCTTTCTTAATAGCATTGCCTATTAGCGAGTTTGTTAATGGTTTATTTATCGTTTATTCTTATGCAGCTCACCTGCAAGTCTTTTGCTTTATTTCGGTGTTGATTTGTTTGTTTGGGTATTCAGGATTTTGGTTTGTGGGAGTTGTTTATAGAGCCATTTAGATAATTCGATGATAAGTGCTTTTCTCTTAGTTCGTACATTAAAGTAATTAATTTCGTTTTATATATTTGACAACTTTTACTACGTTTAAGAGAATGGGGTCACTGCCGAGCACAATGAGCCAAAACACATAATCGCAAGTAATAAGGTTGTGCTTCTCGAAAAAATACGCGGACAAGGAGGTATACACGACGTTTCGGGCGGATGCCCGAAACGTCGTGTATACCCGAAAAAATAGTTAGAGAGCAGGCGAGCTGGTGTAAGTTGAACACGATTGTAAACCTGAGGCTGGGGCAGAAAAGAAAACACAACAGAAGGTAGAAAAAGAGGAGGCAACGTCTCAAACTCAGCTGCAAAGTTTATTTCGTACACGCTTTATACACCCCATCTCCAACGCCGTCTCTACAAAAAGAAAAAAAAATACATGACAAGAGGACAATGACACTTAGGTAAACCTTCTCTTGTCTCCCTTGACCTCGGCTGTGAGACACTCACACAAAGGGTCACATTCTAGCATAACCACCGCCACCCGGCGAACGTAGGTGAAATCACTATTGAACACAAAGGGTTTGACCTTCAAAGGTGCATCTCCTCTAACAACTCACTTAATCCAACTGCTAACAGCCGGAACTGGGGCCATCTCCAAAACTGAGAACGACATTGCCCTCCTACCACGAACCACAAATGGCTAAACACTGCGACTTTCTCGAACTATCCAAGGATACACATATAAACAACGCTAATACTACAAAAAAATTTTTACAAGCGTAGAAATTGTTTACATTCGTTCCCAAACTGCAATGACGCCTGACTTATACAGTTGCAAGACGTTTTTATACGAATCGTTTCTTGAACTACACGTTTCATATCATTACATTCTTTGTGAATTACTTCCGTATCAGACCAGTTGGCTTTACAATTATTACACTCTAGAAGGTGCCTGGCTAACTCGGAATTGGACGCGTTGTTTTTCACATCCCGTTTGTGTTCCATCAGTCTATCATTTAGACATCTCGACGTCTGACCTACGTATTTAAATCCACACTCCAAGGGAATCTCATAAACCACAGAATTCTCACATGGTACCGACTTTTCGCAATGTGCCTTCTGACAAACTTCCTGTTTCGATTCAAAAGGTGTAAGTTTGCATAACTTAAAATTGGATGTGAACACTGTTTCTACGCCAAACTTCTTTGCCGACGCTTTTATGTTATGGGAAATATCGTGAAAATACGGTATAGCAACTCGGCGGTTCCTCACACTTGTTTCATCCCGCTTGTCTCCGATTTGGGGTGTATCTCGAAACTACCCATTCTTATTTGAACTCTTCTCGTCTGAACCCATTCGCAAAACACCCTTCGCGTTTTAACCTTTCGCGTTTCGACCCTTTCTCATTTGAACCCGTTGTCATTTGAACACCGTAGTGAGGCATAGAAAGAAGGAAAAACAGTTGAGGATGAAGGTTGAAGATGAAGCGAAGCGGCACCATCTCTTGCATAGCACATGAAACAATTTTCCTTATGCCTGCGTGCCACCCCGAGTCTGTTGATGTAGCTACGTGGTCACATGGTGACGTGGTTTCAAAAGTGCTAGCGCAGATTCGGTACTTCATTTCTCTTATTGTTGAATTAACAGCGCAAATACGACAGGAAGGAGAGATAAGGGAGACAGGCTGTGCTTCCATACATTCACCGCATTTCCCACAACCTTAAGAAGATTGCATCGAAGTATAACGTCAAAGTCGTGTTGTCTGCACCGGACAAACTAAAGAAGTTGTGTCCGAAAATTAACAACAAGCAGCAGCAGCAAGATGGGTGCGGAGTTCAACATCAACAAAGATACGTCGAATGCCAATGTGCGGTCGTTTACGAAGTACCGTTTACTTGTGGGAAAGTGTATGTGGGTCAGACAGGAAGGTGTGTCAACGATCGTCTAAGAGAACATGCCGTGTCACTAAAGTCGTCGCCATCAGGCCACTTTGCCATACATGTCAGGGACTGCCAGTGCTCCGCCTTGTTCAGGAAAACAAAAATCCTGAAACGTTTAGGGGAACGACGAACTCGCGAGCTCTACGAGGCACAGGTTATTCTGTCCTGTGGGGATGCCTGCGTAAGCGCGCCGTCCGTGGCCTTGTCACGAAAAGAACTTTACTTTTTAAGTCGCGATCTTTAACGGTCCTTAGATTCGGTGAATATTTTAAACGTAAACTTCCTCTTTCTTTTTTCTACCGGAATTTCTGTTCACGTCGTCCTAGGACTCAATCGATTTCAACAAGTCGTTTAAGCGACCAGCTTAAAGCTCGGTATTCTTAGCAATTCATTTTCAGGCAACTCAAGCTATAGCATATGTTTTTGCGGGTTTTCATTATGCATGTTTTAAAAGCATTCTTCGGTTCTTCTTCCTCTTTCTCTTTTTATTAAACGTCAGTTGTTAGTTCAGCGCTCTATCCTGTCTCCCTTATCTCTCCTTCCTGTCGTATTTGCGCTGTTAATTCAACAATATGATCAACCAACTAGCCCACCAGATGATCGTGATTCATTTCTCTTCTGTCGCTGTATGTCGTTAAGATGTCGTCGTTTGGAGCGGATGGATCATTGTGCTAGTCGTGTGTTATTGCTTGAAATGGCCAATTCGGGTGGTCATTTTCTCTGAAAAAAAGTTTTCCCATATCTTCGGCAAGGGCGTTCGCGTGGTCAAAGGCTGGCGGGTGCAAGCTTTTCGGGTTGCGCTTCTGAGGCGTATACCGGCAATTTACCAGCAGAAATTTTCCCGACCTCCAAGAGCTCGGGCAGCTTGTCTGCCAGACTGTATCCGGTATCGTCAGATCCGAATCGGGATAGGGAACCAAACGAAACAATGCTCGCTGAGGCGGCAAATAGCGGGTTCGAGTGGCAAACGAAGCCATCGAGACAGGCACCCTTTTGTGCTCTGAGACAAGATAGCAAAAACAACGAAGAGAAAGATAATTTATGTTTCAAAGAAAGTCAACATTTTTGGAAGAAATTATCCAGCCTGAGCAAGGTGTGTTTGCTCTGAGACACGGGCTGCATCATACATCACTTTATTTTACAACTCTGTAATAACAAGGTATTACACCGCTGAAAAAAGAAGTATGCATAGTGATGCAGTTTGAAACTTGAACACGCATTACAATTTCAAGGAGTGTGGGTGCAATGAGAAGACTGAGGATTCCAAAAAAGGTACTAGAGAGTTTGAGTAGATCGTTCCGATAGCCCCGATAACGATACTATGCATGCGCAAGGAAGGCGGTGGCGGAGTATCGGGTATCGTTATCGGAGTCACGGGAACGATCTACAAAAACTCTCTACTAAGAGTAAACAGAATATGGAAAGCGACGCTGGCAAGCCTCCGTGGCAACAGTTAATCGAAAATCCAAGCAAAGTTTATTGAAATTTGACGCGCGTGCGGGCAGCCACCACACTGATTTATACATCTGCCCTTTCATTGATTTTATATTTTAATATTCTGTCAGCTGTACGGACTGTGGTAATGCCAATATTTTGAGAAGTTTTGTGAAGCCGCTTCTGTTTAGACACATCTCAAAGAGTTGTAATTTATGTTGTTGGCGTATGCAGCGTGCTCATGGTACCATAGAATGATGGAAGAAAAAGTTAACAGAGCTCACTCGCGACCCAGTCAAATGAAAACGCCAGTTCATTGTGCTTTGCATTCGGGTGGAGACGTAATGCGCCGCTGGCGTGTTTTTGGTCGCCGGTGCCACAGGCAAGGGCTCGAAGGCAATTAATTACCCGAATTCGCCATAAATACCGCAGAAAGATTGCGAGATCATGATGTTGGATTAATTTGGGTTCGAAATGAGGGAGGTTAAAATGAGAAAAGTCTTTCTGACAATGGTCAAAACCAGAAAGTATGTTTTGAGAAAATTTGAAATGAGAAAGGTTAAAATGAGAAAAGTCGTTTTGAGAAGGGTCAAAACCCGAAAGTTTGTTTTGAGAACGGTTTAAATGAGAAAGGGAGAAACGCGAAAGTTGTTTTGCGCTGGGTTGAAATGAGAAGGTAAAAACGAGAAGGTAGAAATGCGAACGGGTTCAAATGAGAACCACCCCCGATTTGAATAGAAAGTTGTTGTTTTAGAAAAGTCTCTTCATACCCCGCGTCCTCCAGTCTACTCCATTGTCTTTTTAAAGCTTGACTCATGAAATGGGTACATGACCTTTTTAGTGCATTAGCAATTAATGATTTCGCAACTCCCGCCTTAATAATTTTAGAGTGACAACTTTGTTTGGGAAGCACCGGTTTAGCCATCTTCTTACCATATTCCCAACATAAGCCATTTTTCACCTGAATGCGCAAGTCCAAAAACTGCAACATGCTCTCCTCTGGTTTTTCTACTGTGAAATGCAACTCCGGGGCCATTGACCTAATAAGCTTTTCAAGATACTCAGATTTTCCTTCTTCAAACGTGCAGACAAAAATATCATGTACATATCTTCTGATGAAGCCCACGTTAGGTGACAACTCCATCATCCTGTCGAACAACTCTCTATCCAAACTGTTGAGGTATATCTCAGCTAACAATGGAGCGACTGACGAGCCTATGCATACACCTTCTTTCTGGATGTGTTTTCGATTATTGTATTCGAGGACTGTTGACTTTAAATAGAGATCTAACACGGTAAGGAAGCTTTCCACTGTTACGCCCGATCCTGATTGAAACTTTACCAGATTCAACTCTAGCACCTCCTTCACGGCATTCATCAACCTCTTCTTTTCCAGAGAATAATACAAATCTTTTATATCCGTGGAGAATACCAAACTCTTCCTCCCATGGTTGTGTTCCAAAAACTGAATACATTCCGTGTTTCTCAGCGATAAAGATTTGTCCAAACTGACCTGACCTAACCCATGCTGCAGAAACTTAGACACATCTCTTTGCCACGTTCTGTTTTCGTTTACAACCACTCTAAAAGGCATCTTCACTTTATGGTCCTTTAAGAAAAATTTGTATACAGTTCTTCGTTCCCCTTGGAGGGCGGTGGACTGCCAACGGAGTTCGTAGTTACGTGTTTGAAATACCGCAACTCATTTGAGTGGGGTTCAATAAAAAATACATTTCAATGAACGTGCTGTTTCTGTTTTATTGCACTGGTAATATCACGTGAAGCGCATTTGTTGTGAAGTATACCGCGCGCGGCTCGTCTGCTAGACAGGTGCCGTGCTGGCCGCTTACAGCGGCCGGCGCGACAGCGGTTTAACAAACAAACCAGAAAAAAAAAGCGGGGAGGGGGGGGAGGAGGAGGAGGGCGCACGCCAATGACAGTGGTGGCGCCATCTGGCAGTCTTTCGAGACCAATTTTCGTCTCCGACCGTACGTATGTTCGCCTTTCTGCCACTAGCGCCTCGTGGCGCTAGTTTCTCCTTACCACGGTGGAGGCTACAGCTGCACTCGGCTGGCGAGGATATCAAAAAGCCGGCTTGTCCCGAGACTCACATCGAAGTGCCACTCGGGAAAAATAGTTTTGTCGTCGTGGGACGAAAAAATCCACAAATCGCTTTTTTTCAAGTAAGATTTTTATGATCATGAGATCCTTCGAAAAGTCTTTCCACATTTTCAAAAACCTTCAAATTTAGAGCCTAAAGGGGTAGGAAATTTCCTGCCCCAAAAGTTTGCATTTCGCAAAGGTTTGTTGACCAAACCTTGTTTCCCAGAAGGGCACACAATTGAGCATTCAGAGACCAATGAAAAGGCAAAATTGTTGGGGTGGCGACACCATGAAAGTGTCGCGTAATTGAAAACTGCCGTGACAATGCACTTTAGAAGACTAAAAGACTAGACGTTGGATCTCTAGACCGCTAGAGGCGGGTCTGCCATGGTACAACGACGCTGGTTCTGGCCATTGACCATAAATTCAGACGGCGCGCGACGAATACAGCCTGGGGATTTTTAATGTGAAAGATGCAAAGTGCAGTTTTGAAGAACAGAGCCTCGACAACTGTCTTGACTGCGAGCTCAATGCCTCATGCTTGTTGCTCCCAGAGAACTCTTCGCGATAGCTAGATTGCAGCTTCCTCTTTCTGGTTTTGAGACGGAGAACTTTGCAAATACAGTCGCCGACCAATCTTTTGGACTCTGAGGGGATCCCGAAATTGTCAAAATAATCAAGCGGTTCAAAAAATAGTTTTCAGCCAAAATATTACATTTCCACGCATATTCCGCTGCGTATTGGCCACTTTCCCCTTGCTTGACATCATTTCTAATTTCTCGTACAACTTCCGCTTTATATTGTCCACTTTTCACTTGTTTGTTGATCTGTTTGATCACGGTAAAGGCCACAAGAACGGCAGACGGCTGCTCTTGCGGTTGCACTCGCAAAATGCGGACCACGAGAACTGGAACAGCCGTAAGAATGGGCAGACGGCGGCCATGTTGGCTATAGCGGAACCAGAAAACCGGACTACAGCCTCAACTTGGCTTCTTTATTGCATAGGACGTGGTATCGAGGCTATAGGGCAAAATCAAAACAACCAAAATAGCGGCGACTAACCTCATGGTACTGTAACCTTGTGGCAGTAAACTGAGGAAATCACACAAATTATGTCAGAAATATCGAACAATAAGCTTTATGGCGTTCAAAATTTCGGTCAATGGTATAGACCGACACGCTGTTTACAAACAGGCCCGTGTTTGCCCACACCAGGTGTGGGCACTTCATGTGCGCAGAAACCGAATTCGTGTGAAGCAAAGCGTCTGCGCATGCGCAGTGCCGTTGACAGCGCCGCCGCAGCTGCGTGACGTCAGCTCCACGTGTTGGTCTATACATTAATTACCTCTATGGGGTGAGTGACCGCTCGGCAAAAATGTCAGAAAAATTGGTCGGCGACTGTATTTTATATTCTGAGAAACTGAAAGAGAGGAAGAGATCAGGGCGTGCAGTGGTGTCAAATGAGAGCATAGTGTGTCCGAAGGACTTCCACAATCGCAAGACTGACGACAACACAAGCAGGTCACACACGTGGCTCCTTCGGCGGTAGCCGCATTTCATTTATTATTTTCTGCGTCGAGGGAAACGTGGACGCGGGAACTATGTCTCTTCTCTTATGGTACAATGGGCCATGTAGAGTGGTCCGGCGCTTCCCAGTTGCCGAAGCTGCTGCTTGCTAGGGGAACTACGAGAACGAGGAAAGAGCCTGGATGCGTTTTGAAAGTGCTGCGGTTGTAGTGGAAGACTCGACCTCTACTTGACCTTAACCTCCGCCATGCGGTTGAGGGCGCTGCCGGCACGGAACCACTCGAGCTGCGTGGCGTTCATGGTGTGGTTCAGCAGGAAGCTGTCCTTAGAACCGTCCTTGTGCTTGATCTCGCACTTGACGGGCTGAAAGAGGGCACCCTTGTCGTGAGCACAACGTTTCGACGAAGAAGCGGCTTGAGCCTTCCGAGCCCGTAAGAGATTGAACGGTCGGTACCGCGACAAGTTTCTACGATGGCGTGCGCCGTGGGTTCTTGAATGGAGTTGTTTGGAACTTCTCAATATCTTGAACTAGCGGATCTAGAGCACACTGGTGCATATTGGATGCTGCAGGAACACTACGTAGTATGTGAAAAGCCTGACACCGCTTTCAGAAGACGCAAAACATTAACCTGTTAATTTTACCAAGTGCCGTCTTAACATGCAAAACCCCGACTCTATCAATGTTTCATCATGTGCTTCACTAGGACCAAAACTAAAGAGCTGACTGATTTATTTTTTTTTTTTTTGTGATTACAGACCACCGATTCTGCTTTACCTCTAAATGAGCTGGCATGTTTTGCAACCTTCAAACTTTTGCCAATTTTTCAAGATATTTTTGCACTTTTTTTTTTTTTGCTCAAGGCTTTGCGTTGTTTAGCATTTACCTGCCCACAGTCTAGAAACAATCTGAGCATTGATAGCTAAACCGTGCCCTCCCACCTTCGCATATCATTTGTAAGCTTCCAACTCTCTTGCAAGAACCCTGAACCGGAGGGTGCTGGACCTCTGTCCGACGACGGGGAAGCCGGTCGCTACTCGGCTGCGACCAGCTTCTCAAATAGTTTTTGTGCGTCAAAAGGGCGAAAACTGACCTTCCCGGGTGCGAGGTCCTTCAGCCCCAGTAGGGAAAGCTTGTCGTCCGACTTGATCTTGTCGTAGTCTGCGGGGTTCTGGAAGGTCAGCGGCAGCAGACCCTGCTTCTTCAGGTTCGTTTCTGCGCAAGGAGCACGTCGTTCCCGCTCATATCTGCTGTGCAGTTTCTGCGGCACTCCCAGTTCGTCGAACAGGAACAATCGGATATTCGCGCAGCTTCGATTCCCGAGCCTCAGGTCGTTAACACCAGGTGGTGCGTGTGTAAAGATGCCACTGTGACCAAGCTGTGGCGGGGCTCAAGTTCCCCGCCTCTGGGTTGACTCGCACACTGAGCGAGTCTGTTTAAAACCTACCAATGTCGGACAACTGGGATATTGAGGCATTAGCTGAAAACATTTCACCAGCAAAATAATTATGTTTTGTTTGCGCGAGTCAAAGTAGCAAGCACCAAATCTAACTTCCATGCAGGCCCCCTGCACAGCATAATGTTGACCCTATGTGCAGCCTGTGTGGGGTTTACGTTGGCCACATGCGAGGTTCATGCGGTGCCTATGTGGGCCTTCCGTGGAATTTATGTGGGGCTCGTGGGGGGGCCTATGTGCTGCTTGCATGGGACCTACGGGAAGGGGGGGGGGGGGGGGGGGTTGCGTAGGGCCTACGCAGGCATCACTCCATGTGCCGCTCGCACTCGTTCTTCGTCCACTTTTGTGGTCGACACAGGAGAAACGCGTTCACCTCAATACCAGTTCTCTGGAAAGGACATCGACAGCTTCACCTCACAGCGCTGATCGTCCTTTCTGGACGTCAACAACGTGAGAACAGAGTGCCGGCACCCAGAGTACGGTCGCAAGATTTGAAGCGCCCCGTGGCTCTTCTCCAGTTTGGACGAAACGTGGTTTCTGCATTCGCGAAGTAATTAACGAAGCGCACCGTGGATCCTGGCGAAGCTCTTGACGATGATGGCGCGGCCTCCCAAGTGCCGGGGCTCCAGAGCCGCGTGTTCCCGGCTGCTGCCCTCGCCGTAGTTCTCGTCGCCGACCACGCACCACTTGACGCCGGCCGCCTGTGGCCCACGCAGATTCCAAAAGTTTAGAAAAGGTGCCAAAATATAAACGGGCAGGGACGAAACGAGTGAAATGGTATTCGCCCCTATTTTTACTCTTTGAATAGCACCTCCCCTCCGAAACATGATGATATTGCATTGATATTGCGAGCGAGCCGGACAAGAATACAATAATCCCTGGAGAAGACGAACAAGGGGGACAAGGGACAAGTAGAAATCTTTAAACGCAGTCAGGCGACTGGTCCTGGTGTCGAACCAGGGACCTCTCCATGGCTTGATATCGGGACCAGGCAGATTTTTTTCAGTTGCACACCAGTCACCTGGCTGCGTTTGGAGATTTCTGCTTATTCCCCTTCTCCAGGGATCACTATCGTTAAAAAAAAAAAAGATTGAGGTACACCTAAGCATTCCTTACGAGTTGTGAATGCGAAAGCATGCAAGCCTCTCGTCCCCTCCCTTTTTTGCCTGCTGCATACTTTTAGCCGCCGGTCAGTATGTGTGTTCCCCTGGGCACGGTGACCTTGGACGCTCCGTGTTAAAGCTGCGCTGATGGACACGCAGTGCCATGGGGTGAGTGGTTGTGGAAACTGACGAGCGCAGCGGCCGATGGAAGCCCCGTCGACACGCACCAGTCAATGGAACCGAAGGAAACTAGGTGCCGTTTTCGCGCTTCAAACTGATGATGTCAGCTCGCTCAATGGGACCAGCATTAAAACAAATCTGACATTTGCATTTAGACGGCGTAGGGTGGGTGTGCGTTCGAGGTACGGCGACACTGGTTTACACTGTAGGTGAGGAATTTAGTCAGCGCACTACGACTGCTACCTTGGGGTCTTTAACGCGCACCATGCGGTAGTGACGCACGACTGCACGCCGGTACGATGCTCATCCACATCAAAATGGACAGGGGTGGGGATTGAACCAAGAATCCCCGGGTCCTGTAGCGCAAGCTTTCATTCCGTGCGCTTTGAGTTGCAAGGCGACGCTCGACCATCTATATACCCCGGCATCCCCCGAAAGATCATCACCCGTAACACAAAACGATTTAGCCTGCTGTCATCCTCCTCTGCCCCACCACGTCTCTTCGCATTTTCTCTTCCTTATCGCGCGCACGCACAAATCGCGGTACGAGGAATCCGCCGGATGCGTCGCACTCTGTGTGAGTGACTGCATGTTTTCTCCGTCAATTTTTCATGTTCACCGACCATTTTTTTTGGCCAGTGAGAGTTCTCTTGTTAGGCTTGTACTGCCCATAAAAGGTTAGTACTAATAGTAGTAGTATTATAGTTTCACGAGACTTGTTGCTGGGCTAGTTGGCACACAACGGTCGGGAAATCTGTCGGCGTAAACAGACGGACATGAGGACGGGGACAAAGATAAGTGCTTGTCTGTGTCTCCTTACGAGTTTCGTGAGTACTATTAGTAGAACATTAGTCTGAATTATAATAGTAGTACCGTAAAATCCCGTTCGAACACCCACCCAAAATGAAGAGATAAATGGTGAAAAAAATGGGGTGGGCTATCTTTGGGGATACCACAGCAAAACTTTATCAAAAATTAATGATAAGCACCAGGGCACCAGCTACAAACCCCGTGATGCAGGAACTAATACCGCAGGTTGCGGGCACAGCAAATTCGCGTTTCACAATGCGATAAACACGCGGGAATTCGCTACAAACTCCTGTGTCACGGTAAAGGATACTTGCAAGTGGCCGACGTGGCACATTCGAGTTTCACTGTGCGAAGGACTCGCTAAAACTTGCCGAGAACTCGCATCTAACGGGAACGGATACCGCAGATCGTGGAAGCAGCAGATTCAAGTTTCATGGTGCAATAAAGACGCGGGAACCCGCTACAATCTTGCCTGTCACGGAAACCGATATCGCGTGCGCAGATCGCGGACAAAAACGCGGGAATACGCTGCAAACTCGCATGTCACGGAAACAAATGCCGCAGATTGCGGACGCAACAGAATTACGTTCCACGATGCAATATACACGCGGGAACAACTCGCGCGTGTTACAGTTAAGAATCTATATTGCGCGCGCAGATTGCGGACGAAAACACGGGAATCCACTACGAACTTGGGAACGGATACTACAAATCATGAATGCAGCAGATTCGCATTTCGCGATGCAATATACGGGTGGGAACAACTTGCGTGTTACAGGAGCCGATATCACGCGCGCAGATCAGACAAAAATGCGGGAACCCGCTATGAACTTGCCTCTCAGACGCATCGGTACTGCAGATTGCACCATTGATGCGCAATTCCCGTCGGACATCGCTTGACGTTTAACGGGAATCGGGGGGTGGGCGATGTTTCGGAATTTTTATGTTGCAGATATTTAGCCAGAAAAACGGGATGGGCGATCTCTCAGGGAAGGGTGCCCTTAGAGGATGTTACGGTAATTTATTTATTTATTTAAATCAGGGTTGAGCAGTATCGCGATAGTATTTTAGAAATACATTTGGTATCTGTATTTCTGTATCGCGATACATTTTTTTCACCAGTACCTCTATTCCTGTATTGAAATACATTTGGAATGTTTCTTTGTATCGCGATACAAACAGGATGAAATGTATTTCGTTACATTCCTTAAAAAATACTCCCCCCCCCCCCCCCCCCCCCCCCAAAAAAAAAGGTCCAAACGGATTTTTTTTTTTCTTTTACTTTTGAGGGCATTGGAGTCAAGGAGATGGTAGGGCATTGTTACTATGCTGACCAAGGTTCCTTCCGATTCTCCAAACTTTTTCTATGCGTCCTCTTCTCTCTTCTAAGAAGTGTTGCGTAGTCGGGGACTCGAACCAGGTGGTGTGCCAGGAGTCGAGTCGGAGCATCTCCCACCGCAGGTCCTCAGGTGGGGATTTTTTGAGCTATTGTTTGCTGGCATCCAACGCCCACTGCTAACTGCCTCTCCCAGCTGGCAAAGCTGAGTCACAGTTCGTTGCAGCACGAGCCTGGTGGTGGTTGACTTGAAATAGATAGGATGACTCACGCAGTGAAGTTCACCACATATTCGAATGCGTCTACGGCTGCGCCCGTAATATTGCACGGCTCAAGGGTACCTCATCAGCCGACGTGAACGTGACCCGCTGCTCTGGTGATCCGAAACTCAGGAAGGAGGGCAGACGCCGTGCCGACCCAGACTTTGTACACATATGACTCTTCTCGAGCGCGCTATTTCCCGGAGAGCTCGCACCTGTGCCGGAAATATCACGTCGCAATCCACGAGGTCTGTTTGAATGATGCTAGGCAAAACTTGGACTGCAATCCATGCGTCGGTGGTGGAGGGTCGGCGTAAAGGACCTTCAGAACAGGGATGCCACCGTATCGTTTTTTCAACCGCAACAGAAGATAAGACATGTGTTCCAGGATGCTTCAGGTGGTCCACTATACTCGAACATTCCAAATGACACTGCCTGCACGATCTTTAACGAGGTAACCTACAACGAAAGTATGTATTCTCCTTTCATACAGCAGCGCGGTAAAGTTTCATGTTCAAGGCCACACCTAGAGATAAAGAATACCAGTTCATTCCACCGTGACGTCATGTGATCAATGTTGACAGGGGCGTCCATAGTGGACAGGGGCGTGGTGACGTTTTGATAGGATTTAAGGTGACATAAAATTTATTTAGAGATTGAAGTCTTTTCGCATTCCTGGTCAGGCAGACAGGATGTCAGGGAAGGGACCGCAGTCAATCCTTGATGGAACATTTTTTTTTGGAGCTAATTGAAGATTTTTTGTCGTCCGAAATCACTACTTTCAAGCCAAAGTGCCAAGCCTACGGGAAAGTAATTTTGGGATCAAAAATTTCCACTTCAAACTTCAAGCTTCATCTCAGCTGGCGTCCCAAACAAATTTGAAAAATGTATTGCAGTATCAGTATTTCTGTACTTGTATTTCTGCCCTCCCTAAAATGTATTCCTGTATTTGTATTTCCAAAGACTTTTTTGCCTCTATTTAAAACATATTTCCGATACGTATCGCGATACATTTTTACAGATATATTTTAGTATCAGTATTTTAGCTACTATTTTAGTGTATCCCAGTATTTGCTTTTCCAAATACATTTTTGAGTATTTCTGCCCAACCCTGATTTAAGTCATATTACCGGAAAAGATCCCGTATAAATGCCCTTCACTGACAGATCGCCCGTCCTGTTTCTCTAGCTAAATATTCCCGAGATAAAAATTCAGAAGTATTGCCACACACATTGCCGAGCGAGCGCGTGCATGGCCGAAAGGTTACCGTGCTCAGCTGTTGCGCGGAAGGTCCAGGTTCGATTCCAGTCAGCGGAATGTTCTTTTATTTATTCTTTCAACATGGTCTTCTCTTAAATTCGAGAACATTGTCATGTGATCGAACTCCAAATGTTCTACGCGCCGAAAGTTTGACGCCGAATGTTCCAGAAACCCACGCAGGTACATAAGGGACTCCGCATGGCGAGCGGAGTCAGTCACGCCCCAGTGTTCAATCCTGCTGTTACACAGACTTCGACGCCTGCGACGCTCTGTTGTTATCTTCTGTTCACTTCTTTTTTTTTTTTTATTTGGGCACAAGTTCGCCTGATTAAACATTTCAGTTCCCTTGGTTATTCTTTGTTTCGGCGCCTCGTCATTCGTGACAATATTGCCCATCCCCCGATTCCCGCCTCAAGTCGCGAGATGTCCGACGGGAATCGCGTCAACCACGCTATCTGTGGTGCTGGTTTGTGTGATAAGCAAGTTCGCAGTGGGGAATCTGTGTGGGCGATATCGGTTCTTATTTCACGCAAATTTGTAACAGCTTTCCGAGTGTTTACTGCACCGTGTCGCATCTGCAATCCGCGGTATCCTTTCCCGTGATACTGGAGTTTGTAGCAAATTCTCGCGTGTTTATTGCGTCGTGACACACGCGTTTGCCGTGTACGCTATCTGCGGTGCCGGTTCCAGTGTCGTGGGGTTTGTAGCGGGTGCCCCCTGTGTTCATCAATCGGTTTTGACATAGTTTCGCTGTCTCCTCCCCAGGGATAGTCCTCCTCACATTCTTCACCCCTGACCTCTTCTATTGGGATGGGCACCCCGTGAAATTTTACGGTAGCAGTGGCAACATATTTATTTAATTAAAGCGTTATAGCAGAGTGCCACTAGTAGTATAGTTGCTCACTTATTTACATCATAATAAGAGTACAGTCTAAGCTCACTATAACAGACCTTGATTTTGATCAAGATCTCGGTCTGCTCTAAAAGGAGTTATGTTGTATGCAGATATGAAGTTGAGTCAATGGTACGTAGAGGAAAACCAACCGAACTTCAGAAATTGGTACGTTACGCCTAAATGTCTGTTGTAACCAGGTCTGCTGTAATGAGTGTAGACTGTAGAGCAAGTAGTAGTCTATTTATTTATTGAAAATGCACCGCAATTCACGAGCCCAAAAGTGGGAGGGTAAGCTCGTTGAGTACGCAAATAATTAAATATGCTCCAGCACGTCAAATAGCAGTAGTAGTGGTAGAACTCGCCTTGTACTTCCGTGCAGTGTCTGGCACTCCGCCCCACTCGCCAGTCTGCCGGTGCTGGACCTTGTTGGCTTCCCCACTCTCCTCACTGATGGCCCTGCAGAAAGCGCAAGACAGTTTGGGGGTTAGACTCTTGCCCAAGGTGGTGCGGAAAAGGCCTAGACGATTTAACCCCTTCACATTATGAGAATGACTGGAAGCCTTTTTTATTTATTAAATTACGACTGAATTGTGAACTGGGTCTTATAAGCTTAGTTCCCATTTCAGGTTGGGTAGACTAACTCCTTTTGAAACAGAAGTGCATGAACGTAGGAAAGCTCGCCATGTAAAATCTATTCCTTGCACGAATGGTGTAGTGCATGAAATTCCGATGCCACGTGGTTTTGCATGAGATACATCCGAGAACAATGGGCCTTCTCCCGCTCGAGTCGGGTGACGTCACCACTTTACATAAGTGAAAGCAGCAGCTGCCGGGCAGGGCATTCCATTGTGTTCTGCAGTTGCTATAGGAAGGCCATGTATAGCTAGGACTCCCGAAGAACAATGTGCCTATGATCCAGTGCCATCGGTCATGTATACATTCAACTGCAGCAAAAATCTCACCAAAGTTGTAATGGAACCCATTAGTGCATATCATAGCGATCCCAAAGCAGTCATCACTACTGTTTGAGAATTATGTACATATACTGCACATAAACATTCGGTGAAGTGCTTTTGAGTGTCTTTTGGTGAATCATTTGTGGTGGTGCTCCACAGCTTTGCTGGCCAACCACCTTCGCAGAGTGGAATGGCTCACTTTTTTTATTTTTTTTTATTATAAGTGTATTTATTTTTACTCTCTCGGACAGTTAACACATACCACCATGATGCTATCTCAGCACTGAGATAGCATAATGTTATGAGTTATAATCACCCATAATTAATGTTACTCATAATCATGTCAAATCTTAAATGCGCCTGGCATGTTACTCATAATTTCAATCGCTTCCAAAATGGAAGCCCCCATTCTCTGAAGTCCCTTAGTTCCCAAAAACGTAGCCCCGATTTTATGAAGCATATGCATTATATATTTTATATTCATTGCACACCTAAGTATCATTACAGCACTTTAATTCATGCCCACACTGTCCGAAAAGTTTGACACATCAACGCCTCTAAACTCGTCAAATATAAAGTTCGGGGTAGAAGTTGACGGACCGCACCGATTGGCCTATCACGACGATGACTTCGTGCTTTTTTCGTCGACGTCCAATTGGCGCGCTACGTGAACTTTCGGCTCCAACTTTGTGTTTGACGAGCCTCGGGCCCCTTGACTGACAGACAGCATAAACCAGTTTTTGCAAGCATAACTTAACTATTTTGATCTAAATAAAAGAAAAAAGGCTTAATACAAATCACGTGTCACATAAATGCCTTATCGCCTTAGGTTTCCACAAATTAGCGCCGCTCGATCTTGAACTGGGCAACAGGTGCATGTACTATGAAGACTTCACAGTTGTTAGCATACAAAATGACACTCGAAATAAAGTATTTCTGCAGAATACCGTTACCGACCGTGGCAGGCATCAGGACACCAGTATAACAGAAAAACTAGGGGCCTAATTAACTTATTTGCTAACCAACTTTTGAACTTATTTGTAACTTAGATTTGCAACTCATCGTTTGTACGGGTAAGATGAGTTGCTAGATTATAGAGAAAAAAATTCTTGTTCGAGTTATCATACAAAGTTACGAAATTGTGGAAGCGAGATAAAGACGGCAAGGAGCACAAAACACTCAAACAACACTGCCCCCAAACGCAAAGCAGCGCGACACACTAATATAACTTCAAAGCAGTTCTTGAAGAATTTTGAAAGCATTTTTTTTTTAACTTTTGGTTTTGGGTGATTGCTAGCAGACTACAAGAGATACTGCTTGTTCAAAGGTGCATAATGGGTGCAAAGGTGCATCTAAACGTTAGATGCAAAGGCTAAACGTTAGATGCAAAGGTGCATCTAAACGTCGTGACGGGATCGTCCAGACGCAAGGTCTCTAGACTGACTCCTCACCCGATGAACATGTTGTTAGAGATGTTGTCCAGGTGACCCCTGTACTTGAGCCACGGCCCGGCCGCACTGATGTGGTCGGTGGTGCACTTGCCCTTCACCTGCGCCACAAACGAGGATAAATAAATTCTCAATCGATTAATTTATCGACAGCCGGAATTTAAGAAAACACCGACTGACAGGTACCCACACTGACAATGAGCCAAGACAGGATCGCCGCCACACCAGTTTGACCAAACAAACCGCAGTGTTGCTTTTGAAAAACCACGATAAACCACAAGTGAGCCTCACTATCATGTATTACATACCCAGACATGCCTTCCCTGTACTTTTATCCTGCGTACACACATTGCTACGAGTCGCTCCCATTGGCCATGCCCCCTGGCAGAGCCTGACCGGCGATCGAAAGTCCAAACTGGCATGGCAGAGCTTGCATTGGCAGTGAGAGCTGCGGTACGCGGTCTAGGCACTGCGTGCAGCTGTGGACGGTACCTTGATGAGGATGACCATGTCCTCTAGGTCCTTGCCGTCCCACTTGTCGAAGGGGGCCAGGAGCTGCAAGCGCTGGCTCTTGACGTCCACGTCCACCGACACACCAGTGCCGTCCTTGGGGGGGCCCTGGTACGTGTCCTCCCCTGGGTCGAAGCCCCGCTGGGGAAGCTCGTCCCCACGGGGGCTCTCCAGCTTGAACTTCTCTCCTGGCGGGGAAGAACCGGGATCAAAATGCCATTCTTAACGCGCGCGACCAAGAGCGTCGCCGTTGTTGGCTGTCCGCGGCCAGCCAAACGCTCGCTAGGACGCTTGCATTGCACTGTGCGCATGTTGCAATTACAGCACTGATTCAGTGCTGCAATCCGTGGTCGTCAAATGGATTGCATAGATAAAGGAATTCATCTTTGATAACGATTGAGGATTCCTCTGAGACTGGAG